TAAACACCCAACACCCTAACACCCTAACACCCTAACACCCACCTACACCCTAACACCCTAACACCCTAACACCCTAACACCCTAACACCCTAACACCCTAACACCCTAACACCCTAACACCCTAACACCCTAACACCCTAACACCCTAACACCCTAACACCCTAACACCCTAACACCCTAACCCTAACACCCTAACACCCTAACACCCTAACACCCTAACACCCTAACACCCTAACACCCTAACACCCCTAACACCCTAACACCCTAACACCCTAACACCCTACCACCCTAACACCCTAACACCCTAACACCCTAACACCCTAACACCCTAACACCCTAACACCCTAACACCCTAACACCCTAACACCCTAACACCCTAACACCCAAACACCCTAACACCCTAACACCCTAACACCCTAAACACCCTAACACCCTAACACCCTAACACCCTAACACCCTAACACCCTAACACCCTAACACCCTAACACCCTAACACCCTAACACCCCTAACACCCTAACACCCTAACACCCTAACACCCTAACACCCTAACACCCTAACAACCCTAACACCCTAACACCCTAACACCCCTAACACCCTAACACCCTAACACCCTAACACCCTAACACCCTACACCCTAACACCCTAACACCCTAACACCCTAACACCCTAACACCCTAACACCCTAACACCCTAACACCCTAACACCCTACCCCTAACACCCTAACACCCTAACACCCTAACACCCTAACACCCTAACACCCTAACACCCTAACACCCTAACACCCTAACACCCTAACACCTTAACACCCTAACACCCTAACACCCTAACACCCTAACACCCTAACACCCTAACACCACCCTAACACCCTAACACCCTAACACCCTAACCCTAACACCCTAACACCCTAACACCCTAACACCCTAACACCCTAACACCCTAACACCCTAACACCCTAACACCCTAACACCCTAACACCCTAACACCCTAACACCCTAACACCCTAACACCCTAACACCCTAACACCCTAACACCCTAACACCCTAACACCCTAACACCCTAACACCCTAACACCCTAACACCCTAACACCCTAACACCCTAACACCCTAACACCCTAACACCCTAACACCCTTAACACCCTAACACCCTAACACCTACACCCTAACACCCTAACACCCTAACACCCTAACACCCTAACACCCTAACACCCTACACCTAACACCCTAACACCCTAACACCCTAACACCCTAACACCCTAACACCCTAACCCTAACACCCTAACACCCTAACACCCTAACACCCTAACACCCTAACACCCTAACACCCTAACACCCTAACACCCTAACACCCTAACACCCTAACACCCTAACACCCTAACACCCTAACACCCTAACACCCTAACACCCTAACACCCTAACACCTAACACCCTAACACCCTAACACCCTAACACCCTAACACCCTAACACCCTAACACCCTAACACCCTAACACCCTAACACCCTAACACCCTAACACCCTAACACCCTAACACCCTAACACCCTAACACCCTAACACCCTAACACCCTAACACCCTAACACCCTAACACCCTAACACCCTAACACCCTAACACCCTAACACCCTAACACCCTAACACCCTAACACCCTAACACCCTAACACCCTAACACCCTAACACCCTAACACCCTAACACCCTAACACCCTAACACCCTAACACCCTAACACCCTAACACCCTAACACCCTAACACCCTAACACCCTAACACCCTAACACCCTAACACCCTAACACCCTAACACCCTAACACCCTAACACCCTAACACCCTAACACCCTAACACCCTAACACCCTAACACCCTAACCTACACCCTAACACCCTAACACCCTAACACCCTAACACCCTAACACCCTAACACCCTAACACCCTAACACCCTAACACCCTAACACCCTAACACCCTAACACCCTAACACCCTAACACCCTAACACCCTAACACCCTAACACCCTACACCCTAACACCCTAACACCCTAACACCCTAACACCCTAACACCCTAACACCCTAACACCCTAACACCCTAACACCCTAACACCCTAACACCCTAACACCCTAACACCCTAACACCCTAACACCTAACACCCTAACACCCTAACACCCTAACACCCTAACACCCTAACACCCTAACACCCTAACACCCTAACACCCTAACACCCTAACACCCTAACACCCTAACACCCTAACACCCTAACACCCTAACACCCTAACACCCTAACACCCTAACACCCTAACACCCTAACACCCTAACACCCTAACACCCTAACACCCTAACACCCTAACACCCTAACACCCTAACACCCTAACACCCTAACACCCTAACACCCTAACACCCTAACACCCTAACACCCTAACACCCTAACACACCCTAACACCCTAACACCCTAACACCCTAACACCCTAACACCCTAACACCCTAACACCCTAACACCCTAACACCCTAACACCCTAACACCCTAACACCCTAACACCCTAACACCCTAACACCCTAACACCCTAACACCCTAACACCCTAACACCCTAACACCCTAACACCCTAACACCCTAACACCCTACACCCTAACACCCTAACACCCTAACACCCTAACACCCTAACACCCTAACACCCTAACACCCTAACACCCTAACACCCTAACACCCTAACACCCTAACACCCTAACACCCTAACACCCTAACACCCTAACACCCTAACACCCTAACACCCTAACACCCTAACACCCTAACACCCTAACACCCTAACACCCTAACACCCTAACACCCTAACACCTAACACCCTAACACCCTAACACCCTAACACCCCTAACACCCTAACACCCTAACACCCTAACACCCTAACACCCTAACACCCTAACACCCTAACACCCTAACACCCTAACACCCTAACACCCTAACACCCTAACACCCTAACACCCTAACACCCTAACACCCTAACACCCTAACACCCTAACACCCTAACACCCTAACACCCTAACACCCTAACACCCTAACACCCTAACACCCTAACACCCTAACACCCTAACACCCTAACACCCTAACACCCTAACACCCTAACACCCTAACACCCTAACACCCTAACACCCTAACACCCTAACACCCTAACACCCTAACACCCTAACACCCTAACACCCTAACACCCTAACACCCTAACACCCTAACACCCTAACACCCTAACACCCTAACACCCTAACACCCTAACACCCTAACACCCTAACACCCTAACACCCTAACACCCTAACACCCTAACACCCTAACACCCTAACACCCTAACACCCTAACACCCTAACACCCTAACACCCTAACACCCTAACACCCTAACACCCTAACACCCTAACACCCTAACACCCTAACACCCTAACACCCTAACACCCTAACACCCTAACACCCTAACACCCTAACACCCTAACACCCTAACACCCTAACACCCTAACACCCTAACACCCTAACACCCTAACACCCTAACACCCTAACACCCTAACACCCTAACACCCTAACACCCTAACACCCTAACACCCTAACACCCTAACACCCTAACACCCTAACACCCTAACACCCTAACACCCTAACACCCTAACACCCTAACACCCTAACACCCTAACACCCTAACACCCTAACACCCTAACACCCTAACACCCTAACACCCTAACACCCTAACACCCTAACACCCTAACACCCTAACACCCTAACACCCCTAACACCCTAACACATATATTATAAAGAATCTAGGCAAATGTCGTTACCTGATAAGATGAATCTGAAATTATTTTTGATGTAATTTCTATCAGCTTTAGACTGAAGGATGAATTTTCCCAATTTAAAAAGTTATTATCTAGAAGGTTATTTTTCATTATTCTGTAGTTAGAAAAGGAAGCTTATCAGAATGCGATTTAATTAAATTCCTTTGCGGATTTTGGCTATTAAGATTTAGAAGGAAATTAGCTGAAAAAGTAGAAAAGGATTTTGAATATAAATCCAAACATTGATAGAGCAATTATTGATTCAATACCAAGAGAAGATAGTTTCAGTCGTCAATAATATGGAAGCTAAATCAAGATAAAATTATAGATATGATGGATAAGCTAGAACACAATTTTTATTACTTTAAAGAAATGCTTTCAAATAAAGTGAAGGAATCGGAAAAATGATCCAAGGATAATGAAAAAAAAAATAATAGTCATATTTTCGCTTAAGCCTACTAATATCTAGCCATGCAAAATAAAGCACAAAGAGTAAAGATCTAAATATTACAAACACTGACCAGGGAATTTCAAGATTCATTGATTTAAATCTGTCTTTCAAATTCCCTTTGAAACTGATGAGTAAGGGGGAATCATTATCAGTCCTGGAATTTCATAAGCGCAAGTTGCCACACCTTCGATTTAAAAAATGTTCCACAAAACTTAAAAGAATACTGGCTGATTTGCTGAAGATAGACAGAGCAAGTCATTTTTAAGTCTTGGTCGTAAACATCATAAACAGCCACAACACTTTCATTGATGAGTGGGAGGGTTATTACTGGGCTAAATATCGAGTTGGTGTTTTGAGAAATCCCGACTTGGGCTAGGTTTGATTTATATTGATCAGAATACTCAAATTTACTGTCTACTTGAGTGTCCGGGCTAAAGGGATTCAGGGTAAGAACATAAAGCAAATATATTGCGAAATCTGGATTCTTTGAAGTGTCAATATTAAATTGAGCATCATTATTAGGCTTAGATGAGTTATAACTGATACGATCAGATATAGAACGCCCATTATAACTGACACGATCAGATATAGAATGCCCATTATAACTGACACGATCAGATATAGAATGCCCATTGACAGAAAAGCAAGTCGGATTGAATTTCATTTCAGTGAAGCTCACTGGCTGCTCATTTGGGTTTATCGGAATTAAGTACTTTAAGCTTGCTTCGCTATAAGTCTTATTAATCAAACTATGAACTTTTATTTCTGAAAGATCGCTTGAATTATTTTCAAGGAGCGAGTCAAGGTTTTGCATACAAAATCAATATTTGGAAGGGTTTCATATAAGCTAAGTGTCTAAAACTTTGTTTTTTTTAAAGCACTGTCTTGAGTGTCATGCAATTTCACCAAAGTTGTTTCGTTTAAAACTTTAATACCTCCCGAGCAAAATATTGACACTCTCAATGAATTTACTGGAATCCGACAAGCTTGTACCTTTCATAGAAATGTTCATCCATTTATCTAGTGCATCAACAGAGTTAGATATGCTGGAATTTATTTCTTCTTCATCATCATTAGTCGTATTCGATATATAAAGGCCTGTAGCAGTTATGGAAGAAATAAGCAGGCTTGAGTCCATAGTCTCAGTCCCATAAGCCACCAAATTTTCAGGAAGCTCTTTATAGAAATACTGCCTGTGCTATATGGATGAACTATTGATTCCACTTCAATAAAAGTCCCATAGGAATCATAGACTCTGCCAAGCAAAGTTGCTTCCCCTATAATTCCAAGCTTTATTGTGAATTTATTTTCTCTTGTTTTCGGTATTAACACTCTGGTGCTGTTTTCCAATGTTATGAAGATTTAATAGGATAAAGGCTCATGCCTTCAGGATCGCTCCATCCTGAAAATAAATCCCAAATTCAGTTTCTAAAGCAATTCCTTTAGAATTGTAATCAATTTCGAAAGTTACTTCATTTGGTGGGCAGTTAGCATATCTTTTTTAGAGACATTTTGTTTTTGCATAAGTTTCTTTATCAATTTTTATGACTGAAAATTTATACTCTCTTCCAGGAGTTAAACTGCTGGGGTATTGTAGGAGTAAAGTCAGATTATTGGCTTCTCCCCAAGAAATTACTGTGCTCATTTCGTTTTCTACATGGGCAAGAATTCTCACAGAAAATGATCAGTCCAAAAATCGATATTTTGTTATGATATAAACTTTCGAAGCAATTCTTGGTGAAACATTACCTAATGATTTTCAGTGACTGGCAGATAATCAGTCAAACTGATAGTAAAATTACAAATAAAGTAACTATTCTTATTTCCAAATTAAAAGAATTCCTAGCAATTTCAACAAATTTACCATAAATGCAACTTTTTTCAGTAAATTTCACAGATCACTTCTCTTACTCCCCCCCCCCCCTCCGTGAGCGAACAAAACCATTAGAAAAATCGCCATTTTTTGACCAAAAACCCACCCTCCGTGAGTGAACAAAAATTTTTTTAATAGAAAAAATTTTAATGGAAAAAAATTTTGATATATAAGTGATAATTAGTATAATGAAATCTAGAGCTAATTCTGTTTAATTTTAAACAAAATTGCGTTTTAAAACATAAATTTTGCAAATTAAATTAATATTTGCTTCCCAATTTTTGCAAATTAGGATTTTTTTAAATTTCGAAAAAAAATATTTTTTATATAAAATTTATATATAAATTTTTTTTAAAAAAAAAAATTAACCCCCCTCCGTGAGCGAACAAAATTTTTTTGTTCGCTCACGGAGGGGGGGGGGGGGAGTTAGGGATATTCCATCGCTTCCGTATGTTGAAGTTAAATTAACAGTAATATATAGAGTTAGAATATACCGTCGTGTTTACACCTAAAACCATCAGATTAGGAGACGGCGGAGTAGCAACAACTTTTACACTAGCAGAGCGAGTATAAGTGGCACGATTGAATTGTACGTTTGCAGTCACAACATATTCACCACATTTAGAAAATAAATAAGTAAACTCAACACTTGAGGTGCTATAATCTTTACTTTCAGACAACTGTCTATTGCTTTTTGCAACGCTTCAATAAATTGAAGGATTTGGATCTAATTCTATGAGAGTGCCTTTTTGATACTGGAATTTTAATTTTAATGGTGCGTCAGCACCGAAATTGATGGTTTCTTTATTATCTATAGAAATGGCTACTTCGTCGTATATCATGTTTACTGAAGTGGTAGATGAATAAGATTGACTGAATTTGTAAGTTACGGTTAAAGTTACCTCGAAGTAATTATGATATTTTGCGCTCTCGCAACTTTCTAAATTTTTACCCCCATTAATGAATTAGGCGCTGTTAAAATATTCAATTTTGATCCATATTTTTTTTTAAATAACTTTAAGCTTTATAATTCCTTCAAACAATTTCAAGTGATTCTGCGAAATTTTAAGAACAATAAATTAAATTAAATTAGTGCGCTATTATGAAGAAAAATTATCCTAGCTATTTGAATGAAAAAAACTCTTGCTCATTTCAAAATGAGTAAGGTAATTTAGAAATTCTTTGTGTTATATCACCATAATAGCTTAAAAACTTGCTTAAAGATCATTTACATGAAAGATTTCCCATTCCCGCCTATTGAGATCCGTCAAGAGTCAATTCGCAAGAGCAGCAGATCAAGCGGATTTGAGTAATTCTAGCTTTTGGCTGAGGTTGTTTTTCCCCTTGATACTCATAGTGATATATGCAAGATTAGTTTTATTACTATTTGAGCCAGCAAAAACTTATTCAGTAAATGTCAAGGATTTTGCACTGTCTTGAAATAGCCTAGATAAATTTCCAGTTCATTTTCAGATATTTTGAAACAAGAAACGCTTTTTTCGAGGAAGATTATTGAGTCTTTTGGCAATATTTGATCACATTGAGCAGATAAGCATTTCTCATCTTGGCAAAATTTCTCTGAGAAAACTAATTGATTATATAATTTAATTTGAGATAACTTATCTCAAAATAATAATTTATGTTTATCAATTCTTGATAGACCATCAAATACTTCGAAAAATCATCATAAAAAGCGTTAAAAGATATAGGATATGAATATCCTTGATACTGAACTTGGACAACTGAAGGGTTGTTGCTAATGCTGTAGCTTGGATCAATAGATAACGTAAATGAGCATGTAAAATTTTCATTGAAAGGGCCTAATGAGCATTTATTACTGCTTAGCTACCATTTTTTCAAATTTGAAATAAATTATTTAAGCAAGCTTTATAGAGTTTAAATCTATTTCGTAAATATTTGCTAGAGGTATCATTATTTTAATCATTAAATGTATTAAATATAATTTTCCCAGGAAGATGGGATGAGATTCAGCAAAAAAAACTGTTCTATTTAATAATTAAACACTCTAAATGGTATTAATAATAAGTTCTCAACTTCAGTTTCCTTCAATGACATTTTCTTGAGGTATAGAATAAACCAATATAGCTAAGGGCTGTTCTCATAAGGAGCCCTAATACAATTAAGTCTATCTCAATAATTCTCAACACAGATTACATTTTTTAACTCCTGAAGCATGAAGAATGCATTCAAAGCAATTTGCTTTTCCAAAATTGGGGCATATAGCACATAAAGGATCTTGGCAAATATTACAAGTATCATCTCTTATGCACCCTTTATTGCAAGAAATGGGGCAGCTTTTGCATTTATCATGCTCCACTGAATAAAATTCATTTATCTTGCACGGAGATAAGCAATCTCCTAAAGAAGATCCACAAGTTTTAAGGCTTTCCGAATCTTCAAATTTATTTCCGCTATTCTTTCATATTTGAAGCTTATATAAAAACCCTTTAAAATGAAACTTTGAACTTTTTCTTATATAGCCTGTTTCCGGCTATAGATCGGGCTATGCCCGATCTTTGCCGGGAACAGGCTATAAAAAGAGTTAAATTCACCATATCTTTAAGCAGCAAATTTGGAAATCCTTGTCTTATTATTTATCTATTATTTGCATATGCCATAAGGACGTTATAGAACTTTCGTACGAAATAATGCAAGATAGGTAGATTCAGCCTTTAAAACTAATTCCTAACGTTTGAAAATCTGTCTTGCAGGGTTATTGACAAAGTTGCATTACTTGCTAATAAAAATCTTCTCCTACTCAAGAATGTCTCCGTTTCCTTGGTTTCAAATTCCCATCAAAATCAAAAAAGTGTGAGAAAAATAATAAGACTGCTCGTTTGGAGAAATGCAAAATTCCAATCAAAAAGAAACCCCTGCTCTTTGCTATCACTGATCTTCATTTTCAGGTGAATTAAAAGGGTTATATGAAGCCTTATTAGCCCCAACAATAATTTTTTCATAAGTTTCACTAAATTATGCTTTGAATTTAGTTAGGTATTGGTATAAATAGGCATTATCTACTAATTTCCCTTTCACGAATTCTAAACAAGAGAAATATTCTTGGCCTCTGCAAGTTGAGCATCAATACTCACAAAAGAAGTCACAGCCATCTGTGGTTAAAATAGCATTAGCGTCACAGGAACAATTTTGGTCTTTTATTATGAGCTTTTTGCATATATTTGTAGTAATTTGAAGGATCAGAAAGCCTTGAGTATTCTTGACAGAGCTGGTCATTACACAATAAGCAGGATGGAATCTCGCACAGGTAGTTTCGCTATGATGAAGGTAAGAGTGCCAAAAGCAGCTTTTATGTTTAATCTAATGTAAAACTTTGTCTTATCAAAGGTCCTGAAGTAGACTAAGCCTCTTACTCTCTCCCTCCACGAGTGAGTAAAAAATTATTTTAATTCGCTCACAAAGGGGTTTATTTTAACTATATAAATTTTATAGTAATCTTTTTAATTCGAAATAATTTATAACGAATATTTATTTAATTTATAAAATTTATGTTTAAAATGAAAGCTGCTAAAAATTAAACAGAATTAGCTAGAGATTTCATAATACTAATTTTGCTTATATATTTAAAACATTTTTCATAAAAACTATGTATATTAAAAAACAATTTTTTTGTTGGAGTGATTTTAGGCAAAAAATATATACAATTGCCCGAGGATAGCGCAAAATCCTCGGGCAATTTGTATAGATTTTCTATGGTTTTTGCTCGGGAGAGTTAAGAAGTTAGCCATTATTGTGAAAAAAGAAAGGAGCTCATAAAAGTTCCCTGCAGCGCCAATGATGCTTCAGACGTAGCTTAAGATCAGCTTTGATATGTCTAGGCAGTTTAATGAATCCAAAAAGTAAAATCGTTTCGATTAATAAAAATGCAAAAATTCATAAACCAGCAATAAGAAGTTCACGATTCAGAATGCAATAAAAGCCCAATGTCTGCATCCCCATACATTCCAAGCATTCAAGTTAAGAAGGCAATGCTTAAAGCATAAATAGCTGTTAAAATGGCATTAAATTCCTTTAACAAGTCTCATTTCATTCTGATAACTGATTGGATAAAAGCAGTTGTATATACTAATTGACCAAGAATAGCCCATTATGGAGCCATTCTTGGTCTGCCAGAAAAAATTTTGACAAAAAGATCCTAATCTGCCATTACCACTGAGTTTTGGTGTTTCCAAATTTTTTGGGTAAGCCAAATGCAATAAAAAAAATTGTTCTTTTGCGATGATGCATTTGGCTTGTCAAAAAAATTTGGAAACACCAAAACTCAGTGGTAATGGCAGATTAGGATCTTTTCTGCCATTACCACTGAGTTTTGGTGTTGCCAAATTTTTTTGACAAGCCAAATGCATCATCGCAAAAGAACAATTTTTTTTATTGCATTTGGCTTGCCCAAAAAATTTGGAAACACCAAAACTCAGTGGTAATGGCAGATTAGGATCTTTTGTCAAAATTTTTTCTGGCAGACCAAGAATGGCTCCTTAGTGGGCTATTCTTGGTCAATTAGTATATATTTCTATAATCAGGCATTTGTGGATAGCTCGCAAGAATTTTAGACTATCCCTTGATATATCTTTCAAAATCTCAGCTTAGAGAGCTGGTTCAATTTGCACTAAGAATGTACGATTTTCATGAATAGTCCTTTGCAGCTTTCTTCGAGGAGAAGCCAAAAATATGAAGTCTTTGCTTTCCATTTTCTGGAACCCTGATTCGAGAAAGGGGAGCATTTGAGGAGAGTGAGCGTCGAGAAGTTTGACAATATCGTCTCGTAAGGCATGCATCGACTGCTCCAAGACATCATAAATTTTACAATTTATAATACTATTTAGATGGTGAAGAAAAAGCATTCTCAGGATTGCCGCTCGATTGCGTAATATAAAGAGCTCCTATTGAAATTGTCCCGAAACATTGCCGCGCCTAGGTCTTGAGCTTTTCTTAATAAGTCAGCCAAGTCATAGAAGCTGTAGTAAAGAAGGAAGTTTATTTTCATCGGGCCAATTTCTGCAGCTATCATAGCAGTTTCAGGGACGACCCTGTTGATAAGCTTTTTCATGAAAATATGATTTGATATTCCTGAATCATAGCCATAGACCTTCAATGAATTTTTCTTGCTTAATGCGTTTTGTTTTCGAATAACAACTTCGCCAATTTTTCATACCAGGACTGTTTTATCATTCGAAGGCGTCACAAAAAAATTATCTTTGCCTGCTATTTTTATGCAGCAAATGGCAAATTCATGCCCTTTCAGAACTCTCTCTTGCCTTCTTTCTTTGATATTCCAAACTCTTACAGTGCAATCGCCGGATCCCGAAACTATGTATAGAAATTTCCCATAGATGGCGCTGTTTGCCCTTGATTTTTTCCCACTGGGGAAATTTTTTGGTTCGACCAATCCCATATGGTTTGGCCAAACCAAAAAATTTTTCTCATGGGCAAATCAAGGGCAAACAGCACCATCTATGGGAATTTCTATATTTGCTAGTCATTTGTACATTTCTATGCGTCTCACTCTTTTTTCGTGTTCTTTCTAAACAGCGACCTGCATTCTGCTCATAAAAATCCCAAATTCTGATTGTTTTTTCATTTAAGCTAGAAACTATGAACTTTTGGTTCCTTGTCAGCTGAAGATACTTCACTTCATTTTTATGCTCTTTCAAGATCTGTAGCAAGCTCAAGCGTAAACAAGCTCCAAATGATAATATTATTATCATCTCCTCCAGAAATTGCAAAATTATTATCTTTTGATAATTGAAGGCAGGTAACGTGGTCTTCGTGGCCAATTAGTACTGCGCTTTCTCAAGAGGTTTCGATGTTACACACTCGAAGAGTGTAGTCTCTTGATGCTGTGATTATCTTTTGGCAAAATCCTTAGTTATCAAGAGAGCAGTATGTTGTCAGCATGCCCAGATAAGACACTTTCGTTGTCTGGCTCAACGACATTCCAAATTCGGACTTTATTGTCAAGCGATGCAGAAACTATATGGAAACTGCTTTCTTGTGGTTCCTCACAATTTCATGTTGTTAAGCCTTCAAATTTGCAGCTTGTCTCTCTTTACTGATGCCGATATGAGAATTCTACTGTCAGGTGATAGAGATAAAGCTGTGACCTCTCTTTCATGGCAGCTTAAATGGGCAATTTTCCTTATGCTTTTCTGAGTTTCATATCATAATTGTATTATCTGGCGATCCTGCGGAATAAATAGGCCTGCCGTCTTTTGTGATCTGCGAATGCCTTACTTCGCCTTCATGCCCAGAGAAAGCAGTTTCCTTTGGCCACTCTTCAGTTCTCCAGATCCTAATAAAATAGTCATATGATCCGCAAATAATAAGCCTATTGTTTGCAGTGATTTTCAAAAATTTGTGTCGGGCATTATTTCCCTCGAGCGAGTTAATATGCCTTTTGGTATTTAAATATCAAACTCTTACTGTAGAATCAGTAGAAGCTGATATAACATACTTGCTGTCACTTGTGGCGTCTATACAAGTTATGCCATCTTCATGCCCTTCTAGATTGAATTTTTCATTTGGGTCTGAAATACTTCATACCCTAATAATGCTGTCAGATGATCCGTAATAATCTACTTATCATCTTTTGTAATGTTTAAGCAGCTTATCTGTCCAGAATTTTTTCCTTGAATTCGAGTTTGGAATCCTCAATCCCTTATAAATACGCAGAGGGAAAGTTGACAATGACGACAGCCTTTTTGCAATCACTTGCCATCTGGAGAAAAGAAATGGACTCGACCTCAGTGATTGCTTTGATGACAGTCTTAGTCTTCACACTTCAAAGTCTGCAGGTGCCATCGAGATAATAAATTTCGAGTTTTCAGTGATTTTCACCAACTTCACCTTATCAGTGTGCAAAAAAGTCAGCTGGTTGTTATCAAGGCTCATATGTACACAGATGCATCAGCAGTGCTAGCTGCGATTAAATTGGTTGTTGCAAGATATATCCAAGGTCAGCACAGAAGAATAGAGTCCACGCTCGAAATCCAATATTCATTAAGAAGGTTCCAAAACTTGACTGTTCCATCATAGGTCCCTGAAGCCAGATAGCGATGAATGGCTGACGTATTTAGGCAGCTGATCCCTGTAGAGTGCTTGCCATTAACATATTCAAAATCAGAGTTTCACATAAATGAAAGGCATTTTGCATCAAGCCAAATTTCTTCAACATTTTCATCATTTACTGCAATTTCTTTTTCAAGTAAGCCTTCACGATTGGTTTCTAAGTCTATGAGTTTAATTTCACCTAATTTTGGCTCCTATTACACAAAGGTTGTCAGTAGTTGATGCTTTAAAGGATTATGATTATTAAAGTCAGGCTTAGCCATATTGGCGACTAAGTCACCAAAGACCTTCCGTACGGAGGTTCTACCGCTTTTCGACTCCAGGCCAGAGGGTTTCTGCCACATTCAGTACTTTCTATCTACTCCTTGAGGTTTCAATCTTGAGTACTTATGGATTTATGTGGTCCTGCTACGGGCGATTGAGTAGCTTGATTCTGATTCCATGGATACTCCTTGGAGCCTATCTGGTGTCAAAGTGCCTTTCTTCAACAGCTACAGGAAAAAGATACTGTGGCCTGGGCCGAAACCCTAGTTTCTCGGTAGAGGAAACGCCCATGTGTCCTCAGATCCAAAGGGCATTGTTGAGCACCTATATTTCCCAACCACAGGAAAGCAGCCAAAACCTATAGAAATTGCCCAAGGATGGCGCTATTTTGCGCCATCCTCGGGCAATTCAAAAAACAGGCCCCCACGGGAATTGAACCCACGTGTGGGGCCATTTTTGGGTATGTGCAGAATATTGACTTCCACGTACCAAAAATGGCCCCACACGTGGGTTCAATTCCCGTGTCGGGCAATTTCTATACCCGGATACACATCTCTTAAACTTGCACTTGATTCTCAGATCGGAGTCCATCCCAGTTCGCCGTAGCCATATGGTTTGTACTGCTGCGCCAAGAGGGCAGGTTGGCACGTGTCGCCATTTTAATATATTGATGCTTTCAAAAGGAATATTAAATATTTGTGGCTTGAGAAATTCATTGCATTGTCGATATCATATATTGCCATAGCCAACGTAGAAATCATTTAATAATATATATATTAATGAATTTTAACAATAAGTTTATTTATAGTCTTTATAGAGTAGATAGTGCTTCTTAGTTAAAAAAGCAAAATCTGAATAGATTCCACATATCCTTTGCTTTTTCCCCATATATATAAACACTGACAATCTGTCTTTAAGCGCAGTGGCTAATTAAATTCTTCCATTTAATATTAAATTATAAAGTGGCTTTGCCTGAACCGGAATATGAAATGCTTTTCACAAATTTGCTTATAATTTTATTTAAAAATTCTCATCATTAGCCTGGATTTTATGATCTTTAAATAGCGTATTTTCTATAAAATTAGAGCTCAAATCAAGTCTGTAGATGAGCTAAAATTCACGAATTTCGATTTCTTAATCCCTCCTTCACTGAGCGAACAAATAATTAGAAAAAAGTTTTTAAATGTTTTTGTGTAAAAACATTAACAAAAAACTATTTTAATATAAAAATTTTTGTTTCAAATATATATATATAAGTGATATTAAATTTTAAACAGCTTGTATTTTAAAAAAAAATTTACAAATTGAATTTCATTTTGCTTTTCAATAGGATTTTTGTAATTTCGAAAAAATAATTTACTATAAAATGTATATACTAAATTTTTAAAAAAATTAAACTCCTCCGTAAGCGAACAAAATTATTTTACTCACTCACGGATGGGGGAAGTCAAATAAAAAGACTGCTGCCTTCATAAAGATAAATCGATACCTGCATCACTGGATAAAAGATTAATTCAAGTAATGGTTCTAATCTATAGCGAAACACTAGATTTAATAAAAAATTATTTTTATTAGGGAATGTGAACTTTGGTGAATTCTTATACTTAATTAGGAATTCCGATAATCTGAAGATCAAATGCTAACTAAGCATGCGTGGTTAATAAAATATTTTAAAGAAATAGAATCATTCAGCGGCTCAAGATTTTCAGAGGCAACTCAGCTTAAACCCGTTTTTCAGCAGATTGGGAAAAGCTTTTTCTCTTAGAGCTAGCAAGTTTGAAGACTTAGCCTTTTCTGAATTCAAGATGATCTCCATCTCTAGAAATTTCCAGCCAATTGCCGACACTGAAGCTGCTGAATTTGACTTCTCTTCCGTCCCAGTCCAAGCTAATTGGACCCATAAAGGAGCTCTTGCCCAATTAATGAGGAAGCTACTGGTTATTCTAAATACTGAATCTATTGAAGGTGCATAGTTTTTGGCTGGGCACATCTTGAATTCTCTATAACAGCGACAATTTATGGATTACTCTTGTGGAACGAAGCCTGCAAGGGAGTTTGCTTGAGAGCTTCAAGTTCATTCAAAGCGCTAAACAATATAGGCTCTGGGTCTTAATCTTCCTTCTTAAAATTATAATTGATAAAATTACTGCATCTTTTCCTTTTTCTTCCTTGGCTCTGTGTATAAAACGTCTTCTTAATCAAAATTAAGAAATTTGCCGATCATAATCATTTCTTATTAAATATAAAATACTTTAATTCCCCCCTCCATGACCGAACAAAAAATTTTGTTAGCTACATAAGGCTAATTTTTTTCTTTTTTAAAATAAATTTTATATAAATTTTTATTTAAATTGTAAAAATATCAAAATTATTATATTAAAATAATTTTTTGTTTGCTCGCAAAGTGTGTGCTTTTGAACTAAAAATAGGGGATTTTTCAATTTTTTTGTTCTCTCACTGAGGGAGGAGCTAGGGGGATTCATGAAGCCCGTGTACTTCTTATATTGTTCCAGTCTACTCTATTAAAGAAAGATGTACTTTGATTTCTTCAATTTCCATAAGAGCCAAGCCGATCTCCAGCCTCACACAATAATTTTCTTATCAAATCACAAGTGGAGTGCCTCAGCTCGCTTCTAGTGATATTGAAAAAATGCTTCTCAAGTGCAAGATTCTTTAGCAAGCTATAAATATCTTAAAAGAAATGAGGATGCATGATTATTTAAAATTAAATAACACCGCACTCCATCAGTCAACTGTTTAATAAATCCCTTTTCAAACACTTCTGGAGCTATATAGTCAGGAATTTTATAGTTGAGTAAGTCAGGGCTATGCTCCGCTCATTGTCTGCTCGCCTTTCCATATATGGTTTTGGCTCGACTTCTTGCTTAAATTTGAATGCCAAATATATCCTGGATATCACTTAATTTAAAAAGCCCAAAATCAGATAATTTTATATTGCCATCTCTACTAAGAAAGAAATTATCTGGATTGATATCTCTATGTATATAGTTTAATTTTTGCAGTGACTCTACAGCTAAAAAATCTTGGAAATATAAAACTTAGCAAGAAGAATATCTCTTTTAATTAAAACATCATTAAGTCAAATAATTATAGCTCTTCTATAATAATTTTATTATAATTATAATTTTGCTTTAATAAACTAACACCATAATAATTGTATGGAGCTAATTCATTGTTTCGAGCCAAAGTGCAAGCGCGAAGTTGAATATACGTGCTATTGCACTTCTCCTGGAACTCTATCCTGTGAAAAGCATATTGGGAAACATTTGAGGATTCCTAACAAGACCCACTCCTATGACAGTAAATTTGTAGAGCCTTGTGAAGAGACAAAAGAAGCAATACTTGAGCTTCTTATGGAAGAAGTGTCGAAAAATAGCATATTGAAGGATAAAATCTTAGGATCCTTTGGTCAATGCTTGCTTAAATCAGAGCATGATATCAGAGAGCTTGTAAAATCTTTGGACTTAAATTCATTTAGAATAAGCTATTATTTTGCAAAAATTCCTCAAACTCAAAAGATATCAAAATCAGAGCAAGACCCAATTTTAGGGTTATTGAGTTTACAGCCTGGTGAAGCTGTTGAAAAATTAAAAGCAATGATCCCATCCAATCAGACTGGCATGGCAGTGAAAAGCTATTTTGCGAATTCAGCGAAGAAGTAGAGGAAATAATTGGGGATTTTACTAAAGATAAGTTTGGCGCTCATTTGAATAAAATACTCTTTAGTATAGAAAGCACTATTGAAAAGCATAATAAATTTACCACAACAGTAAATGTCAAGCATAAAAATATTATCAAAACAACAGTTGATAAGTTAGCAAATATAAAGGAATCCATTTCCAAGTTGATAAAAGAGTATGAAAATAGCATAAGAGACCTAGAAGGAATAAATCTAATAAATGAAAATAAAAAGAGCGAGAAAGACCTCAAAGACAGTAATGAAGACCTGCTTTATTCTCAAACTATTAAAATAAATCAAGATCTTATCAAAAATAATGAAACAGAAAAAGCCCAAAGCATTCAAGAGCTAAGAGAGAAGAGGTCTGAAATTTTAAATAGACCAAATGACCCAGAATTAGAGCAAGACTTTAGGAGAACCTGCTCAAAGTTCAGTAGCGATGTCTGTGTTGATCAGCAAGCTTATCAAGATTATACTAATGCTTATCGCCAAAAAATATCTCTTTATACAATTATATACAATAATTTGATTATTTATGATACAGAGAATGATAGTAAAGAAGTAAAGATATTAGAGACTCTTGAACCACTAGATTGTCTAACTTGCATTGCTCAGCTTCCTAATGGTAATTTATTTTGCTTTGGTAATTGCCAACCTTCTGGAGTTTCATTGATAATTGATGAGAATTATAGAGTTCGGTAGCTGCCATCTGGAACTCCTTGCGTACTTCATCAGCTATCTATTTCAATAATAGTCTTTATTGCTTTGGAGGAGGATATAATAGAAAACATTTAACTCTATCAGAGAGATTTGATTTAAATGAAAACCGATGAATTAAATTAGAGCCACTGCCACAAGCTGATTACCGTTGCACTAGTGTAATATTTAACGGGAATATTGTGATTTCTGGATTAAATAAAAATCTTTTGAGGTATTCAATTGTTAGCAACACTTTCGCAACAATTCCTTATGATTTCCAAGCTAATAAACCCAAGATTCTTATAAGTGCAGAGAGACTGTATTTAATTGAATGTGAAAATGGATCAATCTATGAAAGCGAATTGTCAAATGACGCTGCCTGGAGACGAATTGGAGGCTCAATAATAATTGGTTATTTTAATCAAGTTTATTTGTCATATAATAAAGGAGGAATAAACATTGCATGCTGTTTGGGTGTTATTTCTTACTTCAAGTTTAATTTAGAGACGAAAAGATTAACTAAGGTGGATAAATATATTTAAGAAGATAAGTAGGTCTCATTTAATAATCTTTTCCTATTAACTCTTTTCAATATCTTTTATTGATCAATCTGGCTTTTATACTCATGCACTTGAAGCTTATTCTGAAATATAAATATTAATGTTTTTCACTTGAGAGATGCTTCAACTGACACAATAACTCAATAATTTATTATGAATTACATAATTTGATATGATTCGATCTGCATCTGTTCCTCCAATTCCATCATATCATGTCCCGGCATCGCCTGTAACGGTACAGCGTTTAGTAACAAGTTTTGTACAGGCATAGCTTGTAGTATAGCTTGTAATGGCATGTCTTGCACTGGCGCATCTTGTAGTGGAGGTCCTTATATATCAATTTGCATCAAATCTTCCAATTCCAGCATGTCATGCTGTGACACTACCTGTGGTGAAACTGTGCTTAGTACCATGTTATGCACAGGCATATCATGTGCTGCACCATATTGTAGATCCACTTTTTGTATCGCATGTCGTAACTGTAATTCCTGTATTGACATAGCCTGTATAGGCGTAGCTTGTGTCGGAACATTCTGCAGTAGCATCAGACACGTACTGTGCATGCACCTCCTGTATAGACATTTCATAGATGACTCAGCATGTAGTGACCCAATATGTAGTAGCTTATCCTGAGGTGGTTCAGCCTATACTGGCAGTGGTTGTTATAAAATGGATCTGCTTGGATTGGCATAACTTGCACTTTTGCCGAGCAAAAAAAGGGCCCGTTCCAGTCAACCTAGTTGACTATACCAATTACCCGTATCTTAACCAGGCATATCGCCTCCTGTGTCTCATAATTGTAAATTCAAGGAGCCATCTTTGTAATGTTCGTTTTTCTATGGTAAAAAATACAAAATTGACGCATATTATTGGTATAAATTTATCGAGAAAAATGCCATCACAGTATTTTACGAGAATTGAGGTTTTGCCTGTGCCAGAGTTTTCTATAATGCAAATATTAATCGCCCTGAATTAGATTTACTCGCCCATTTTATAATTATTTAAAATCCATTTTCTCATATAATTTATTTCCTAAAGTTTCAGAGATTTTGATCGATTACGATAAATCCAAATGATTTGAACTATCATTTAAATAAAGGAAAAGTGCTGGCTGAGATGGGAAGAAATGCTGAAGCTGCCAATTATTTTATGGAGGCAGGAAGAATTGACCCTAAAATCGATGATCCTTATTTCTAACAGCAAGCCAATTAATTTCTCTTTTCAAGAGCAACAAAATTAATGGAAAATTAGCATTCTTTTAAGAGCGACCAAAATTTTTTTAATATTTTTATATACATTTCTAATTTTTATTCGAATATGTTTATATGAATTTAAATCAGGTAACATTTTTAAACATATAACTATATTTTTTAAAATCTTAAAAAAAATATATAATTTAATATAAATCTTGTTCGTTTTGCATGGAATAGGAATAATATTTAAAATTTATATAATTTTGGTCTTCGGGGAATAAAGCATATTTTAGTAAAAATATAATTCTGATTATCAATAATTATTCCATAAAATGTTTAAAGAATTTTATGATTGAAAAGAAGTCTTTTTAATTGAAATTTATCTATTGTTTAAGCTATGAATTAAAAATTTAAATTGAATTGCACCCCTTAGAAATAATATTTTATTAATCCAATTATTATTGCTGTTCTAGTGATAAAGAAATGAATATCCTAATTGAAACTGTTTGGAGTCTTCAAAATTTTTGATTTTCCCTTCATTTGTTGATAATAAGCTGCAATTTTTTATTACAAGATGCTTAGATTGGTCTATAAGTGCTGAAAATTTTCTTGCTTCTTTTCCCCAGAGCATAAAAACCGCTTTATTCAGAATGGAGTTTAAAATGTGAGCTATTTCAATCACAAATTCATTAAATTTATCTAATTTTTCTCTTGTCATACTCCTAAAAGCAATTGCAGGGCTAAGAACAATAATATACTCATGTTTAATAAATAAAGCATATTTATTATATCCTTCCTGTTTTTATTCATATCAAGCATATCTTTTTTCAATTTTATTCACTTTTTATTCAAATCTATACTTCTACGAACCATATTAATCTTTTCAATCAGCTTATTGTAATCAATTATCTTTTTCTTTGGCATTGAAATCAAAATAATAATTTTTATAGTTCTTGGGTCTTTTTTAAAAATTTCGAAAAAATAATTTAGTCTTTCACCGACTTCTAAATTATCAAACCATCTTTCATTATCCGGACTTTTATTCAAAACTGAAGGGAAAATTCCAATATTTCGCTTTTGTAATACGATAAAGCTTCAAATTTGTTTTATCAAAGCAATTATTGTAGGACTAAGCAGATCTTTTCATAAAGGAAGAAACGATTTTAAGGTCTCATCAAAAATTACTGAGCTGTCTAATCTATGAATTCCCCTAACAATATTTGGATTAGTTTGGCTTATCTCTGCGTCAATTTTATTGTGCCTAAATTCAAACTTAATCATATCATGGTTAGATGTCATAATATAAGCATCATTATCATAATACAGCCAATAAGAAAACCTATCAATTCCCCATCTCTTAATGACTCCCATAAATTTTCATTATAATTTTTTTTAAAAACATAGTCCTTGGCCCAGATTTCTTATTATTCTTGGATGATAAATTTTTTAATAATTAATTGCTATTTACCCTAATTTTCATTCATCTAAATTCCACAAACTTAATGAAAATAAATGTCCATGGTCATCAACAGCATATAGATTTTCATTAAGCGTAAATAAGTGCTTTACTCCACCTATCTCAATAGTGTTCATAGTTGATTTGGAATTGGTTAAAATATCATAAACTTCAAATAGGTAAATGTTTTGCTCAGATGAAATGATTATATAATCATAAAACAAAGCACAGGAATAATATAAATGATTGTTTCCTCCAGCTATAGTAAAATATATATCTCTATATATATCCAATTTATACCATTTCATAAATCCGAATACATAAACCATATCGTTTTTATAATAAACTGCAACTGGTCTTGTTACTTCTTTATGCGAAGGTTTTTTAAAGCGAAAAATATTTCCTTGAGTATCCAAAGAAAATCAAACACCTGAGTCTTTTGGGTTACGATGGTAGAAGCAAAGAACTTTATTATTAGGAAGCGAGCAAAGTATTCAAAACTGTTTTTCAGCCATTTCATCTGGCTTAATTTGCAGCAATTGCTTAGAATAGTCATTTACATCTAAAAATCATGCATGCTCTGGAAAATTTTCTCTATAAAAGCAAATATTTGAATTAAAAACTTCTTTTGAGCTTGGGTTTGCAACTGTCTCTGATGCTGTCTGTTTTTCTAACATTTTATTAATAATTTTTAAAAAGAACTATTAAAAACGAAATGTTATATTTGGGATAATACTAATAACCAGCAACTTATAGGCTTTTTCAACATTAAATCCATGCTTAGTTGATATTTCTATATATGCTAAGCTCAATTTATATTTCTAAAAAAAATTTTAAAGAAAATACGAATTTTTATAAAATTAATTTTAAGCAAAAATTAATTGAATGCTTTTAAATTCACTTTTGGAGATTTCGATAGTTCAAGGCCGAGCTTTGTTTTCATTTGGTCTGATTCTTTAGAATTATTTTTGATGACAGACTGTATGCATTTATCTATTTCTTCATTCCCAATAGTATTTTTAGAAATAAATTCAAATTTTCCAACAGGTGAGCTGGAATTGGAAAATTCAGCTAAAGAGACCAAAGAGCAACTCTTGATTTTTGATTCTTCAATGTTTTTTAATAAATTTTTTTTTATTCTATCTTTAAGAGAAATATCCAGTTATTTTCACAGCTTTTCCCTTTTTTAAAAAAAAAAGCTATTAATTTCTCAAAAAATATATTTTTTATACTCTTTTATTTATCATAATAATCCTTGGCGAGTTTCTATACATATGATTAAAATAAATTGAATTCAGCCCTTTTGCAACTTCCTCTTTGGCAACCACCTTTTCTTTTCCTCTTCTATATTGATAGTTCGCCTTAGGTGTCTCAAAAAATTGAATATTTAATTTTGATTTCGTTCTATCTGGACCGTATTTTCTTTTATTATTTTGCACAAGTCTATAGGTTTCTTTATCCGTGAAAATTTCTTGAGTCATATATCTCTTATGCTGCGGATTATCCCCATAAATGATTTGCAAAGCATTTTTTTCTTTTTGCTTATGCTTTTCCAGCTCTTCTTTATTTTTGATTAGCTCGATTCGGTTTTTTCCTTTCAAATAAGTCTTAGTTCGATTGAAAGTAATCCCTGTTTTCGGTGATGAGATTTGGGTAAGGATTCTTAAGGTATCAATTGAGGAAGATTTAACGGGTTCTTTTTTTATCATTTTTAGGTCATTTTGTAATAGGTCAATTGAGGAAAGAAGATGGGTGACTCTTTTTGCTCTTATTGTTGGGCGCTTTGGGGTTGCTATATTATCAAGCTTGAGTGGCATCATTTTTTGATTATTTTTAGTGAATCGGTAATATGAAAGCGCTCAGAATGGCTCTTTTTTGTTAGGTGAACTAATAAAAAAATGTTTAGAGTCAAATCAAAAAAATTATGACGAGATTTTAATGCTGAAAAATAAAGAAAGAGATAGGCTTGATAATTCTGATTTTTTGAAAATTATAATTATGATAAATTTTAAATGATTTGCTCTGCTTAGATTCCGATTGGAAACAATTTTCAAGCTAATTATTTTTGAATTGAATTTGAATTAAAAGTAAAATTTTAAACACATAATTTATTTGTATATTTAGCTAATAAGCACCCCAATTATATAATTTTGCAATAATTTTAATCAAAAATTATAGATGCTCTCGTGATAGCTACACTCAAAAATCAAATGGGTAAAGCAATTAGATTTATACTAGACCCTTGAATGCGATCATAATCAGCTATCCACAAGCAATAGGTATATTAATGACCGTATTATATGGTAATAGATACAAAATCAAGTGACACTATGGCTTTCTTAATTCCAAACAGTTTAAAATCCAAAACTAAGAAAGAGAATCTTCATGAGCGAAGAAAATTTATTGCGAATTTAAAAATCCCAATTCACAAAATCCGAAAGTAAACTTTGTTTAATATTTAATTTGCTTAAAATTTAACAGAATTAATTAGAGATTTATTATAAAAATTACAATATATTTTTTCTACAAAAATTTAAATTAAAAATGATTTGTTAGCTGGGGCCCAAAAATAGGTTTTGTTCATTCACGAGGGGGAACTTAGAATTATTTTTTAAGTATAAAAATTGTAATAACTATTAATTGTAATGAGCTTAATATTTGACAAATTTTTTAATCATATATTAACTAAAAAAGGCTACTTATAGAATAAATAAAAGGATTTAATATTAGTTTTCTAATGAAAATAATTTTAGTTTAGATAGGATCAATATTTTAAAAAGCAATTAAAATAATTCAGAATTAGTTTTTTAATTATTCTTAGATTCAATAGCTTTATTATAGCATTCCATAGCTTCTTCTTTTCTTCCAATTTCTTCAAGAGCAATTGCTAAGGTTTGATAATACGTTGGATTTGTAGGCTTGATAGAAATGGCACCATAAAAATATTTTATCGACTCTTCATGTTTCTTATTATCTAATAATATGCACCCTATACTATAATAGGCAGGATCATAATTTGGATTATTTTTATATTAATTATCAGCAACTTATTTGCTGCTATATAAATAGGGAATGTCTGCCAAAGAACTTGCTTATTTAGAATGCAATTAATTTTTTTAATTAATATTAAGGGAATGCCACCATTTTTTATTTATTATTTGGATCAACTCTTATGGCATTGGTGTAGTATTCTATAGCATCATCATATTTTCCTTTTTTATTAAGTCCCCCTTAACGTGATAAACCAAAAAAATTATATATAAATTTCTAAATTTTTTTTTTCCAAAATTTAAAAATTTCCAATTGTAAAAATTGGCAAGTAAAAGCTAATTTAATATACAAAATTTATGTTTTAAAATGCAAGCTGCTTAAAATTAAGCAGAATTAGCTAGAGATTTCATGATAATAATTATAGTTTGTTTTTTCAATAAAAAATTTTTGCACGCTGCCGCAGGTGGTTTTGGGCAAAAGAGGGATTTTTCCAATGGTTTCGTTTGCTCACGGAGGGGGAGTAAAAGACACTCCTTTATTAATATATGCACAGATATAATCAGGATTACTTCTGATAGCTTCACTATAGTTGCTGATTGCATCTTCAAGCCTCCCTTTTTTATATTCTGATTCAGAGCAAATGAAAGCCTAAAATTATGCCGAAATTTGTATAGTGAACTACACTGACTGGCACGGAGTGCTTTTGGCTCAGTTTCGAGCCAAAAGCACCCCGTGCCAGTCAGTGTAGTTAACTATAGTAAAAAAATCGCTAATAATAAAAGATTCTATTATTTAGGTATAAAAATAGTATCCTAAGTTATTATAAGCAAGATGATTATTCTGGTCAAGTTTTTATATATAAACCTGAATTAATTATTTTGAAAATTTATAGATCTTTATGTGCAAAGAAAATATTTTTTAATATATAAATCAGATAATAATCAGCTGAGCATGATATAGCAAGATTTCAAGACTCTACAGCTTCTTTCTTATTATTTAACGAAAACAATACTGTTCCTTTATTGCTATGGCTTCAGGAATAATAAGGATTAACCTTACTCCCAGTGATCAAAAAAAATAGTAAAAAATTTTTAAAAATACCTATTTGCAAAAATAGTAATTTAATATAAAATTTATGTTTTAGAATATAAGCTGTTTAAAATAGAATCATTCGTTCAAGAACTTATATATTAAATATTTATAAATTAAAATTCCTTTGTTCACTTACAAAGGGGTTTTTACCCAAAAAACAAGGATTTTTCTAATGGCTTGCTTGCTAACAGGTGAGAGAGTTAATTGTTTTGTTTAAATATTTAATAGCTTCTTCATTTCTTTTTTCTCCGAAGAAAAGTTTTCCTAATCCGTTAAAAGCTTGATAGCAATTTGAATCAATCATAATTGCTTCACTATAGCAATTTAAAGCTTCTTCATATTTTGTTAAGTCTTGGCATGCACTTCCTTTGCTGGTATATCCTAGGCTAAATTTAGGTTATATTTGAATCAATTCATCGCAGCAATTAATAATTTCACTATATCTTTTTAAATCATGAAGAATCTTGCATTTAAAAAAATTAATAAAAATATTTTCAGGGGAGCTGCAAAGTTTATTATAACAGTCCAAGCTTTCTTTTTTTAAATTAATTGAAAATAAATATTCTGCTTTAATCAGATGGACAATAGAAAATTGTGGATTTATGCCAATAAGCTCATTTAAATGAGTTATTGCTTCTTCTTTTCTGTTTAGACTTGCGAGGATAATGCTTTTATACCAGAGAGCATCTAAGTATTCTGGTTTTAGTTTACCTCCCTCCCTGTATAAGCAAATTCTTGCTTATTCGTGGGGGCTTTTGAGTAAAATTTCAAATAGTAAATTTTGTATGAATAGATCGAAAGTTACTTATTATTGGTAAATGCCCAAAATTTGTTTATTCATGTTTTATTTGAAAACAGCAAATTTCTATTCATATAAAATTGACTATTTGAAATTTTGCTCAAAATCCCTGGCAAAATAAGCAAGAATTTGCTTTACTGGAGGGAGTAAGGGTAAAATTGATATCATTAAGTGCTTGCATAGAATTCCCAGAGTAATATTCAAAAATTCCTTTTTACAATACCAAAAATGACTTCTCGATGGAAAATCGCTGAAATCATCAGCCCATGATTTAATAAAATTTTCGTGCTTTTTGAGCTCTTCATTAAAAACATTTTGATTTATTTGAATTGGCTTTTGCTCAAATTTATCAAGAAATTCTTTGATTGCTGAAAATGGGTGCTTTGCTATATTTTCAGTTATTTTTATAATTTCTTCCATAAATCTGTTTATAGAATTCACGATTTTTAGATTTTCATTATCAACTAATAAAGACTCAATGCCTTTAGAAAGTTCTTCTACATGCTCTTCATAGATTTTGGAATTTTTATCTATATTTGCAAAAGCAGAAATCTGCTCGTTTATTGTGTTTATATGAAAATCAATATTTTGTATACAGTAATGAATAGTCCAAAGTACATTTTTAATAATTATTTGTAAATAGCTGATATAAATGAGTATTAGGTATAAGATAAATTCAATAATATTCAGTATAAGCTATATTCCATTAAGCTTTCGAAGCAGGATACACATTTAGAAAAAATTTCTAAAGATTCATTCTTTACTTTTTGAGTTTGTTGCTTTATATCACTGACTCTGCTCTTTCCTTTATGAGTGAACAAAGGGGTTGATTTTTTCTGAAAATTAAAAAATCCCAATTCGAGATGTAAAAATTAATTTTAATTTGCAATTTTATACTTTTAAAATCCAAGCTGTTTAAAAATAAATTGCACTAATTATCACTTATATATCAAAATATTTTTTCAAAAAAATTTCATGATAAAAAGTTTTTGTTTGTTTAGTATAGTTTTTTTTCACCCAAAATAGGGATTTTATAATGGTTTTGTTCGTACGAGGGAGGGGGGAGTGAATAGATCAATCATTGTCTTATTTTGCTTTTGGGAGGCTTCTATTGGTATGAAATTATGACTTCATCCCAAAAACGCAGAAACATGCTCATTAATGTGATAATTGCACATGAAAATCTCAAAACCAGTGCATTTGCAGAGCATTTCTGCTCTTTGAGTGCATAGTGGGTCATAGCATTTTAGGACATTCATTTCAATATACGATTATTAAATTATTATAAAGATTTATAAATAAAACCTATCTTAATAAAAGCATTTTTTTCAATGCTATTTGTAAAAATAATTATGATGTTTATTACGTATATATTTATTTATTATTTTAAAAATCTTATTTTTATGAATGTTTTTATTTGCTTGCCTTATTTTTCACTTTCAATATAAAATTATCTCAAAAAATTATTTAATTATGTCTATTTTGATAAGCTAATTAGTGATTAATTTAACTCCATTATTATAATCATAAAAATGTTCATAGTATTCAGTAAAAATCGCCTTTTTCAATTAAAATTATTTTTAAAAGAAAATAACTCCAAAATTTTCCTTTCTATTATTACCTACAATTGAAAATCTATGGTAAACATAATATGCATATCTTCCTGATTTTTTTTATTGTCTCAATCCAACTCTCCAGGTCTCAAAACTGCTCCTGCAACTCTGAAATCTTAGGAAACGGCTATTGCGATCACCAATGCAATACTACTTCTTGCAATTTTGATTCAGGGGATTGTTTGCCACAAACCCCTACCAATTCTTCAGAATCCTCATCTGAAGGTGGTGGTGGTGCAAGTAATGGGACAGTTCTACTCATGAGCATTGTGATGGGGCTTTCTTTCGGTTTATTTTGGTATTTTTTATACAGACTTGGCTGTATTTTATTTTATGTATGTAAAAAATTTAAAGCTGAACATAAATTTGAAGTGGTCACAGCTTCTCTACCAAGCGATTCAGGTGATTTGTATCAGAGTTCAGGCAGAAGGTTAATAGGATATACTTGAATTGAGCATAAATATCCTCTGAAATATTTTTCAGATGAAGTAAGGTTTAAAGGTGAGCCAGTTTGCACAGTTTGTTTAATGGAATTATTTGAACGTGACCCTGTAAGGGTAATTAATTGCTGACACATTTTTCATAGTCAATGTATTGATGAATGAATTATGACTTCTGAGAGTCTAAAATGTCCAAATTGCAATTCAGATTTTTAGTATATAAAGGTTTAGTATCAAAGCTAATGAAAAATAATTTTTTATCTTTTATTTTTAATAGATTTATATCACAAGTTGCTTTCATTAATTTCTCTATACCCCTTCCAGCTTTCAGGTGGGCTTGCACCTATATCTTTCATGTAATCTAAAAGAGCTCTGCATGGCCCGTCGTCTACTTTTTTAAGATTCTGAGCTTTGATAAAGCCTTCTCTTGCCTTAGCCCAATTTCCTTCCTTATAATAGTTTAATGCCTTTTCATAAGTTCTAATAAATTTATCACTCACAGAATTGGTCATTATAAATAAATCTCTATCATGCTCAAGCAGCTGGGCTACTTTGTATTCTCCTGCGGCTATTTTTTTCTTTAAATTTTCTTTTCTTTCTTTGATTCTTTTGCTTAATTTATTCATATTTTGGGTCTAGTTTTTTTTCATAAAAATATTATATACAGAAAAATTTATTGTTTTCAAGAAAATTTTCATATTTTCTGAATTAATTTTTTCATATGGTTTTAATAACTCTGGCGCTATATCACAAGTATATATATCTAATTAAATTAATTATCTAAATTTTCTTAATTATAAAAATTAAAAGAGCATTCAAGATAATCCTCTATAATTCTAAAGGAATCACATTTCCTTCCAGCGACAATTGAATTTCATCTATTTTCCTCATTTTTGATTTGGCTTGCTCAGAGCAATTTTCATACAAAGAGTTGCTGATTATCAGAGGAACTCCATAATGTTTGGTCAATGACTCCAGTTTTTTCGAAACTTCTAATGCTGGAGATAAATAAGAAGCATCAATTTTATATTCGCTCCCAATAACTCCTTCAATAGCCCATCCATAATGTAGCCCAAAGCCTAATTGTACAGAATAGCCTGGCATATGCTGCGTAAGCTCAATGTGGTCTCTATATTTCAAAATGTAAGGATGTTTATAGATCCCTGCAATAATTTTTAGACAGCAAATAAAAGACATATCGGCTATTTCACTTACTGATGAAAATTTTTCATCAGATAAAATTTCATTTTCTTCTATTGAATTTGATTCATATGGCTTCCATACCATCAAAAAGGAATTTCCCATATTTTTGTTTATGTGCCCTGAAAAATATTCCGTCACACTTTGAACTATATGAGCTATTTGATTAACAAATCCTAAGACATCTTCCCTCAAAATTTCAGTTGTCTCGTTGAAATTTCTGATTTTGCATATCCCGAAAATACAGTACGTTTTTTTACCTGGAACTAGAGTCTCAATATTTCCGTCTACATTTGATAAATTTTGTTCAATTATTTTCATGCCGCTTTCTCCAAATCCTGATGCTAATAAAATAGCAATTTTATTTATAGTAGATTGGAGATACTTAGTTTCATATATAGTGGTTTCTTTTCCTAAAATAGATCTTCAGCTGTCGTTTCTAAGGATTTGCCGAGGCTGTTTAAGCTCTTCTTTTTGAGCTTTAAGTCCAGCTTTTAGAGGATTTCTTAAGACAGCTTTTAAGTCTTCTATCATTTTCCCAAAAGGTCCATGAAGCATCATTTTTGTATCTTTTGCAATCAAAGTAGAAGCTGCCAACAAAAGCACACAAATAAAAGCAGTCTCAATCATATTAAGCCCTGCATCAAGCCTTGTTGATGGTCTCATATCAAACACGGCATAGCTAAAATAATAATAATCATTATCCACATCAGGCAAAACTGCTGTTAATTGTTCTAAAGGTCTTAATTCATTAGGATCTATATCACATCTATATATTCCTTTTTTGATATTTTTTATCAATATTTTTTTATAAAAAAATATATTTTAATTTAATCTAACTATTACATAGAAAATAAAAAATGTATTTAATATGTAAAATATATATCATATTGGTATGGTTCACCATCAAGTAAATCAACGGATTTCATTTATTTTTATGGTCATCCACGTACTGTTCAAAGGCAAATTCTGCTTCAGTTTCATTATCTTTAAGCAGCACATTGATCACTGATAACCCATATTGATAAGACGTATTTTCAGCTTGAATAAATGCTGTAGAAAAGAAAGGGATAATAATTAAAACGCTGAAAACCAAAATAATGACACGCTTTGTGGCGATATCTGTAATGTCTTCGCCTATTTTCAGCTCTTCTTCTCGCCTTTTCATTTGTGTGAGAAAATCGCTTTGGATTGACCCGTCTGCAGACCCTCCATGGTTGCGCCGATTTTCTTCAGAAATTTGGCTTGACTTAATAATATTTTGAGAATTTGTGTCACTGAAGGACTGTGAAAGGGAAAAATCTGTATTGCTTTTTATCGTATTTATTCTATTTATACCATTTTTTATAATTATTGACTATATTTATTTTATAATTATTTTTTGAATAATTTATATATGAAAATATATATTTTGGTATATAAACTGATCAGAAATTGGCTTGGTATTTCCTCTGTATACCACGACAGCTCTGTCAAAAGTTTTATTAGCCTTTTCTCCACTAGATATATCTGACATACAAAATGACTGACATTCTGAAAAATTATTGCTTTTTAAGGTTTCCATTCTGACAGGATTTTGCATTATAACTTGGTTGGAAACTGGTTCAATGTCACCACGAAAGGCAATTATTCCTCTCTCTAACTTATTTTCTCTAAAAAAGTCTATATCAGAGCTTTTTGGCGTCAAAAATGTTTGCGATTCTGATATGCTGCTGCAGCTTCGGATTGTATCGATTCCTTCTGCATTTTCAGAGAAATAAAGCGGTGTCGTCGACGGAAGATGGATTATAAGACACACTCCTTATGAAACAGGTAGGACCCGCCCTGATGAAGCTGAAAATAGTGTCTCTATCACTTTTTGAAGCAGGTCTTCGGCAAGCCAAAGAGGGAAGTTTTGTTTCTCCCAGATGGGCTCGATCGGTTTTGCCTCCCATTTAGTCTTTGTTTATAGGGATTAGAGGAGCACCTAAAAGAGCTGGCTCTAACCTAGAGAGCTAATCCTTAGTTGAGTGAGTTTACGCAGGATATGCAGGCAAGTAGTCTATCAGCTTATGGCCTTTACTTTTAACTTAACCTTTTTTTCTGCATTTTCAATTGCTATTTGGTCAGAAATTGGGTTAAATTCTCCTCTAAAAATAATAGAAGCCCTCCCCAGTTTATTTTCATCTGAAAATTCTCTGCTTACACTTCTACTCGTTAAAAATGTCTGAGACTCTGATACGTTGCTTTCAGTCCTTATAGTGTCCATAGCCTGTGCATTTTGATTAATAATATTATCAGAAATTGGGTCTTGATTGCCTCTAAATACATTGACAGCTCTGTCCAGCTTATTTTCATTCAAAATTTCTATATTGGAATTTTTTAACGTCAAAAATGACTGTGATTCAGAGTTTTCATTAGAAGCTCCAATAGAGTCAATACGGTCCCAACAATTATTAACAGAATTTGGGACAGTCGGGTCATGTGCTCCTCTAAACTGTATTATGGCTCGATCTAATGTAGGGGCATCTTGGCGCTGTGGAGCCGGAAAATAATTGCGTGAAACTGATACTGAAGAAAAAGAATTCGTCGAGTTTGGCCTTGACGAGCTGATTTCTAAATTTACTTCTCCAGCTGAAGAAGCCAAAACGTCGTTAATTACAGGCACATTTGGCCCCCTAAATGCACAAATTCCCCTATCAAGCCGATTTTCGTTGCTGATTTGGCTATATGAATCTTCCCCAGCACTTAGGCTTGATCCGCTATTGATATTGTAAATGCCCCGATGATGGAGCTCAATGTGCCATCATTGGGCAAAACCAGAAAAGGGCTCCATACGGGAAATGGATTCCACGTGGAGCCTTTTTTTGACACGTGAGAATCCTCACTCCCACGCACCAAAAAGGACTCCATACTTAAACCCATTTCCAGTGTGGAGCCCTTTTCTGGTGCTGCCCGATGATGGCTCATTGAGCGCCATCATCGGGCAACCTGTATATCTCCAAGGGGAATTTCTTGGACTTGGTTATAATTGACATTAATAGGATTATCCGTTCCTCTATAAAGCACAGGCGACCTTTCTAATTTTTGTTGGCTGCTTTGCTTTTTTTCAGTCTGCGACTGAGCAATTTTATATAATTTTGCAATTCTTATTAATCTAACTGTTTTTAAAGCCCTGATAATTCTGGCTGCTCGAGTCCCTGTACGAGATGCTTGGCTTGCGGTTTGAACTTTTGATGCTTGGGTGCCTTCTCCTGTAGTAATTTTATTATCCCCAGTTATTTGGTCTCATATTCAGCCAATATCCATTATAAGTGAAGCCGTTAAGACAATATCAAGCCAAAAGAAAAAACTGAGAAAATACCTATCAATTATAATTGATGAGATAATTATATCAAAGGTAAAAAAGACCATACAAATTGTCACAAAGCTGAAAAAAATATCGTCAGTGCTTTTAGATGTTGCAATTAAGCTGATTTTTAAAAAACAAATAAAAAATTTTTTTTATTTTATAAATAATTTATTTAAAAATTATATTATTAAGCGTATGTCATCACAGAAAAGAACGAAAAGTGTAAGAAGGATCATACAAAATGCATACCCTCAGTGAGTTAGAATTTGCTTACTCCCCCCTCCGTGAGCGAACAAAATCATTAGTAAAATCCCTATTTTTTGCCCAAAAACCCTCCGTGAGCGAACAAAAATTTTTAATGAAAAAAATTGATATATAAATGATAATTAGTATAATGAAATCTATAGCTAATTCTGTTTAATTTTAAACAAATTGCGCTTTAAAAAAACATAAATTTTATAAATTAAAATTAATATTTACCTTCCAATTTTCGAGAAGTAGGATTTTTTTAAAAATTTATATATAAATTTAAAAAACAAAAATTTATCCCCTTATGTGAGCGAACAAGATTTTTTTGTATGCTCACGTAGGGGGGAATTACAAAATGCTCTAAGCTTTTGAAAGCGAGTTTGGCTGCGTGGGCCGTAGGCTGCCGAAATGATCTCTCGTAGGGGTATTTCTGAACTGAATCTTCGAATATCAGCACTTGGTCCATTTGATTCATTTGTTTCCATGTATTATTTTTATAAAAAAGCTAAGTTTTTTGTATGCTTCTAGAGCAGAAAATTCGAAAAACAAGAAATAAATTGAAGCAATAGAAAATTTGAAGGAAAAAAGAATAATAAAGATAATAATTTTAAAACTAGATAATAAGTTTTCTGATGGAACGGCAAAATTAACTGTAATTTTAATGAGTTTTAATTGGCAATTTAGTGTAAAGGTGCATATTTATAGGAAATTATAAAGTTGATTATTGAAGAAAAAGTTTATTATTCCTCTGAACAAAAAAAAATTGTTCGCTTATGAAAGGGATTTGTTTTTAAATAATTATATATTGACTTTATGGTAAATTTTTCAAAAAAATCCCAACTCGCAAAAAATTGGAAAGCAAATATTATTTAACTTGCAAAATTTATTATTTAAAATGCAATTTGTTGAAAGTTAAACAGAATTAGTTAGAGTTTTAATTTACTAATTATTATTATTTTTTATTAAAATATTTTTGTTCGCTAAGTGGATTTTTACCCAAAAAAGAGATTTTCCAATGGTTTTTTCGCTTACAAAGGTGGAGAGTTAAACTTCAGCGAATATAAGACTATGGAAAAGACAAAGTGTAGTTTAATATCAAAACTATTTTCCAAACAAATTCACTAAAATTCAATCCAAAATAAGCTAAATATCGCAATAAATCATATAAAATTCTTAAATAATTATTTATCATGCAGCTCTCGGTACCCGGGCCAAAAATCAGGCGCTCTCCCTCCTTCCTGCTCCATAAATTCCAAAAGTGCTCTGCATGGCCCATCAGGAGTTTTCTTGATAAATTGAGCTTTATTAAACCCTTCAATAGCTTTATCCCAATCCCCATCGAGATAATTTTTCAGCGCTTTTCCAAAGGTTTTTGCAAATTTATGACTGACACTAGATCTCATCATCAAAAGATCTTCGTCATCATTAAATAACTGATACGCATGGTATCCATCGTTTATAAGCCTTTTCCTGAAGGCTTGCTTTCTTAGTCTGGCCATTATTCTTGACTTTTTCATTCCTTCAGCAGTTTCAGTGTCATTTTCTGGGCGAGGCTTTAGGTGATTTATGTCAATGTCACAAGTGTAAAGCTCGATTGGCTCTTTGCTACCTTTTACAGTGACTCTGTCGATTTTTCGAAGCTTAGATCTTGTGACTTGGCTACAAAGTCTCCATAAAGCGTCTGAAATTATGGGAATTTTGAATAAATTTGTATTGGTTTTACAATTAAAATGGCTATAAGTGGGCAAGCAAATAGCCTTTGCCTCGACTAGGGTCTAAAAATAGCTGCCTCCAAAGACCTAGAGTTCAAATGAGGAAAATGGAAGGCTGAATTTTGGATTTTTCTGACCTACACCTGCCCAAGAGATTAGCTCCCTAAGGCAGAGCCATCGATTTCAGAGTCCGCTGATGGTCCCGAAAATCGAAGACCATATGGGCACCTTCACAAAACTTCCCTCTTCTGCAAGGCATCACAAAACTGAAGGCCTACTTCAAAAGGGACAGCCCTAATTTCAGCTTATCAGGATGGATCCTACCTGCTCCATAGGAACTCACATTGGAGTCCAAAATTCCGTCAATGTCTCATTTTTATTTCTATTGGTTTTACAAGGATTGCATTATTTTTTATAAAAATTAAGAAATTTATATATAGTAACAATAAACTATTATTTCGACATAGTATAAAAATAGGGACACCAAACTGTTTAGTAGCAGCCTCTAACCTTGATGCTAAATTCACATTAGGTGACAAATAAGACGCGTCTATTTTAAACTCGCTTCCAATAGCTCCCTCAATTGCCCATCCTAAATGAAGCCCAAACCCCATTTTCACCGAATACCCTGGAAGCCTCTCATTTAGCATCTGATGTTCTCTGTATTTCAAAACCTTAGGATTCCTATGTATTTCAGCTATAATTTTTAAGAAACTTATAACTGCCATATCCGCAAGTTCTCTGACAAACGGGTTTTTCCTTGCCAAGGTGTCTTTTTCGGCCTCTTTTAGCATATTTTCATCATTAATTTTTCATACTAATAAAAATGCGTCACCTATATTTTTATTAGCACAGCCTGCAAAATAGTCGACATAGCCATGAACTATATGGGCAATGTCGTTGACAAAAGCCATCACATTTTCTTCTAATACTTCGGTTGTATCAGTGAAATTTCTTATGTCACAAAACCCAAAAATGCAGTAGGTTTTTTTACCTGCGATCATTGGGTCTACTTCTCCGCCACCTTTCTGCATATTTGATGCTATAATTTCAGAACCAGCCTCTCCAAAGCCTAATGCTAGTAGAGTATTGAGGGTTTTTTAATTAAAAAATAAAAAAAATTAAAAATAGAATTAGGTTAATTATATAGAGCCGGCTAGTAGCATAGTGACTTTATTTATAGTTTCTTTCAGAAACTCAGCCTCCATAGAACTTTTGATTTTCTTCTTCTGTTCTAGACACAAATAAAATGGTCTTATATCCACAGACCCTCGGGATATTTGGGTTTAAGAGGGATAGGGCTTAGAACTGTGTTTTTTTTATCTCTGATCGGATACATGACGATTTTTTTCACCCAGACTCATAGAAGGCGACAACTCCACACTTCTGAATAAACCGGCGCCTAGGGTTAGAAGCCTGAATCCTTTAAGGCAAAGGCAAATATGGTCTGGAACAAACCCCGGACCCATTAAACTTACAATAATCTAACCTCCTCTTCTGTCCCACAATGTCATCGTGGGCCATTTCTTCCATCAAAAATTCATCACTTTCAGCGATTTGTGCCGCTTTGAGAGGATTTTTCGATATATTTTTAACCGTCTGCATCATATTTTCAAGAGGCTCAAGTACTAAATCCTGAGCATCTTTTGATAGAAAAATAGCAGATACACTTAAAATAAGGCAAATAAAAACAGTTTTTACAATATTTAGCTCAGCTTCTAGCTTGCTAGAGCTACGTAAATCAAACACAGAATAGCTTGAGTAGTTATAGTCAGAAGGAACCCCTGAAAGAGTCACAGTGAGCTGCTCAGTTGACCTTAAATCATCGACACTCACGCTTGAGCTTCAGTTTCTTAAATTATTCACCTCTAAAAATATCAGAGGTGTATAAAGATCTTCATGCTCAGAGACGTAGTCTTCAAAAGCTAAGTCAAAACCTGATGTTCCTATCAGGTCATTTATAACCTCAAGTCCATACTCATAAGAAGCATTACTCTCATTATAAAAGGTCGTGGAAAAAAACGGTAGCATTATCATAACGCTCAAGACCAATATAATGATCCTCTTTGTAGTCAATTCAGACAGCTTTTTGCCTATTTTTGACTCTTCAGGAATTTTTAAGTCTGCAATGTCCGCTTCTTCTCGATCTGACACAATTTCTTCCCTGCTTTCTTCTCCATTGCTAGGAGTCCCATTAAGATCTTGAGGAGACATCGAGCTAAAAGACTGAGACGCTGAGGCATTATTGCTAGAGTCACTGCTGTCGATTTCTACAGGCGCTTGTGCAGAAACTACAAACTGCTTTATATCAGCGACTTGGTTTCCTCTAAATATCACTCTTGCTCGCTTTAATTTTCCTTTATCTTCTTTATCCTTATTTATCATATTCGATTTCGCAGCTTTATAGAGCTTGGCAACTCTTATAAGCCGGATAACACGAATTACCCTAATAATTCTTGCTGCTCGTGTCCCAGCTCTAGAAGCTCTTCCTGCTCTTGCGACCTTTGCACCTTTAGAAATCGAGCTGGTGCCTACCATTTTGTTCCAAATCCAGCCTATATCGGTGACTAGTGATAAAGTTGATACCACGTCAAGCCAAAAGAAAAAGCTTATACTTAAGGTAATTAATTAATAATTTTTTTTATTTTTTTTTAAAAAAAAATTATATTTAATTAGAAAAAATATAGCCAATATCCTTCCTTAAAAATTGACGAAAGAATTATTTCGACAGAGAAGAAAAATAGGCAAGCGGTTGTAAAACCATAAAAGACGTCGTCAGCTGGCTTAGAAGTCAATGCTAAACGCAAATCGTCGCCAAATAACGCGTAGATCGTTAAAAGCGTCATGAAAGTTGTATAGGATCAATGGTTAAGGCAATCAGTCATTCTTGATGCAAAGGACACATCTTGGGATTTGGAAAGCAGAGGCTTGTTGGCGGCTGCGAGCAGGTCCCGAATAGGGTTGAAGAGCTCAGAACTGTGACGGATTTCTGCAATCGTGGTCCTTCGAGAGTTGATGCCACCACGATTTGGGCTTTTTGCTTCTTCCATTATAAGGATTATTAGAAATTTTATTTTAATTGGTAGGCGGGCTCTGTCTTATGAAGTTATCAAGGATCTTTATTTGGGTTCATTCGACCTCCTTTTGGTACGATTGAATGGTTAAGACGATTTTCTTGGCAATTTAACTCGAAAATCATCTTGCGCCTCTTCAGCTCTTGCTCTCATAGCGGCTGAAGTGCCACGAATTAGAGCGGCCACTTTTAGAGCTCCAGTTTTAAGTGAGGGCAGACTATGGAATTTTGCTGGATACTTGGGTTAGTAGCTTGATCCAGGGAAAAAGCTCTGGTATCCAATGGGTGCCGAAGTACTGTAACTTGATAGCCTCAATATAAAGACCTATTCCAAAGGCCCAAAGCTAATAACTCTTACCTCTTGAAGAGGATGGCTTTAGTCCTAAATTCATGGTAGGCTACCTCGATTTCCAATCACAGGAACTGAGCCAAAATTTAACAGGATGCATAAACAACAAGCCGGCCTAAATTTTGGTTTCGTGTCCAGTTCTCCTTGGACGCAATTTGAGAAAATTGCATCAAGATTTCAGATGCCATTTAACTTATATTAGAAATTTAATAAGTTCAATGGATTTGGGTGCATATGAGATCATTAATAGTTGACACTTATGGACGGTTGAAAAGCATAATTTTAGCAGATTAAAAAATAGGGAAAATTAACCAAATTTTTAACTCCCCTCCCTATAAAAAAACAAAATTTAAATTTAATTAAATCCCAATCCACAAAAATTGAAAAGCAATATCAAAATATTTTTTCATAAAAAATTTTCTCTTCGGAGTGGTTTTTGAGATTTTTTTAATAGTTTTTCGCTTACGGAGGGGTTAAGGATAAAATTTACGAGATTTGAATTAATAGATAAAAGGATAATAAAGATATATCAACTAATAAAAATTTTTGTGTAGAAATTGATTAAAATATGAGGGAAATTAATAGATGAAAGCTTAGCTGAGTTAATAATGCATAAGAGTCAAATACTAAAATAACTAAGAAAACTTATTTATTTTTTCATTAAAAGGAGCATCCATGAATTTATTGCCTTCATTTATTTTATAAAGCACATATTTACGTTTTATTGATTATTTATATTGATGTGGGATTTTTGGCAATTTATATATTAAAAAAGAATATTTTTTTTTCATAAAAATAGATCATTTAAATTTGAAAATTATTGATGATCCTTAAAAAAGACTCTCTCTTAATTACGATAGAAATCATATTGATTAAATAAATCTATAGGCTTCTTTTTAAGATTTTTAAGAAAAATCTCTTTGGATGGTAAGTTCATTTGAGAGTGATTTTGCCATCTTAAATGCAAGGCAAGCATTTCAGAGATTTTACCTATATAAAGTCATTATTTTTAGCCAATAAATGATTATAGTTACACCCTCTGAGTGACATTTAAAGATATAATAAAGTAAGCTCAAAAAACATATGCATAATTTCATTAATTTCTTTTAAAATCTAAATTAAATTAGATTAAGCCGTTCGCATCATGAGGGCCGGGGATTTTCCACATTTCCACGCTTCATTGATCAAGTAGGAGCCTCGGCGAATGCCCTCCTTGTTGCCGCAAACAAGGATTCGCACAACCAGTCTTGACTCAATGGCTTCTGGAGCCTAAGGGCCTACCATCTGGATCTAAACTCCCAGTTTCTCGTTGGACAAATACCATCTCTTGAGTCCTGTTCGAGGGAATCAGCATTCACTCGGGACTGTCGTCGATCTTGTCCTTTCCAATGGTTATTTTTGGAGGTAAAAGCCCAAGTCCCATTGATGAGCTTACTAGAGCCCGAGTAAAACCTAGCCTGACATACACAAAGGGTTTTCCGTCCCCTTTCCACCTAAATCTCCATCATTAAGCCGTTGCCTGCTGGTGTCAAAGAAATAGGGTCAAGAGAGTGGAATGTCTTCGCCATTTTTTATGTAGTATTAAAAATCTCAATTAAAAATAGTGATATTTATTGCCTCTATTAAAGAATTAATAAATTTTGCAGCCTTGAGGATATTTAAATGCAAATTGCTTAACTGCCTTACTCAGCCCAACATATCCACTATGCATTAATCCAAAACTTCTGCCTGCGATTACACTCAATGATTCTTGGAAAACCTCAATTTCAAATTTATCACTGATATAATAAGTGTCCCCATAAAAATTTGTATCGCCTCAGGCAGAACCCCATGGATTTATTTGTGCTCATCTGGGGTTCACAATTCCATATAAAGATATCGTTATTTTCGTCGTTGCGGAGAATGAATAAGAGCCTGAATTCGAGGGGATGCGGAAAATTACATAATTATTGTAATAGCTGCAGGATTGTGAGGTAATTCAAGTAGTCAGAGAACCTCCATCTTCCTGATAAGCAGCACTGCAAGGGATTGCTGTATTATTTGAATTAAAATCATATTGCTGAGGAAAAAGAATATAAAATGAATAATCATTAGTCAAAGTGAGAGAAAAATCAAGGTAAAACTCAAAAAAATAGTCAGAAGTATCCCATAGATAATTATCAGAAAGGCTTACGGTTTTAATATCAATCGCATTTGCGGGGAGTGAGTTTGTTGTGCTCATATCCGCATCGTTTCAATAAATTTTCAATTGGTTAGCTGAGTTAAAAATATAAAGACTAAAATGTATATTGCTTAAATCAGGTGTCAATACATTTTTTATCGATAAATAGAATAAAGTTCCTGCGTTTATTGTATTAGTTACACCTGTTACGTTTAAATATCAATGTCCAGCTGTGCATTGAATGCTTCCTAATGTATCTGAACTACAGTCTACGTGATAAAAGTTTTGATCATTTCTATCCGTAATATCTAACTCTGCTGGCTCTGCAATTCATGGGTTAAAAACTCTATCAAATTTAATTAAAATATTGTCGCCTGGGTTCACATCAGCACTAGTAGCAAATATAAATCGAAAATTAGTCATATCCCCTATTGTTGGGTTATCTGCACTGATTCCCAAAACAGTGAAGGTATCAGCTACGCTTGCTCCAATCGTGACGATATTTGTATTGCTGGCATCTTCTGTTATAGTAACCCCATTCCACGACGACGTCACTGAAAATCCTAATGCAGTGTCTCCAGGAGTTTGAGATGTGAAATCAAATATATTGTCAAAATAAAAAGTCATAGTAGTATATGCAGGGATGCTCGACGAGGTATAGAGTTGAATTATTCCGCTACTTATTTCGCAATTAACATAATCTATATTGCTTCAACAGTTATCTTGTATATTACCATTAGCTAAGATATAACTTGCAAAATCTGCCGCAATTACTATCATGCTGCCTGCTGGTAGTGCCTTAGTTAGACCGAATTTCATATAAAGGTCAACTTTTGATATACCTACATTGTTTGGGATAAATTCATAAAGAATAACACTTTCAATGATATTAAACAGTGAGAAAAGAAGCACTGGGAGTAGAGAAGGCATCATTTTTTGACCTTATAATTTATAGATGAATTAACTTTTAAAAATATTAACTCCCCCCCCCTCCGTGAGCGAACAAAACCATTAGAAAAATCGCCATTTTTTGACCAAAAACCCACCCTCCGTGAGTGAACAAAAATTTTTTTAATAGAAAAAATTTTAATGGAAAAAAATTTTGATATATAAGTGATAATTAGTATAATGAAATCTAGAGCTAATTCTGTTTAATTTTAAACAAATTGCGTTTTTAAAACATAAATTTTGCAAATTAAATTAATATTTGCTTCCCAATTTTTGCAAATTAGGATTTTTTTAAATTTCGAAAAAAATATATTTTTTATAAAATTTATATATAAATTTTTTTTAAAAAAAAAAATTAACCCCCCTCCGTGAGCGAACAAAATTTTTTTGTTCGCTCACGGAGGGGGGGGGGGAGTAAGAAATATAATAACTCCCTTTGCTGACAAATTGGAAAATTTTGTTTGGCTTGCTAAGCCCTGTGTACACATTATGATGCATTTCTCAACTTTTGGCAATTGATTTCGCTATGCTTGGGTCGAAAATTTCTATATCAAATTTTCCTGAAACATAATCATCGTCTTCTATATTGGGATTTTCCCAGCTTGCAAATCCAGTGTTTTTGCAAGCATATTTGGGATTTATGATACTATCAATCGCTACTTTTAGTCTCATATTACTTGTAAATTGCCTTGTATTTTCTGGAGGCACCCAAATCGCAATGTATTTATTATCATAATTGCAATCGCTTAAAAAAACCCAAAAAATTTCTTTGTCAGGGGTTTGGGAGGACTCATCAAAATATGTGAGATTACAGGTAAAAGGTGGATTTATGGCGAAATTATATTGCTGAGGGAATAGCACAAGAATATAATATGCCATATTTGATTAAATTTGTATTGGAATATTTATATAAAAATTCAATTTTAAAAGAATATAGCACGGTATAATTTCCAAGGTTCATGCTACCTACGTAAAATTCAAATTCATATTTCGCTGCATTTAATAAATGGTTATCTGAAACTCGCAGGCTTTTAAAATCAATATAGCCAGAAGGAAAATCATTATTTATTGTAAAGCCTACAGCATCTGTATAACTTTGAACGTCATCATTAGTGTCTAATTCTTCCCCACTTTGAATCAAACGAAAAAAATCTGATGAGGCTAATTAAAATGCAGATTTTTAAAAATAAGAAGCATAAATTAAATAATTTTTTTGAAGTTATATAAGCAAATAGTATCTTGATTACAGTGTTTAAATTAGAGGTAAATTTCTATTTTAGTACAAATAATCACATTGTATATAGTATCAAATTTATTTAAATAGAAAATATTATTACCCTATAAATTTATTAATTTAAAAATTATTTGAATTTAAAAAAAGACAGGAGTAGGAGTATATATAAAATTTTTCTTGAATAGCTAATAGACATTTTTATATATAAAAAATATGGGCTATTTAAGAAAAAACATATATAAAATACTTCACTAAAAAATACCCAAACACAGGAGTCCATAAATTCTCTAACGTGAAATCAATAATATTACCTGCTAGAACAGTTTTGCTTATTCCAGTAATAATCAAATACCAATGTTTTGCTATACAAGAAATATCGCCTAACGTATCCGAATGGCATCCTACATAATATAAACTTTTCTTATCACCAGCTATATTCAGATTTTTTGGCTCACAAATCCATGAGCTAACTTTTCTGCCAAAATTAACTACAATTTTATATCCTGGATTTATATCACTATCTGAGGTTAGCTTAAAAACATAATTAGAAATCGCTCCAGGGGTCATAATATCAAATACAATCTGCCAGTTATGGGTTGAATACGCATTTGCAGTCTTTATAGTGACCGTATTAGAGCTGCTAAAGTCTTGAGCTATATCTACACCTAGTCATGATGCTGTTACAGTAAAACCAGGATGAGTTCCTGCTGCTGTCAAAGATAGCGATATAGCGGCATCTAAATAAATTTCAATAATTTTATTTGGAGGAATTTCAACAGATGTTTGGAATTGGACTTGGCCATTATATTGGCATCAGAGATAGTCAAAGTTGCATCAGCATTTATCGGGTATTAAAGAGTAGGGGTATTGCCACATAGCAAAAGACTGATGGATTGTAATTACGGTCTTTGCTGGGAGTCGTATAGGGTAAGCAAAATGGAGATAAATATCACCATTAGGAGCTCCTGAGACCGCTGGAAAAATTTCAGAGTAGATCATTGGATTAATCAGCTTAAGGAAGCTGAAAAAGACTGTGAGATTAATAAATTTCATATATTAATTAATCCATTTATCAATAAATAACTTAGGCAAGCAATCCTTAGCCGTTTCATATAGAAATTAGTGTGAATTACAGGCTTAAACGACGCGGAAAAATACAATTTCTTATGTCCTTAATAATGGTAAATTTTATACTTTTCATCTATGAGAATAAATACGAGAATTCTAAAACAGCCAAATTCTGATTTTATTTTGTTAGCTCACACTGCCGCTACTTAACAATCTAGAGATTTCGTTAGAATTTTATGTCTATTTCAAATTTACCTGAGTAAATTCTTATTATGCTTTTACCCTGCACCTTTATATTTTTTAAGCCTCTTATATAATAATTTAAATATATAATAGCGATTAATGAAAATATATCGTAATCCATCAAATTATAAGAAAAATCAATATCCTGCTATTTACTAACTCCCCCCCTCCGTAAGTGTGAACAAAACCATTAGAAAAATCCCTATTTTTTTGCCCAAAAACCAGTGAACAAAAATGTTTTATGGAAAAAATTTTTGGTATATAAGTGATAATTAGTAATGAAATCTCGAGCTAATTCTGTTTAATTTTAAATAAATTGCGTTTTAAAACATAAATTTTACAAATTAAATTAATATTTGATTTCAATTTTTTATAGAAGTGAGATTTTTTTTAAATTTCGAAGAAAAAAAATTTATATAAATTTTTTAAAAAAAAAAAATTAACCCCCCTCCGTGAGTGACAAAAATTTTTTTGTACACTCACGGAGGGGGGGAGATAGTCAAATTTTCAAGTAAATATCACTTTTTACTGAGATAATTAAAGAAAACTATGACACCTTAAGCAGGCTTGGCTTATTTAGAGCTCTAAAATTTAATGGATTAAGACTCTACTTCAGCTGAATTTTCCATCTATTTTTTTCTTATAAAAATATTTATTTAATCATATTGAGAATTAAAAAAAAAGAAAACTCAATTGTTCATTTTTATTACTGATACATAGAATAGATTATAATAACTTACAAAAAGAGCAATATTAAGAAATGTGAAAACTCCCTTTGCTAGCTGAAAACTTTTGTTCCTTTTTTAAATCCGAGGTATACACTATGAAGTAGTCCTCAACTTTTGGCAATTGATTTTGCTAAGCTTGGGTGAAAATTTTTTATTTCAAGCTTTCCTGAAATATATAATGGCAGGCTTTATCGAAATCATATTGTCTAAATCTTGAGCTATTGTCACGCCTGATCATGATGTTGTTACTGTAAATCCAGGGTAGCTGCCTGAGACGTGATGCCTAAATGGAGAGCGATAAATAAATTTCAATAATTTTATTTTTTGGTATTTCTACAGATTTTGCAATTGAAGATTCCTATAAATTGGCATGTAGCATAATCAAATTTGCATTAACAATTGTCTTCTATTTGGTCAATTAAAATATGGCGTCTTCGTCTAGGTATGGCCTCCCGGCCATACAGCCTTCGACCCATATTTTAATTATATTCGGCAAGGTTTTTCTAGTCCTGATAAGACGGAAATGGTAGGCAACTAATTCTGCAGGAGCGTAGAACCTGTCTAATTCGGCGACTAGTTTTTACCTCGAAGGAAAGGCGGGTTCAGATTTGGAAAGGGCAAGCCCAGCGAAGTCTACATGTAATACCTAGACCAATCGGGCAACTGCCTAGCGTGAAACTGGGCGCTACGTCCCAGGATCTGGACTTAACCCTTTTGCCGATAGGCTACCAGAAATTCCATTTTTTGGAATTTCGGAATGCCAACTTCGTCAACTACAGCCTCAGGAGGCCGCACAAAACCGTAGTCTGCCCACTCAACACTGGAGCCTTTTACAAGAGGCAAGGAGGAGGCCTCAGTACTCTCATCATGTGTGAGAGGGAGTTCGCAAAGAGGATGAATCCCACAAGGGATCCTCGGTGATTGCGTAACAATTAAGGGCACGAGCCCGTCTCTATAAGTAAGTAAGTAAGTCTTCTATTTGGTCATTTGAGCATTGAACAAATGACTGTTATATTATAATCACATATTTGCAGAAGTCTTATAAGGTAAGCAAAATAAATATCAGCACTAGCAGTGCCAGAGCTGTATGGTGAAATCTCAGAATAAATTATTTATTCAATAAGACATGAGAAACTGAAAAAGACGGTAAGATCAATAAATTTCATTCATTTCAAGATAATTTATGCCCAAAAATCGTTAATAAAATAGATGATTAAATTAATTTACTTTTCATTAAGCAGAGACTAACATGAAAATTTTAATTTTAATTAAAAAATAAAAATTTAGTACCTATGGACAATACTTAAATTTGCCAATGAACTCGAAAGTTTGATTTGATTTTATAAAACTCACATAACCATTATGAACCAGCCCATAGGTTTTGGCTAAAAATCCTATCCCTGAAGAGTTTAAGATGCCTATCTCGAACTTATCTGAATAATAGCTTGTCTTATCAGAATCTCAATATCCTGGAGAAGTTTTGAATCCTCATTGAGGGTTTATAACTCCTTTTATTACAACTTTGATTCTGTGTCATCTAGAAAATGTTTTTCCAAGCCCTTCTGGTATCATAAATCTGATATAATTATTATAATATAGGCATGAAGATTCAGCTAATGTAATTCAAGGAATTTCATATAAAGGGTCTTCTAGTTCATCAAAATATGAAGAAAAACATGTCAAGGTCGCGTTGTTTTTTGCTAAATTAAATTGCCAAGGGAAACTAAATAAAATTTCTCTTTTCTCTGGCACTGAAATTTCATGTCTAATTATTTTAAAAAAAAAATTTATTCAAAATTCTCTAATTTTCTAAATTATTATTTAAATTTCACCTACAAAAAATTGAAACTCATAGTCAGAAATTGACAATAAATGGTTATCAGAAACAATTATTGATTTCAATTCAATAATATTCTGTGAATAAACCAATTTTGCATTGACGCCTATATTACTGTGTGCTTGCAAATAGGTATTATTATCTAAAATATATGTCCAGAATCTAAAATTATATGTCCCAGGGAGATAAGGAACAATTACATTTTTTATGGTGATATTAAGCCATGCCCCACTGTCAATAAAATTTTCTATGTTTTTGGCCATTAGTCACCAATGATTTGCAGTGCATGTAATATTTCCTAAATTTTTTGAGGAACAGCCTATATAGTGAGAATTTTGGGAATTTTTAGGAATAATGTCCAATTCTTTGGCTTCAGCTATTCATGGATTGAAAGCCCTGTCAAATTTTATTCACAATTGGTAGCCAGGATAAACTTTTATATTAGAAGCGAGCGCATATACAAAATCTGAAGATTCACCTGTATTATGAAATTTGGTTCCTATGGTAAGGCTTCTAAAAACTCCTAATTTCTCTTACAAGTGAGGTAAGAATTTATATTATTTTGAAAAATTTGTGTTATAAATGCTTATATTATAAATTTTTCCTTATCCGTGGGGATTTTGCCTAAGGGCTATGCTTTTTGACCCAGAAGGAGTAAGGAGTTTGGAAGGACTGTAAAAATATTAGTGCTACTATCATCATACGTAATTATGACGCCATTTCATGATGATATTATTGAAAATCCTGGATAATCGCCTGGAGATCAGGGTAAGTTTAAGCAATCATCTAAATAAATTTCTATTTTTGTCCCTGATATAATTTTAGCTGAAGTAGTTATTGCTATATTCCCATCATTTGTTTTGATGCAGGATAAATAATTTATGTTTGACCAACAGTAGTCATTTATATGTCCCACATTATGATTTCACGAGGAAAAGCCAGGTTTTATAGAAATAATACTGTTAGGAGGGATAGAGTTTGGAAATGCAAAAGATAGATAAAGGTCGACGTTTGATACACCTGCGCCATTTGGGAAAACTTCATAGTTGATTTTTCCTATACATTTGTGGGAAAATTCGAGCAAAAATAATAAAAGGATTGCCATATATATATTATAAAAAAATAATCATAAATTATTTAGAAACTGGATATTTTGGGTAATATAGCCCCTGCTTTGGATCAGACGATAACCCTGCTTTGGTAAGAAAGAATAGGTATTTGGGTGACAACTTAGGTTGAAAGTGAAGCGGCCAGCAGAATTATATGACCAATTACTGAGAAACTGGGATTTCTGCCCGAGCTCAAGACAGGCATTAAATTTTAGAATGGGGAAATTAAAAACCTTGCTGACAATTAATATAAATTAATCTAATTATTTTAATTAAAAATTGACTATCAATAGTAATTTTAAGCCGATCGCAATAAATTGGATGTGAATGCTATTAAGTCATTCGGCTTATTTCCTAATTATGCAGAAATAGGATTTGAATGTTTAAAATTTCATAGAAACTAATTTCAATTAATTTAATAAATTATATACTGCGCAAAAACGGTCGCAATAACGCAAATGACGCAAAAAGAGATTACGACAAGAAAATATTATTTAAGACAGACTTCTTAAATATCTGAATTTTTAATTAAATTAAAATTTACAAATAAAGAAAAGATCTCCAAATCTTTAATAGCTTTTAAGTTCTAATAGGGAAGGATTATTAGCAATATTGTAAAATTCCACAAAATTTCTACTTAAAATATGCAATAGAATAAATAATGCATTTAATATTTTTATAAAATAAAACATGAAATTAATTCTTACTTAAAAATCTTATTGATTTTTATAGCAATTAAGTCTGCTCATAAAGGATTTTATAAGTGTTTTTCCTCCTTGCATTATTTTTGGGTTTCACAACTATTTGTTGTGTTTTATCAGCCTCTTCCTTTCTTTTTTTGTCATCTTCTATTATTTTTAAATTTTCAAGCTGCTGCTTTTGCCTTAACTCTATATTTTTTATAAGCTCTTTAGCTTCTTGCAGCGCTTTCTCATCCTTTTTCATTAAATCATCATATTTTCTCATATCAATGCCTTCCTTTCCTGGCTTCACCTCTATCTCATCTTTCCTAGGCGTTTTCTTTTCCTCAGGATTTTCTTCACTTTTCTGAGTTTTTTTATCCCTAAAATCCATTTCTAGCGAGTCAGAGTTCAAGGTGTCTTTTTTCGCATATATTTTCCTCTCCACAGCTATTTCTGGGTCATTTTTGTCAATAATATTTATGAATTTCTGGTTGGGGCTTCCAAAATTTCCATTGATGTCTCCATATCTTTCAAAGTCCACATCTTCTTCAGGGGTTTTATTGTACTGGTCTATATTATTATAATGCCTATTTACTAAACTGAATTTTTCAGCTGCAATGTGTTTAAAAGTTTCCCTTCTCATTTTGGCTAATTTTGCATTTTCTAATTCTTCATTTGTTGTTGAATTATACATTTTAGGCTGAATTTATAATATTTTTTTAAAAAAATAATGTCACTGATTGGCCTAATTAGGTATATATATTTTATTGATGGTTTTGGCTTAATAATTCTTTTGCTTTCTTGTAGAATTGCTCTTTTGTCTTTCATTAAAGGCGACAATTGAGGCTGAGGTGAATAAGAAGCGCTATTTTTTAAAGTTTTGGAATGAATTGGTGGGAGTTCTAGCTTGTAAGCTGAATCGGAATGCTCTAATAAAGGCAAAAGCTTTGAAGATTTAGATTTTACTATAGGAGAAGCCAAAGATGATTTGCTATAGGCTCTGCCTCTGTAATCTTGAGTTGGGTCTAGCTCTTGATTTGAATTTAAGATGACTTGCTTGTGAGTTGGGCTTGAGAGAAATTGCAGCTCTGAGCGAAGACGCTTGTTTTCTGCTTTTACCTGCTCCAGTTCTTCTATGGCTTTTAAATAAGCTATTTTTTTGAGGTTTTCGTTTTCTCTTTGTATGTCTATCATGTCTTGACGAAGTTTTTCAATACTCATTATTTGTTTGTAGATTTTACTTTTAGGTTATTTTTTTCAAAAAACTTTAATATTAGAATTATAAAATCTTGAATTTAGAGATAAAAATTAAAATGAGTAATTATAAAAATTGTTTTTAATAATTTTAGAAATATAAATATTATGTGGTTATATAAGAAAAATATGGGAATATAAAAAGATAATAATAAATTATTATCATAGAATTCAGCCTCTCGCAATGAATTTGCATTTTTTAGGCGTATTTAAATCTATATTTAAATAATTTAATACTTAGCTAATAGAAAATATTTAAGCAATTATTGCTGGTATAAAGCTGTTCCATTTTTAGCCAATAAAATGTCACCAATCATCCTTCTTATCTTAGGCTTAGCTAGCAGTTCCACCCAAGAATGTGATGACCCTACTCGCCATATCACTGAAGACATCGTCATGTCCAGATCCAAGAAAAAAGGCTGCGAATATAATAATGCAGGGCCAGCTGACTACTATGTATTATCTCTCCAATGGAAACCTTCTTCTGACTGTGCCAAAACTGACTCCTGTGCTCCTGGCTACCTAACCCAAGATTTTAGTATCCATGGTCTATGGCCAAACCGTTTGGATGGCAATCATCCTTTCTGCTGTCATCCAACTGATCACTTTGTGCCAAGCCAAGACCTCGAAAAGGAGCTTGTGAAGTATTGGCAGTCTTTTAAAGACGACCAACTTTCTTTTTGGGACCACGAATGGGCAAAGCATGGGACCTGCTCACTATTTAAGACTCCTGAAGACTATTTCAGAGGCGGACTCATGCTATTCAAACAAGTCGACCCAGAAGGGATTTTTAATAAATTTGATATTCAGCCTGGGGAAAGCCATAATGTAAAAGAATATATCGATGCCTTAGGAGATGACGCATATCCTGTGTGCAGGCGTGATAAGCAGACAGGAGAGACTATCCTTTCAGAAGTAAGATACTGCTTCGATTTCGCAGGAAAGCTAATAATTTGTCAGAAGAGAGAGGAGTATAGCTGCAGAAATGGCAAAGAAATCAAGTTTAGGGCTTAATTATATAAGCGTTTAACTTAAATGAGAATAAATAAAAATCTAAAAATAACCATATGGCTGCAACTTCGACGTTCCTATCAAGACACATTGTTTCTTTTGGCTTTACTATAGGATTTGCAGCTGGATTTCCACTCACTTGGTTTCTTCCTGAAAAATTCTATCAAAAAATCCTTCCTTATTTCACTGTCAGATTTATACCATTTTCGATAAAATTTTCAAAATAAATTCTGAATCCACCATTTATTGATCCTCAGTATATTGAAGCCAAAATAACTTATGAACCTCCTAACTCCTTGGCCTTATGAAAGTTAAATATAAATTTTATAAATTAAAATAATCAAAAAATTAGTAAATTAAAAAAAATATTTTTTTTAAAATTCCTCTCTATTGCTCACATTGGGATAGGGAGTAAGGAAAAAAGCCAAAGCGCCTGATGATGTTTTAGATACAAACTTAGACGAAATTTTAGATAGACTGGAATACGTAGACGAGCATGATGAAGAATGGGACAATTATGTCGAGCTTCAAGAAAAAGTCGTCCAAATGATATCAGATAAAGATGAGAAATGGATTCTATTAAAGCAGAAAAAGTCTAGTGGCCACGAAGGGTCAACGAAGTATGACGATTATGAAGCTTTTAAGAGGATTCAGCAAAAAATGAAGGAAGATGAAGTCAAGCGGAGGAGAGAAAGAGCCTCAAAAAGAAACACAGATGAAAAGCCTATAGAAAATAAAAAATAATTAAATGTTCCTTCAATACAGCTATTGTGCATCAAAGATTGATTTCTGCACGCTCTATCTCCTCTGGCTACAAAGCCACAGGTTCGAACTGGCGCAGTCATATTTAATTATATCCATTTCCCCTATAAATGATCTCTAATTTTTTTTTAAAAAAAATTCCCAATTTCATTATAAATCACTATATAATCCATATAAACCAAAATCTACCTCATACAAATATCATTTATTTAAATTAAATTTCTGGGCATTTGGGGCAATCCGCATAAATTTTTCCTTCCTTCGCTGCTTCTTCAACACACTCTGAGTGAAAAAAGGACCCACACTTATCACAATAGCTATATTGCTTATCGGGGTTGAATATTTGGTTGCATATACAGACCTTCATTCAGTCTTTTATAGGAGGTTCGAGCTGCCGAGTCTTTGTATTCCATTTGGCTCTGGAAAAGAAAATGTTTTCTTCTCAATAGTCTTCTTGATAATAAGTTTGGAATTCTAATACTAATACTTTGCCTTCAATGGACTCTATATCGATAGTTTGGACTAAATTTGAATCAAATAGCTCAGCTTCGCTGAAAATTTCTGTGTTTTCGAATAGATCTTTGGGTTTGAAATAGGCACGGATTTCAGCCTTGGGCTTGCCTCGACGTTGGTGCCATCAGATTCGTTCTATTGTGCCGTAAGAATATTCGTTTTCATTAACAAGTATTTGGACAGTGTCCCCAACACAAAATTCAGTGTCTTTGATCCTGACTTTTTGATATTCTTTTTTAGGCTCTCCTGAGGATTTTTTAGCTAAATTCTTGCGTTGTACAGTAAAATGGGGATTATGCAACCAATTTTAGTTGGAAAAATGAAAGTTATAAAAAACATTAAAAAAATAATAAAATAAATAAAAATTTTTAAAAATAATAAAATAAATATAAAAATAAATGAATAAAAATAAAAAAAAAATTAAAATTAAATTTTACTGTACTTGATCATTCATTTTTATAGCCCCATTTTAATTAAAATAATAATTAATTTGTTTACCCAGCATATGATTTCATACGATTTACAAAGCCAAAAAGTAATACATATGGCTGAAATAGCTTAAATTAAAATTTGGTGCAATTATAATAACAAAGAAATGGCAGAAGCTAAAAGGATGCCTTTTTGGGTAATTTTTGGAGTTTATCCAGTCCTCTTGGCCTTTATTCTTTGGCTTTATCAACAAGTTTATTTTTTGCCTGTCCAAATTCCTCCCAAATTCTTAAGCTCAAAGTCTACTCTTGAATTAGCTATAAAATGCTCAGCAATTAGCACAATCCCAATATTTTACTTACTTACTCCCCTCTTTAAATTGATACAAAATATAAGCTAAATTTCCAATTTTTCGCACTTCATGGAATAATTTTTTTTATAAAATTAGTTTTATACTAATTAATTGAAAAGTAATTCAAATATTTTTCACATAGAATCGATTAATTCTAAAAATGAATTAAATTCAAAAAATTGCATTCAATTTATATTTGTTTAAAAAAAATTATACCCCGTATAAACTGAACAGGAATATTTTCCAATTTAAACATGTGGAGTTAATAATCATAGTAATGCTCTGCAGAATTTTAACAGCTGCAGGTAATGTATTCACTTTTATTATAAATTATGCAATAACTGCAATACCAGAAATAATATTTATTTTTATTAAAGTTCATATTATAAACCATATTTAATATAGTAGAGACTATTAAAGGAATATCAAGGAATCTGGTTTAAAGTCCATTCTATGTGTCTTCAAAATACATTAGAGCAGAACTTTTTATTTGCCGTCAATCTGATAGCTATAGGGGCATTTGAAGGTCTTGCCCCAGAAAAAATTGTCCTTGTGACAGGAATTTATATAGTTTCTAGAGTCTTGTTTTACCTTGGATATATAGCTGCTGGGTATACTGGGATTCCTGCATTTAGGTCAGTCTGGATGATGCTGACTTTTGTTAACAACGGATTTTTGTTGTGGATCAACGTGAAAACCATTTTCAAACTCTAGGCAATAATAATTAAGACATCATAAGCCTAAATTCCTTAATAAATTCATTATTAATTGAGTAAAATCTTATTGACTATTTATAGAAAGTCTTATTTGAATAGATCACCCTGTAAAAAATTAGGCTTCTTTATTAATAAGTCTTATATTGAAGAATATCTTAAAATGCTTTTAAATAAAGGGGGATCTTAAAATGACAATTAAGAAAATATATAAGGATGGATATGTGGCTGATTTACCTTTTTAAAGTATAGGGGAACCCCTATGGACCATGGAGCCCTGAAGAAGATAAAGCTCTAAAGTCTGCAGTGGAGTTTTATGGAGAAAAGAATTGAAAGGCTATGGCTAATGAGATAGGGCAAAAGTCTCGAAAACAGTACCGTTACAGATATATGATGTTGAAGACAGGGTTTATAAAAGGAGCATGGCAGCCTCATAAGATATAATTATCCAGTCTGTTTTTAATGCAGAATTACGCACTGTTTTATATTTAAAATTACTAATAGCTCTCCAGTAGTATAATTAAATATGCCGCCTCAGCTTGCTTTTCATGCAGAGATTTTATATCATCGCTGTACTTTTTTAGGCATAAGGTATTATAGTCTTATTTTAATAGGAATTCAATTAATTTTAATTAAATTTAATAAGTTAATTATGCAAAAGCATATCTTATTGATAGAAATTCTTTATTAAATAATATTTCTGCACCTCCAAATAATTATTTTCTTCAAGACTTGTTATACAAATAAGATTTCTATTGAAGAATACCGTAAAATATTAAATAAAAGGGGGGTCTAAAATAGTAATTAAAGAAAATATATAAGGATGGATAAGGCATCTGATATACCTGTATTTAAACAAGGGAAATGGAGCCCTGAAGAAGATAAAGCTCTAAAAGATGCAGTGGAGTTTTATGAAGAAAAGAATTGGAAGGCTATAGCTAAAGAGCTAGGACAAAGGAGTCCGCTACAGTGCTTTAACAGGTGGTCTCTTATATTGAAGCTAAATCTAATAAAAGGACCCTGACAGCCTCACGAAGATATAATATCCTATCTGCTTTTAATCCTGTCATCTACATTCTGTACTATTTATCTATTAAAATCACTAATAGCTCTCTAGTAGTATAATAAATATGGCACTTATAACTTTATTGATATTTAGGCTGAGATTTTATAATCCATTATGGCTCTGGCAGTTTTTCATATAGTGACTTACACTATCTAGAACAAGGCTTTTTTTGTTGTTGGCGCTATCAAAAAAAGCCCCGTTCTAGATAGTGTAAGTCGCTATATCAGCAAATAAGCTGACTTGCAAAAAGATTAAACTATTATAATTATTTATATTAAACTCTCTAGAAGTAAAGCTAGAAGCAATACAAAATCCTATAAAACGCTCAGAGAATGAGTTAAGGAGAATGGCCCACATGGCTGACCAAAATGTTCTAGGCAAATTCCAGGGCGTAATAGCAAGCAATGCCGCAGGCGATATCTTAAAATGCTGAATTCAGACCTTTTCAGAAGCAAGTGGACTCCAGAAGAAGACTCAATTCTTTTTATAATGCACAAAAAATACGGCTCCAAATGGTCATTAATTGCTAAATCTCTGCCAAATCGAACTGTTCTTTCTATTAAAAGCCATTTCTATGAGATAAAAAAGAAACTACAGAAAAAATTTCCAGAGTTAATTGTCAATGGGAAATTTAAAATCGATTCTATTGTTCCTTATGTACGTTACTCAAATACGCATAAACCTGAAGAAAATGCATTAAGTGAAGCAAAATATCAGGGAACTGAATGGTTTCGAGACGAAAAGTAATATAAGTTGCATTAATTTTAATTAATTTATACTAAGCATTTCAATTCATGGGCTATTGATAGAAATCTTAACTAATAATATTTGTACATATTCCAAATAATAAGTTCCTATCAAACCTTTATTCAATTGAAATCCTATTAAATAAAAGGGGGATCTTAAAATGACATGTCAAGAAAATATATAAGGATAGCATATGGCGACTGATACACCTATATTTAGACAAGGAAAATGGAGCCCTGAAGAAGATAAAGCTCTAAAAACTGCAGTAGAGTATTATGGAGAAGAAAATTGAAACGTTATAGCTAATGAGGTAGAACAAAGAAACGCGAAACAGTGCCGTGACAGATATATGACATTGAAGGCAGGGCCAAAAAAAGGACCATGGCAGCCTCATGAAACTGCAAAACTTTTAGAATGGGTTAAGTATGAAGGCCCAACTGAGTGGCAAAGCTGCGCTTTGCAAATTCCTGGTCGCAGTGCCAGACAATGCTTCGATCGATGACGGAAAACACTGAAACCAGGCATGAGCCAACGTGTCTGGACTTCTGAAGAAAACTATATCCTTTTTGAAATGCACAAAAGGTACGGTCCACAATGATCTTTAATTGCCAAATCTCTCAAAGAACGAACAGCTGGTTCTGTTAGAAAGCACTTTTTCAAAATAACAAAGACACTGGAGAATTATTACACAGCTCCCAAAAGGAAACTTTCTAAAGAATCTATTGTGCCTAAAACACCTCATCCGAAGAAGTATAATAAAAACAATTTTATTTCCAAAGAAAATACATCAACTGAAGAAGACAAAGCAAAAAGTAAGGTTACTGAATGATTTAAGGCTTTTGTCTAATGAGCAAGGAATAATAATACGTTTATCCTATTATAATAAGGATTAAATTGATTTTAATTAAATTCATTTAACTTATTATTATTAATTAGAAGAATTGAATTTTAAACATGAATCTATGACTGCCAGGATAAAATTTTGAAAGATTTAGTCACAATTACAATAAACTTGCAACAGGAATTTATAAGTTTCTAGAGTCTTTTTAACTTTGGGCATATAGCTGCTGGGTATACTGGGATTCTTGTATTTAGGTCATTCTGGATGATGTTAATTATTAGCACGGATTTTTAGAGTGAAAACATTTGCAAGGAAATATAAGCCTAATTTATCTAATAAATTCATTACGGGCTGAGCATAGCATGCGTTATTGATAGAAAGTCTTAATTGATTAATATTTCTAAACCTTCAAATAATTAGATTCTGCCAAGCCTTTTAATTCCAATAAGATTTAAATTGAAGATACCTTAAAATTCTATTAAATAGAAGGGGGATCTTAAAATTGCAATTAAAGAAAATACATAAGGATGGATCAGGCAATTAGAATACCTGTATTTAAACAAGGGAAATGGAGTCCTGAAGAAGATCAAGCTCTAAAGTCTGCAGTGGATTATTATGGAGCACAAAATTGAAAGGCAATAGCGGATGAGGTAGGTCAAAGGACTTCACAACAGTGCTTTGACAGGGATAATCATGAATAGTCCAAACTGTGGTAAAATTACAGTAAATTAACTATAAAAATGACTAAAAAAAATTAAATTATTAACTGAAATTTTACTCAGTGAGGTTTTTTATGATTATCCTTTTACAGGTACAAGAGTTTGAAGCCAGGGCTAATAAAAGGACCATGGCAGCCATATGAAGATATAATATTCCAGTCTGTTTTTAATGTTCGCCCACTTGCTGAATACTATTTTACATTTAAAATAGCTATTAGCTCTCTATATGTAAAGCACGAAGTATTGTAAAATACAATGTTACGCTTAGAGAATGGGTTAAGTATGAAGGCCCAACTGGTTGGTCAAGATGCTCTCTATGAATTCCTGGACGTAGTGGCAAGCAATGCCGCGAACGATGATCTACGATGTTGAACCCAGGCCTAATCAAGCGCAATTGGACTCGTGAAGAGGAATCCATCCTTTTTGAAATGTACAAAAAATACGGTAAGCAATGATCATTAATTGCCAAATCTCTTCCAGGCCGTTCAGTCGATTCTGTTAGAAAGCACATATGGGAAAATAAAAAGAAGCTGCAGAATCAGCCCCCAGAGCCAGATGAGGAGCTTTCCATAGATCCTGATGTGTCTGATTTACCTCTTAAAAAAATTTTTATTTCTAAAGAAAATGGGTAGATTAAAATACCAATTGTTTATATTTCAATGGTCTATAAAATGAATTGTCAAGCTAAAATTTCAATTTGTGATTTAAATAGAGAATTAGAGCAATTAGAAATAAAGATGGTAGAATGCTCTAGTAATTTCATTATATATATAGGCTTAAAACACAAAAAGACATAAAACCATTTGCAATTAAATAAAAATTAAGATTAAGATTAAGATTACGATAACTCTGTCTAACCCCCACTTAGCTTACTCCCCCCCCCCCCTCCGTGAGCGAACAAAACCATTAGAAAAATCGCCATTTTTTGACCAAAAACCCACCCTCCGTGAGTGAACAAAAATTTTTTTAATAGAAAAAATTTTAATGGAAAAAAATTTTGATATATAAGTGATAATTAGTATAATGAAATCTAGAGCTAATTCTGTTTAATTTTAAACAAATTGCGTTTTAAAACATAAATTTTGCAAATTAAATTAATATTTGCTTCCCAATTTTTGCAAATTAGGATTTTTTTAAATTTCGAAAAAAAATATTTTTTATAAAATTTATATATAAATTTTTTTTAAAAAAAAAAATTAACCCCCCTCCGTGAGCGAACAAAATTTTTTTGTTTCGCTCACGGAGGGGGGGGGGGGAGTTAGGGTTTTAACTGTAAAGCTCCCCCTTCATGAATTCCATCCTCTGGCGTACAGCTCTGAACAACGGTAGGTGGAATCGGCCTAACCGTCGAACCGTTACAGACGCCTCTGGCCCGGACGAGTCTCTCTTTCTTTCTTGAACTGTAATTGACAATTTGGGGCTGCCGAAGCAGTCCCAATGCTGATTTCCTTCAGAAAGTCGGAACTTCCCTCACTAGGAAAAGGACTAGGGGAGTGAACCCCTAACCTATGCCACCATTTTTAATTGTGTAAATAAAAATTAAATCATACCATTTTTATAGAGAAATATTATGAAAATACCATCAATTGTATATTCATATTTACCCAAGAAAATGCATCAGAAAAGCAGGGATTTTAAGACTTCTAAACATTTATCTGATTAAATATAAGCAATGCCTATTATCCTATTTTAGAGGAAATCTATTAATTTTCAATTAAATTCACTCTTTTAAAGCATATTAGAAAAATTAAATTTAAATATGAACCCCACCCCTCACCCAAAAATCCAAAAAATTCGTGACTACCAAGAGAAAAACCGCATTATTTTGATAGGTTTAGTCACAGTCACAATTATTTTAGTCACAGATCTTTTGTATCTTGCGCCTAAGAAAGGGTCGATGTTTGGGACAAACTTTATGGCACCGTTAACTTTAGCTTGTGTAGTCATGACTGGGGCTATGACTATAAAATACATAAACAGCGACTTAGAAGCCAATAAAGCAATAAATTCAATAAACTACGCACAAATTCACTATGAAAATAAAGAAATCATAGAAAATCAAGAGCAGGTTATTATAAGTCATTCACAGGTCGTAGAGGAATGAATGAAAAAGAAAGGGATTGATATGAAAATCAGACAGTGGATTATGAATGTCAGACAATGGTACTCAAAAGAGCTGATTCCTTATATACTGAATTCTAATGTGGAAAATATCATGCAATTGAATAAATTATTAAAAGAATTCACCAAAAAATGCGAAAAACACTGGATTTATGAAGGGTCTTTTGATGATATAAAAGGCTTTGAACTTACACATGACGAAAAAACTGTCTATAAAAGGGTCAGTATAAGGGATATTCAGGACTTGATAAAAGACCTGAAATTCAATTATACACTGGATTTAGAGCTTTCGAAAAAGGAGTCAGCAATCCCAGGTGACTCCAGCAAAGAAGAAGCTTTAAAAAGACTCCAGCTTGCTGACATAGTCCGCCAACGGCTACTTTTAGACAATTTTTTTGAAATTCCAACCTTTAACTGTCGGAATTTCGTAATTTCTCGGCTTTATACCTTGTCAAGCACTTTATCTCTAAAAGACTACCAAGCTTCCCCAGCAGTTTCTGACAACTCGTGGACCTCCCGCAAGCCAAGCGACCCTCAAATCCTTTCCCACCTTTTCTTCCGCCTCTTAAACAACCTTAACAACCCTACAGTTGACCCTAATTTTAATATGTTTTCTGAAATAGTGACTGAAGCTCCCCCTAGCTCAATGCACATCTCCAAAGTCCTTTTTTACCAAACCTCACGAATCCCTACCTTTGAAATCTTATCAGGGAGTGAAATTTGAACCCCTCACAAAGACTCAGACAACCTTTTCAGCGCAATAGCACTTTTCTTATATCATGTACAGCAAAAAAATAATGGTTATTTCTATAGTATGGACTGTAGAGACTTCTTTAAGTTAATATACATTTTTTTATAAATTAAGCTGAAATCTCTATAAGTTTATCAATTATTTTTATATATATTTTTTTAGTATATATTAATTTCAAATTAAGAATAAAGGTTATTTAAATTCCCCATCCAAGAAGTAAGCGGATTCCTTCTCCAAGGTTGTGGCCACATTCATAAGGGCTTTCGCACTTTCCATTTCCAAGTGACAAGAAGTCGTTGTTAATAGTGGAAAAGCTCTGTAACTCCCCACCCACGAGTTGGGCCTAATAAAAGTCTTATATAAAAAAAATTTTTTATAGAAAATTATTAACAAAAAAAAACCTGCTTGAGGGAGTAAATAGTTAGTGACTACTTGGTTAGTTCCGCTTTGAGTTCCAAGTCCTTTAAGAATTGCAATTAAAGCTGTATAGTTGCAGTCAGCGTTCCAGCTGAAAATTTCATCTTCAATCTTAACGACCAAGTTAAGCATAGTATGGAGGACGAAAATGTCGCCACCTTCAAGCTTTTTGATATAGTTGGAAATTTGGGTGAACTGAGGTTCAAGTCCAGTGAAGTCAGCCACACATTTGGAGACTCCGTTCTTGGCAAGCCCAGCCAATAAGCCGTTGAAGAAGTCATAGTTAGGAGTTGGGTTGGCTCCAGCTGTAAGGGTCCAGCCTACCAAAAGTTGGATTGCGTTACCTAAGGATTGGCCACAGACTGCATAATCAGCACTGCAAGCGGTCAGGACTTTCATGTCAGCGTGGATTTCTGAGGAGTGCTTGAAATAGTTGGTCATTAAGATGGAAAGGCCAGTGCTTGGGTTCAAGATTTGGATAAGTTGCTTTTCTAAGGCTTCAAGGTTGCAGGCTGGTGCGATCTGGTGGAGGCTGCTGGCAAAGGCTTTGAGATTTGTAATGAGGGTCTGGGTGTCTTCAAAGTTGAAATGAAGAATGCTTTGGAAGTTAGAAAGGCGAACCCAAGGCAAAATTTTTTTTTTTATAAAAATATTTTGGTATTATTTAAAGAGTCTTAGAAACGATTTCTTGGACCAAAGCAGATTCTGAGTTGAGTTGGGTTTGGCAGGTCCCTTCAATTTCTGGATTTGCTTGAAGACCTGAAAGTAATCCTTTAACAAAGTTTAGAGCGTCAGCTGGGGTTGGCTCTGAGTGTACAGCGGCAGATAGGCATGCAAGCCCGAGGAAAACAAAGAGCATTCGCTGCATTATATAATTATTTCACCATAATTTTGGCATAAATTTAAGGACTTTTATAATGATGAAAAAGAAAAGAGGAGAGAAAATGCGACTTAAGTGGATTAATTTTAGTTTAAATAGAGATATAACTAATCATTATGAAATAACTAAAAACCAACGGTTAAATATGTTGAGAAAGGATACAGATCATGTTTTTGCTGGCATTTTCTTAGCTGGCTCTATAAAAATCACGATATTTAACATAATATAGGCTTCTCCAATTTCTTGTGGTATTAATGAAAACTCTCTTAAATAAACCAATTTAAGAATATAGCTTATTCATAACAATAGATCGCTCAGGTTTTAGTTCACTAGGTAAAAATATGTCTCCTTAGTCAAAATATATTTTAAAATTTTCTCATTGAATTATCTTTTCCAAAAATAATCAAAATAAAACCTAATACCCGTCTACACAGTAAATCTATTATAATAAATCTGTTATTGACTTCATATACAAATTAAGAAATTTCTAAATCTTCGTCACTATCCGCATCCCTCGAAATAATCATTCTTCCTGGGATGTGCAATTGCCTTGCATACTCAATTTTCGCCCTCTCGTACTCATCTCTTTTATCCTGAAAATGATAAAGCAAAATTTCATTATAAATCAAGTCCTTTGTGTCCCTCATCGTCAGCAGCTGCCTTTCAAACTCAAAGTCAAACAGCGAGACTGGCTCTCGGACTGGCTCATCTTCTGGGTAATGCAAAGCTACCAGATAAGGGTGGGACAAGGCTTCTTCTATAGTAATTCTTCGCGCTGGGTTGAAAACCAGCATTTTCTTCAGCAAATCCATCGCATTCGGATTTGCTGTCCTAAAAATGGTCTCAAAAGCACGTGCTGGCCTTCTCGCCATTCTCATCACCTTGTCTCTAGCCTTAGTCGTAGGAATGCACTGGATATCTTCGTCTGTCGGGGTACCGATAAGGTTAAAACTCAGCTCAAGCTGGTGATTTGCATCATTTCCAGGCAAGATCGGCTTTCTATGCAAAAGCTCTCCAAAAATGCACCCAACACTTCACATATCCAGCGCCGTCGTATATTTCTTGAACGTCAAAAGTAGCTCAGGAGCCCTATACCACCTTGTTGCCACATAATCAGTCATCTGAGTCGAGTTTATTTTCAGTTCTTTTATATAAGGCCTTGCTAGTCCAAAATCACAAATTTTCAAGTCACAATTGGAATTTACCAATAAATTCCTAGGCTTTAAGTCTCTATGTATAATCCCTGCGCTGTGCATATACTTCATTCCTCTAAGAAGCTGATATAAAAAGAATTGGCAGTGGTCATCAGATAAATGCTGAGGAGATTTTATAATTGAGCTTAGATCTGTCTGCAGCAGCTCGTTTACGACATAAATTTCGTCAAAGTCTTCTCGGGAGACAGGCAGCTGAATGGTGCGTATCCTCATTATGTTTTCGTGCTCTAACAAGCGGAGGATGATGAGTTCTCGTAAGGTTCGCTTGGCAAAGGTCGTGTGTTCAAAGGCTTTTTCGATTTTTTTTATTGCCACCATTTCGCCGGTATGGGTGTCTCGGGCTGAAACTACAACGCCGTAGGCACCACTGCCTAAAGTGTCGAGAATTTCGTAGCGGGAGTCAAGGGAGAAGGTGGCGCCTATTACTCTGGTGATGCGCTTGTTAATGGCACAGGGTCCTCCAAGCTGAGATACGGAGTATGGGCCACGTACCGTTTCTTTGGAGGCTTGCTTGGGTTTAAGTTCCATATTATAGGAAAACCATTCTTTGGAAAATTTAAAATGATGAGCTCAGATGGGAAGGAGAAAGAGAAAAGATAGGTAAAGGGGGGAGAGATGGAGGAATCGGGACTGCTGGAGGTTTTAGATATGAATAAATTCAAAAAAATCATTATTAGCAAGAAATGCATATATATGATTAAAGATAATTGAAAAAGAGAGGTTTTGGTATATATTTAAAAAAGAAGCAAGCTAAAAGTTTGTGATTGTAATAAAGTAGAAAGCTATTTTAGTAATAATAAAATGCATTTTCAATTAAACTAACAATGCCTTTTTTAAAAAAAATTATTATTAACTCGTCTAGTTTGTGAAAGGGCAAACCATGGAAAAAATCTTATTTTTTAATAAAAAAATAAACTTTTCATCGAATTTTCTATATATAAATTTGGATCTATAAGTATAGATTATTATAGCTATTTTTTTCAAATTCAAAATAAAGCCCAATTCTGAGTAGACAAGAATTTTGTGCTCACAAACAGATAGAGAAATAAGAACTAGATTGTATTTAAAAGCTAAAATTAGATTATTACTACCAAGAAGGCTTTATTTTCTTTGTTGTATCCATGGATTTGAACTCTGTTGTGACCCACTTTGCTGGTTAGACATAAAAGCTCCAAATGGCTGCTGCACTGCTGGATTAGGCTGCTGCCCAGCTTGTTGTGCAAAAGATCCAAATGATACTGGCTGTCCTGGATTCCCAAAGGTTTTATTACCTAAATTTACCGTTGGAAATGACGAAGGTGCAAATGAAGTGGACCCAAACCCTGACTGCCCAAAAGTTGGCATAACTGGAGCAGGCTGAGAGTTAAGTGCAAGCGACATTAAAGAATTTGGAGCTGGCTGACTGCTTGGGATAAAAGGGCTAGGATTTGTTGGCTTTGGAGCTGTAAACGTATTTTGGGCTGCCACAAAGAACGAATTTTGGGCTGGTGGCTGTGCAGGATTTGTAGGCTGGGTGCCAAGTATAGAGCTTGTAGAAAATGGTTTTTCCGGGCTTAGTAAGGACGGATTGACTGCATTAGGAGGTTTCTGAGGGTTAAGGATTGATTGGGATAGAGGAGCTGTTAATAAAGGTTTTTGAGGTGTTGTCAATGAATTTTGAAGAGGATTTGATGGAAAAGACTGCTGAGAAGGCTTAGCTGCCTGAGATGTTGGGTTAACAAAGAACCCAGAGCTTGCAGGCTTTGGAGGCTCTACTTTCTCAGCTGGCTTTGGAGGGTTGGTTGAAAAAGCTGGAACAGTTGTAGGCTGTGGCTGAAGTTTTTGAGGTGCAAAAGGCTGGCTAGATTGAACTGATTGTGTTGGAGGATTCGGAGCTGAATCAACTTGAAGACTTGCTTGCATTGGCTGCTGCACTTTAGGGGGCTCTACCTGTACTTTTGGTTCTGGCTTTTTAAAAGCTACTTCCATTATATGTTCTATAGACTTCTTTTTAGTCGAAATTATTGGACTTTCTGCTGCTTTCTCTTTAATAGTATCAAATTTGATAACTTCGCTAGGCAGTTTTTTATCAGGCTGCCTCACAGCATTTTGCTGTGGAGTTGCCAAGCTTTGCCTCGGTTTTTCTATTCTAGACTGTATAATCTGTGGCTTAATTCAGTCTTTAAACCTCCTCTGCTGTTCCGCTGGGTCTCTAAAATCTATTTTTTCTTCTATATTTTCTTCTTTTTCTTCTTCATCACTATTTTCTACATCGTCAAAGGCGAACCTTTTTTGCTGAGAAGGTCTCAGCGCTCTGCCTAAGCCCCTCACCTTTAAATCCAGCTCACTTATAACCCTACTGGCCTGTTCTATTCTTGACACTATTAAATTATCAATAATTTCTTTCGGATATTTCACAGTTTTTTGCTTTGTATTTGGGATATGTTTTCTGGTAACTCTCAGCATGTTTGTGCTTTCGTCAGTTTTCACCCCGAGCTGATTCCTTTGGGATCTTATCATTTTGATGATTTTTTCAAGCCCAACCTTAAAATAATGCTCAAAAGTGGTAGTTCGGCATTCAAATTCTTCAATAGACCGGATAAGTCTTGGGTCAATGTCCCCTTCATCTAGGTCATTTTTGACTTCTAGCTGGGTTTTGGCCATCTCGAAAATGTTTTTTACAGCGTCAGCGTCAATTTTGTTTTCTATGTGGGAGGCAGTTAGGTCGTCTAATTTTTGACTGAGGGTGAAAATTTTTTGTTTGCTGAGGTTGATTATTTTTTGGGAGTCGGAGATGATGGATTTTATGTCGGAGAGGACGGAGTCGTTGATTTGTTGGGATTCGAGCTGGGAGAAAGAAGTGGAGGTCTCTTGGATGGTGATTTGGAGGAAATTTATGAGTTTTTCTTTTTCTTGTTTGAGGATGGTGGTGTCAGCTGGCTTGGGGGGTTCTGATTGCTTCAAAGGTTCGGGCTGTTTTAAGGGTTCTGGCTGCTTTAAAGGGAGTTGAGCTGTTTTAGTATCTTCAGGCTTTGGCTGGGCTGGGAAGACAGCAGATGGTTTTGTAGGTTCTTCGGCCTTAGGCTGAGGCGGCTGAGCATCAAATAGCTTTTTGGTAGCTTCTTCTGGCTTTGGTTGAGAAATCAAAGAAGTACCAAATGGAGATTGACCTTGATTTGCAGTCTTTGAAGATTCTTCAGTTTTTACCTGTGAAAAGCTAGTTTGCAAACTTGATAGAGAAAAAGGATTTTGAGCAGTGCTTTTGGATTCTTCAGGCTTCTGGATGAAGAACGGGTTTTGGCTAGTTGTCTTTGCAGCTGCTTCTGATTTGGGCTGGAAAGGATTTTCTTTTTTTTCTTCTGAGACTTTGAATGCATCTGCTTTTATTTCTGGTTTTGAGGGGATAAAAGAGCTAGCTTGAGGGCCTAAAGAGGCGCTAAAAGGATTTGAAGCTTTAGGATCAGCGGATATAGGCAAGTCTAGTGGTTTTTGTGTAAGTTTTGATAGCCCAGAGGTTATTTCTCCAGATTTTTTGCTTTCTTCTGTTAATCCAGTAGTCTGGGCAGGCTGAGTTTTTTCCTCACTCCCCTTTAAATTAGAGCAAATCTTATTTAAATTTCAAAATTAAAAAAATTATATTATAATTTATAATTAAAACATATTATCTATTGCCTAAATTTCTGATCATGCATATGCATGTCATTTTGAATTTGGTATGTAAAAACCGAATATGCGTTTCAAAACGCAGATTTTAGTGCGGCAAATTCTTAATTTGAAATTTCATATGAAAATGGCGCGTATAACGTCCATAAGAAATTTTGCCAACGGATTATATAATTTCCTAAAATTTCAACAATTTGTTATAGCATTTTCCTTTTAAAATTAAAATTTTTAAACAGATAAATTATTGATGAAATATTTTTAATTTATTTTTATGGAAAACTAATAAAAAATTAATTGATTTAATGTACAAACTACTTAAATGATTTCTATTTGCACTTTTTCCATTAAATTAGGTAAATCTATTTTATAAAAAATTTTATTTTCGCCCAAATTTTTTTTTCCAATTTAAAGGCAAAAAATTAAAATTTAGCCGATATTTATTCAAATTTAAAAGAGGGGATTTAGGTTTCTGAAATGGGTTAAACAATCCTGTTTGGCCAAACGGTGACACTGCATCCAGCTTTTTTTGCGGTTCTGCTGATGAATCTATCGGTTTAGGGTTAAATAAGTTCGTCTCAGTCTTTATTTCTTCTCTTTTCACATCAGCTGTCTTTGCTATACTTTTCTGCTCTTCAGTTTTCCCTTTATTATCTACTTTTCCTTCCTCTTCGTCATCACTTATATCTTTCAGATTTCTTCCTTCTTTGATTAAATTCTCATTTAAATACTCAGCCCTCAAATCAATGTATTTTTTCAAGTAAATTTTCCCATCACTTCCTATAAACACAATCATTGGCGGATAACAAATCTTAAAGTCTTCATCTTTTATAGTAAACTCAAATATCTCACTGTGAGGCTTGAAATTTGTAACCAGTCCAAAGCCTCTCATAATGTGCTCAGTATCTTTAGACTCTTCCCATAAAACTTTGCCTTTCCATTGTGCAATTTCGTCTCATAAGTAAATCCTAGAATCCTCCCCAATATTGTACATAATACTTGCTTGGCTTGATCCAGATGATTATTATTTATTGATTAAGATTTAAAGTACTTCTTCTCTTCAGCAAAGTGATATAGACATCGCCCACTCTTTTAAAACCCAAGTGGTGATATAAGAAATTATCTTGTCTTGCAAGCATTCCAGAAGACACACAAAGGAGGCCAAAGAGTATAGAAATTTCCCTTAAATGGTGCAGTTTGCCCTTGATTTGCCCACTGAAAAAATTTTTTGGTTCGACCAGTACCATATGGTTTGGTCAAACCAAAAAAAATTTTCAGTGGGCAAATCAAGGGCAAAGCAGTGTCATCTATGGGAAAATTCTATATTTAATGGTGGTATTGACCTTGCCCCAGCGTATGCTCCGCCTAAGATCACCCTTCTCAGGTGCCAGCTAAATCAAACCATATGCTTCCTTCTTCCTAGGGCCACCGAATTACTCTATGTGGCTATTCCATACTTGCATAGCGCACAAAGGCACATGAAAGCCTGAACCTTATAATAATAAATCGTGAGGTGGATATGTTTTCGAATGGAACTAATTTCTTATAGCCATTTTATTACTTGATCATATGATGACAAAATCAGAGTATTTCTGCTCGAAATATAGTCAAAATAAGCTACAATTGGCTTGCTTGGCATTTCATTGTACTCATCAGGCAGTGAATAAGGCATTAAATCAGTATCACTTTGCTCGCCTAACTCCCCCCTCCGTCAGTGAACAAAAAAAATTTTGTTTCGCTCATGGATGGGGGTTAATTTTTTTTTTTAAATTTTAAAAAAATCGTAATTCGTAAAAATTGGAAAGTAAATATTAATTTAATTTATAAAAATTATGTTTTAAACTCAAATTTTTAAAAATTAAACAGAATTAGCTCAGATTTCATTATACTAATTATCACTTATATATCAATTTTTTCATAAAATTTTTTTTTTTCGCTCACGGAGGGTTGGTTTTTTGCAAAATAAGGATTTTTCTAATGGTTTCGTTCACTCATGGAGGAGGTGGAGTAAGAGAGCTAAAGGATCTAATGAATAAACCTGCACTATAGCATTTTCTCCTCTGAAGCCAAAAATTACTATCATTTTATTCCCTATTTCCTTAATTCCAAAAGGCACTACCTCTTCCAGCGGATGCTGGACTAAAATTTTCCCTGTCTTATTATCTATAATAATAACCCCCATTTCTCCACAAGCCACACACTGTCTATCTCTGCTTTTCAAAAATCCAAAACACTTGATTTTTTCATGCCCACTTATAAGTTTGTCCTTCAAATATATATCTAGACACCCATTTTCCTGTAAAACCCCTAACATTTTTCTATTCCATTCTATTCACCTTATAGGACTTTGTGTTGTTATTACTTGGTAGCTCTGTGCGGTATTTCTTATCCATTTCCTAGTCCCTAATATATGTAGCTTATTCCTACAAGCGACAGCTAACAAGCTGCCAGTCTCATTGGCCGCCACTAGGTTTATGATTTCTGGGAAATCTTTTTCAAAGAACTGAGGCGGCTCAGTCCCTTTTATATAGTCTTCTAAAAATCGTGTTGGGATAAGCACAATTTTTGAGTCTTTTGCTATAACGATAAAGCCAGAGAAGTTGCAGACTGCAATAAGTTGAGAAAAATGAGGCTCTAGTCTAGGAGTACAAAAGGTGCCTTCAGCCTTGACAACATCTTCGAAATAGCATCATTCGTCACTTGGATCCATTTTATTATAAGCAATTAAAATTTATATACCTTTTCTTATTAGTCATTTTTTTATAAAAATACAGATTTCTGATAGTCTAAAACCTCTATTCAGGCATATTTTTTATTGAACTTCACTTTTTTCATAGATCTTTGAGATGCTTCTTCACGATTAAGCTCATTATCTAGTCGATGAACTTCACTTAGAAGCATGCTGCTCAGCTGAACAGCTTCTTCTAATGCTTTTTTGGTTTTTTTATTTTTTTCTTTAAGTTTTTCGCAGTTTTTGCACTCGATTTTTCCTTTTTTGTAGGCATCTAGTTCTTCTTCTAACTGCATCCTGGTGAGTTCTGATTTTGCACACTCTTTTTTAAGGGTTTGGTATTTCCGTTTTAAATCATTTTGAATCCTAGAACCGTCAGGCCACTGTCCAAGATCCAGATAGTTCTTATGAAAATCCCCAACATTTCTGAGACGTGAGGACGCAGGCAATAATGAACCGTCATCAATTGAATTCCCAACTGAGCTTGATTCCATGTCCTGTGCCAATGTTTTATTGCTAACTCCCCCCCTCCGTGAGTGAACAAAACCATTAGAAAAATCGCTATTTTTTGCCCAAAAACCCACCTTCGTGAGTGAACAAAAATTTTCTATGAAAAAAAAAATTTGATATATAAGTGATAATTAGTATAATGAAATCTATACCTAATTCTGTTTAATTTTAAACAAATTGCGTTTTAAAACATAAATTTTATAAATTAAATTAATATTTGCTTCCCAAATTTTTGCAAATTAGGATTTTTTTAAATTTCGAAAAAAAATTTTTTTCTATAAAAATATATATATAAATTTTTTAAAAAAAAAAAAATTAACCCCCCTCCGTGAGTAAACAAAATTTTTTTGTTCACTCAGGGAGGGGGGGGGAGTAAAAAGGAGTGGGGATTGCTCTTCTTTATTGTCAAATAAGCTTGTTTTGAATTGTGAAACAAGTGAAGCTTTAAGTGAAGGAGCAGTGTTGAGGTAAAAAAATCTACCGTCTACTTCTTCAAAAGAAATGCTTTGGTTGATAGGGTCTGTAAGTGTCTTTTCAGCGTCCATATTAAATTTTATAACTTTACAGGAGTTATATATTAACTCAAAAATCATATTTTGGGAGGAATAAAAAACGTGCCACAGGCTAAGAAGGTTTAGACTGCTTAGACACTATGGCTTGAGAACAGTCGGGACATCTGATTTTTGGCTAGGCTCCAGCCAGACCAGTAAGTTAAGTAAATTCTCTTTTATTTATTTTTACCATGCCATATCTCCTGATTTACTAGTCAAATTTTCATATGATTTTCTCCTAAATCCATAATAAATTTCTAAGGAAATGTCCTCATATTTTTCAATTCAGCCTCACAGGCAAATCATTGGTCTAATAAAATGGCAGAGAGAAATAGATTCAAATACTTTCGAACCAACAAAGTGGGAAGAACAAGCCAGCTAGATGAAGAAACTGCCTTCTTTGAAAGGAAAGAAGAAGGGTCTCCTAGGAAGATAATTTATCGCAATGAGTGTCCTAATGAGCTGAAAGCCTTCGAAGACTGCATGAAGAGCACAGGAAACAACCTCAGCGCATGTGCTTCACAAAACTTAGCCCTTGGAACGTGTGGAAAGCACTTTTTTAAAGTCATAAACGGAATGTCGCAGCCATACGATTATCATAAAGGACTTCCTAAATAAGAGGATAAGCTTAGTTCTAAAATTATTAGCTAAAATCTCTGCCGATCTTCCAGGTACTGGAGCTTGATAAGAAGTAAAATTGTCGCAGGCTGTTGAGTCTAAGGGTGACTCTGAGTTTTGCTGTAGGAATTGCATGATACTTGGTGTCATTGTAGTTGTAGTACTCTGTGTTGTTGCGGAGAGCTTCAAAGTTTTGGCCGTCTATCTTGGCTTGGCCTGGAATCCCAATGAACGCATAAGGGTGCCGATAAGGGGTTGAAGTGACTGTTTTATAAGAAGGGTAAACTGCATTTACATTTCCAAATTCTTTAATTAATCTATATCAGGCAGACAAAAAACTATAGAAATATTGATAAATTTACAGAAATTCATATAAAATAGCATAAAAATTCCGCCAAGGTTTTGGATTGCAATGCCTAAAGATCTGATAAAGTTCTTTTCTCACGCGTCACAGCTGATTAGTATGATAAGGTAATTTGCATTATAACTAGACAGCTGTATCGCCAAATTAGTGGAATCAAGGACGCTCCCAAAAGTATCGTAAGTGTGGTTATACACAACAGAAAGGTCTTGGCGGTGCAAAACCATTAGGTGTAGTCCTCTAATACTTTCTGAATACAATAAATAAGAGTTCCCAAGCTTCACATAAGCCGGCATCAGGTTGTTAGACCCTGTGCCTTGGACTTCTAAAAATGATCATTTTTCCCCTAAAGAGTTAGTGATGTTTATATCACTCCAAGGGCTTCAGTCACAATTCTCAGCCAAACCTCTGACCCTTATCCTATAAACCATACTCGACACAACATTGATTTGGGCATACCGAAACTGGCCTTGGTAGCCTAATTGAAAATCATTTCACATAGAATCTGACATAAAAAGTACCTAAAAGCATATCTGATAGAGGCGCTTGGGGATATACCTATTTATTATAAATAGCAGGGTATTTATTATGAAATTTATATTTACTATAAATAGATATAAGTCCAATTAATCATTCCTATATTAGTCGATGTTTTTCAGTTAGTCCAATTTGGGGTCGCATATTCTACCTGATAAAGTGTCAAAGTGTATCCATTATTAGTGGGAAAAGTCCATTGCAGAGAAATTACAGATGGGGTAGGAATTATTGATATAATTTTAGGAGGGGATGACCAGGTGCACCCAGCTAAATAAAATTTACGAGGATTTCTTGAAAACACAGTATGGAATAAAAAGAATATAAGGTACATTTTATTATATAAGCACAGGATTACAATACATAAATAAATTAATTAGCCAAAACTTGTGATCTTAAAAAGCAATAAGCCCCGTTGAGTTTCCATAGTTGCATAACTGTGCTATGGCAAAGACCAGGACTCCACTTCCATTAGGAATCCAGGGGTTCTCATTCAAGAGTGGTACTTTCTACCCTCGGCCCGGGGACTTTCCCCAAACAATCTTAAGCGATAAACGCCTTTATGTGTTGTTCGATTGCAACTCTGCTTCTTAAAATTGTCAAGTCTTGTCTATTTATTTATTATTAGCCATACTTAATAAATGGAAATTAGTGTTAAAATAAATTTTAACAATTGTTAATATGCTAGGGTGGATAAATGGCTCGCCGTAGGCGAGCAAAATAATATAGGATTATTTAATAGAAAAAGGATAGACTTAAGAACAGCATGAATTTTTTCATATAATGGCCGTTCCCTTAACAGTCTGATGGTCTGTCCAGGTGAGTTTCCACCGTTTTCAAACCGACTTGACAAATCACAAGCTCTTCCAAAAGCTTCTAAAAATTCAATAAAACTCATTTCTATGTGCCTTTTCTTATAAATCTCATCTACTTGGCTCATCATAGCTTGAGAAAAGCACAAATCAATCTCCCTCGCTGCCATATTATCATTCAAAAGACCCACATCGTTGCAAAGCTGCCTAAACTCTTCAAGACACATAAAATTTTTTTGTCCTGGGAGGGTTTTTTTGCCGCTATATTTTTTATAAAGCCAATCTAAGCTTGCCTTCTTAGCTTTATAGACAACATCAACTTCTTCACAAATATACCGTTCTTTTCTTCAGAGTTCTGTATTATGCTGAGGCATAATTTGCATTAAATGGTCATTGAGTGGTTAGACATAAAATCTCCCCTATTAATACCAAATAGCATATTTTTATTATGAGAAATATAGAGAAGCCCTTCTGCGACGGAAAAAAACCTTGAAATTTTCCATAAACACAAAATAATTTTTAAGAAATAATATTTTGATATATTTAATAATTATTATAATGAAATTCCTAGCATTATTTTTAATTTTAAACAACTTGCATTTTAAAATATAAATTTTGCAAGTTTAATTAATATTTGCTCTTAAAATTATATTGAATTTGGATTGAAAAAAAATTACTATAAAATTTATATAATCATTCTTTTAATATCTTAAAGGTGGAACTAAAATATCTATTAATTCTTATTATCAAGATAGGTAGTTTGGTGTTAAGGGGTGGGGGGATGGATTTCATAAACCAATTGAGGAGCTTTTGAATTGCACCAGAATATGTAGGGCAAATTTTAGTCCTCACATATCTGTCATTGGCAATCCTTACCAAGATTTCCATAAATTCATAACGAACTAGGGCACTCCCAGGGTTATACATCTGGCCTTTTTCTTTTTGGATTTTTGAAGAATTTCAGTTAACTCCTATAGCCCAGGGCTTGCTTTAGATCGCCTGGGTATAAAATACCTCCCAGAACAGTCGTCAATCCATCAGTTTACAAGCGAAATCTATATAGGTACATTGACTTGACAATTATTGTTGCCCTATCTAAAGCAGGCCCTGGACTATAAATCGCTGACTTCATAAAGACTATCAATAATTCCGCATTGATTTAAAAAATCAGTAAAAATATTTGAGCCAATTGAAAAAATTTCTGAGCCACTGAACGACGCAAGGTATTTATAGGTCTCTTTGAAAAAGGAATAGTAACTGCGTAAGATTTCTTTGGTGCTTGATCTGTCGTTGCTGTCTTTAATGAAATTAGAGATTCTGGCATGTCTTCAGTCAAACTCAAAGCAGTCATTTAGAAGCCTTTGACTGTTAAAAATATAGTCTTTGAATATAGAAGTATTGAAGTCTCAAGGTGGCTTTATATATTCGTCGTCTGGAGGTTTATAGATTAACCCTGGGATTCTGGGCTTTGTGTCGAAATTTCCATAAAGCTTATATAGTTTTCCTGAGGAAGGGGTGGATTGAATGGTATTTATAGTTATAAATTCTTTGTGCTTGGCCCAAAACTCGAATTCTTTTGTTATAGGAAAATCAAGAGAATGCAACTTATAGTTAGACGACTTAGCAAACTTGCCTCTGTATGTAAAGAAAAATTTTACTTCACCTGGTGGCACTGCCCTTATCAGCTTAAATCCTCCATCCGGTTGCTTTATCATTAAATCAGGCTCTCACTCATCACACTCTAAATGCAAAAACACTGGATCATCCAATATTTCATCACTTTTTATATAAAATTCCATTTCAACCCACTTTTCACACACCCAGCACATGCTTTTTTCTGTATTTAAATTTTTCACATTTGGCTCAATAATCCTTTGGAAAAAATGGCTTTGGTTATATTTTGCAATGTTCTGTGCAGGGATAATGAAGCCTCGAGAATTCAGCATACAATCATTTCCTGACATATGAATCCCCAGCAGAGAATGGTTATTTTGTATGCCTTTCCCTATTCTTTTGCATTCTTCTATAGAAAAATAGTTATATGACAAATCAATGTGGAGAAGGTTCAAGTGAACTTTTAATGCGTCTCCGACTGCACTTGCAACGCTTTGGATTGGATTATTCCCCATAGAGTTTCAGGATACATCAAGCTCTCGCAAATTTGTATTTTCTGCAAGACCGTTAAAAAGTGAAATAGCTCCTTCATCCCTGATGCAGTTCCAATGAAGATCTAGCCTCTTAATAGAGTCATTTACTCTCAATAGCTTACTTATAGCTCTACATGCAATTTCTCCCAAATTATTTCTTGCCAAATTAAGCCTTGTCAGCTGCCTATTTAGAGCTAGCGCATCACACAGTTTAGAAACCGCTACATTGCTGATCCCTGTGTTTTCTAAATTCAGGTGTTTTAAATTAGAATTGAATTTATCAACAATTTCAACAATTTTATCAACTGACTTCATCCCAATTTTATTTTCTGCAAGGGAAAGCTCTTTTAACTTTTGGTTCGAAATTTTTGACAGAATAGTGGCGCTTCCTCGTTCAGTGAGTCTATTTGATTTTAGGTTCAGGCTTTCTAAGCCGTGAACTCGCTTAATTCCTTCTGAGAAGGCATCAGCATAATAGTCGCCCATAGAAAAGCCGTGGATATCTAGCTTAGTCTCGCTGCCTTCTCTTCTTACAATCCCAAAAGGTTTTGGCATTAAATGGTGTGCTTGTAACTGATTTAAATAAGCGAGGTTTGGGGAGTCTTCCAGCTGCTCATAATTGTTACGTTGTGACAATTTTGGCAGATTTTTAAAGGAATCGAAGTAATCAAGCCTTGCTTCAACTCCAACAGCACTTGGAACGCTGTCAATAGTTCCTCGCATTTTTGACTTTTGCGATTTCAAAAGAAATCGCTCAGTTATTGCAGCAGTATTCAGCTCATTCCGAGCTGAATCTCTGGGATGTATAGGACTTTTTTGGGGCGAGTAGAACTTTTTAGGGTTTTTTGCTTTTCTTTTAAGCCTGGAAGGAGATTTCATAAGTAGAGGTAAGCTAGAGTTTCTTGAATGCAACATTTTAATTACAAATTCTCTATTTAATGCAAAAAAAACTATCAAAATACAGTTATTTAATTATACTAAATTTTCATTAATTAACCTCTTCATTATTCTTATGAACCCTCGTCTTCAAGTGGTCTTTCAAATGTCCCTTCGTTTTGAAGGTCTTTTTGCACTCTTCAAAAGGACACATAAATGGTCTTTCCCCAGTGTGTGTTCTCATGTGAATTTTCAAGTTCCCGCTCTCGCTGAAGGCTTTTTTGCAGTGTTCACAGCTGAAAGGCTTCTCCCCCGTATGTATCCTTACATGTATCTTCAGTGTGCTGCTCCTCATAAAGGAGCTGCCACATTCCTTGCACACAAACGGTCTTATATTATTATGCCGCCTGCTATGATCTGTCAGGTGCCCCTGTGTTGTAAACTTCTTGCCACATTCCTGGCACTCATAAGGCTTTTCTCCAGTATGAGTCCTCATATGAGTCCTCAGGTTTCCACTCTCACAGAATGCCTTCTGGCATACTTTGCAGACATAAGGCCTTTCGCCTGTATGTTTTCGCATGTGGACTTTTAAAGTACTCGGTCTGGTATAGGTGCGATTGCACTTTTCACAGACATATAAGGACTTTGAGGAGAGAATTTCTGGGGTGTTTGGCGCGGTCGACAAGCTGGGCGAGGCTGAAACTGTATATACTTGTGCATAGAGACAGTCTTGAAATGGGTTAGCAAGCAGGGAGTACTGTAAGCAGTATAAATTTAAACGCTCTGGAGAAAGTTTGTCAGCGCCTTCTTCAAGTTTTATGGGTTTTGCCGCTTTTGGTTGGGCTAGGCGCTCTTCTTCGTCTTTCAGCATTTCGGGCTAATTATATAAGAAATCCGCGAAGATAAGAAGTTTTGACCAATCAAGATTTAGTCGGATAAGAAGAGCGCGAATTTTTGGCGGATAATAGCATTTGGGTTTATAGCATTAGCGGTTTATTAAGAAATTGATTAATTATATTGATAAAATGGCCTTTGTCAGGAGAAATTTCGGACTTTTTGGCAAAATTTTCGGAAAAACAGAAAAAGAAGCACCTAAACTGAAAGCGAAAACGGCAGCAATTGCCCAGCCGCTGGCAGAGCATAAGGCAATAGAAATTGACTGAAAAACTCCGAAAATCCATGTTTCGACCTTAAAAAATGGGCTGAAAATTTTAACAGAGTCTTCAGGTTTTCCAGCTCATGTTCATTTAGGAGCTATTATTGATATAGGAGTGAGGGAAGAAACCAAAGAAAATTCAGGCGCTTTGATGGGGCTCAAGCATACTTATCTTACAAAAGCAGATGAAATTAAGAATTTTAGCATGCTTCAGATGTCAGGAGGGGAGCTTGCAATGGACTATGACCAGGAACAAACTCTTTTCCAGGGTTATTGCATGTCTCATGATGTAGTTGATTATTTGCAATTGATAAAAACATGATTATAATATGGATAATTTTAACACCCTCAGCGATTTTATAATATAGTTTATTTTTTCCCATTAAACAATGGAAGGAGCACCCTAAGTTAGGCTAGAGAGGCTGGTCCTTGTATTTTCGGAGGCAAAAGGGTTACTACTTGGCACTGCAAGGATGAGCCCTTAGACAAACTGGGAGGCTTTCAAAGCAGATTGAAATTTCACCTAATATAGGGTACTCAGAATAAAAAGGCGGGGGCTAATAACCCTATGGTAGAAGACACCACTTTATTGAGTAAGATTAAAACATCATTAAGAGATGAAAGAAATCAAGAAGATGAGGAAAAACTGAAAATCAGGCTAGAAGAGCTGTGAAAACTAAGGGAGATGTCACTGACTAATGAGCATAGACTATTAGAGCTGACTCTAGATGTGGCTTATGGAAATAGCGGGGTTGGAATGCCTTTGCATGGAAGCATAAGCAGCAAATTGACGCTTCAAGAGCTGAATAGCTTTGAACGAAAATTAACAATCCCTGAAAAAACAGTTCTTTTTGCCTCAGGAGTGAGAAATCATCAAGAATTTGAAGACCTTGCAAATCAATACTTTGGAGACCTCCAATCTACATCTCCCTACAATAGAGTTCCAAGCCCATATATAGGTGGCGAGCATAGAGAAATTTGTGCGACTGAAATCACTTATATGAGTCTTTCCTTCAAAGGAGCCTCCTGGACTGACAAAGATATGATCGCCTTACAGATCCTAAAAACAGCCATAGGAGAAGCAGGGATTTTTAAGTCAGGCTTAAATTTAGGTAAAGGACTGCTCACACACTCCTATACTTCTTTTATGGACAAAGGCAAATATTTATTAGGAGTCCGCTGCATTAATATGAATTTCAGTGATACAGGGATATTTGGGATTATGCTTGCTGGGGTTAATTCCCACACTTTTAACATGTCAAATGATATCATATCAGAATTTCAAAATTTGCCAAATATTTCAGATGAAGAAATTTCCCGAGCCAAAAATTTACTAAAAACACAGATTTTATTCCTAAAAGAGCAAACTGGGAAAAGGCTGGAAGATACTGCCAAAATGTATCTTGTGCTTGGAAAAACACCTGATGAGCTGGATTGGATGAAAATGATTGATAATGTTACAACTGATCAAATAAGAGAAGCTGCCAGAAGGGTCACTAAGTCAAAGCCTACGTTAATTGTACTAGGAACGCCTTCACAAGTGATCCCAAAAATTGAAGAAATAGCTGAGAGGGTTTCTTAATAAGTTAATTAATATGAGAAGACACAAACTTAACCTAAAAACTTCTTTTCTTACTCCCCCCCCCCCCTCCGTGAGCGAACAAAAAAATTTTGTTCGCTCACGGAGGGGGGTTAATTTTTTTTTTTAAAAAAAAATTTATATATAAATTTTCTAAAAAATATTTTTTTCGAAATTTAAAAAAATCCTAATTTGCAAAAATTGGGAAGCAAATATTAATTTAATTTGCAAAATTTATGTTTTTAAAACGCAATTTGTTTAAAATTAAACAGAATTAGCTCTAGATTTCATTATACTAATTATCACTTATATATCAAAATTTTTTTCCATTAAAATTTTTTTTCTATTAAAAAAATTTTTGTTCACTCACGGAGGGTGGGTTTTTGGTCAAAAAATGGCGATTTTTCTAATGGTTTTTGTTCGCTCACGGAGGGGGGGGGGGGAGTTAAGAAAAATTCGAGTAAAGCTATACAACTGAAGCAGTCTGTGAGCAGGCAAGCAATACAAGAAAAGTGTATGAATGAGTTAATTGGCATGGTCATGACCAAAAGCAATTCAAACCAAAAATTTAAAAAACCTGAAAATTCTTTGACAAGCACAAAGTGTCTGCAGAACACATCACCTATAAAAGCCCCGTCGCTTGGCTTAGGCTTTCCTTTAGTACTAAAAGAAGAAATACCTCCACTAACGAAAATTTATCCCCAAAAAATAACCCCAAAACTGCTTAATATAAAGCCTGTCCAGAAATTCCACACCCATTATATATCAGGAGAAAACTTGCCTCCAGCACAGCGGTCACAGTCTTGCACCCCAGGTATGAGAAGAAAACTTACTGAGTCCCGGCTCAATTTACGAGGAATTGATTCTGCATGCTGTGCTGTACAATGTGACTCAAAAAGCTTAATCCCATTGCAGAAAATGAGCAAGCTGATTAGTGCTGTAAGATTATTTTAAATGATTTTTTTATATAAAATAATTAAAAAAAATTAATTCTTTTCAAAAGGAATGAAAGTTAAGGAAAACAGAAAGAGAAGCAAGCAAGGAAAATTCTTGCGACTTTGACAACGACAAAGAAAGAAGCCCTCCAGCAATAATAAGACGCTCTGTATATACAAAAATAAAAAAATTGGAAAATGATGCAAATGATATGAAATTCAGGATTTCTCATTGCGAACTTATGGTTCCAAGCACCCATGGATCGTCCCCTATAGATCAAAATGATTCAATTTCTAGGATAAGAGGATTTTCTCCATCAAGAATAAAAAAACTAGAATGGAATTGGTCGAAAAGCAACTTAACAAGGTCAAAATCTCCTAAATGTGAGAGAAGGTCGAAATCACCTAGCTGTGCGCACACTGGGGTTGTAATAACACCGATATCTAGCTCAATTAATATAACTCCCAGGACCCTTAAGAGATATTATTGTTAAACTATTAGATCTTAAGGTACTTTCTAATATCTAAATTCATATTTTTTGTTGTGTCTTCTTTGCTGAGAATAATTACATTATTCACTTTTTTTAATAAATGCTGCCTGTGTAGGTGAAAATCTCCTCTGATAATGTTTGAATAATATAAAAGGATTGGGCTTGTGATAGGAATAACAGCTGAGTTTATGCTTGGAATGTAAAAAGGTGCCCAGGTCCCGTCTATGTATTCTCCAGCTTTTATTTCGAGGTTTGCTTTATTAAATGATGAGATAATGTGATCAATAAGTGGCTGATCAATGCCAAAACACTTAAAATAATCAAAATCGTGTCAGAATTTCTTGACTTTTTCTTCATAAATATTGATACTTTTGAAATCTGGATCCAGTTGGAAGTGGTCTGCAAGTAAAAAGTGCTTAAAAGTAGGCTGTTCACAATCAAAATACTTAGCCCCTCCTTTAAATTATAACAAAACATAGATCATTAAATAATAAAAAAAAAATTTTTGCCTGCAAAATTAATACTTTTCAAGCATGAAGAGATAAGAGCCATTTTAGTAAAGCATGCCTGGATTTATTTTGCCTAGCTCCATCCAATCATTAGAAAATATTTTTAAAATTATTAAAAAACAATTATATAAAACTATATTGAACTAGCTCAAAAAGGAATTTTTTATTATAATCTGAATATCTCTAAATAGTGAGAAGTCTAGTCTAAGATACACAAGATGTTCATTAGAGCGGCTACATTTTCCATAAAGACTCATGAGCTATAAATTTTAAAAAAAATTAGTTTTGACCTAATTTAATACAAAAAGTGTAAGGGACCCTTTTCACAATCAATTAAAAATAATATTTTTAAAATTTCAAAAATTTTTATACAGAAAATTTAATAAATTTTTTTTTAAAAAAAATCCTCCTTTAAATGGAACAAATTTTTGTTTCAATTTAAAGTGGGGGAGTTACTATTCTCGATATGTTTCATTATAAGTGATTTATTTTCTCTAAAAGCAACAAGCCCATATATTCAATTAGTATATTCTCTATCGCTTTCAAAAACAAGTGCTTTGCTTTCCACGAAATTTATCATATTTTGAGTGACTTCACGTGCCCAGTTTTCCTGCTCAAATCTTAAATCTGCTAAACATGAGAGAGTTCCTGACAAATAAGCTAAAAATATATTATCCGCAGAAATGGCAGCTCAGCTGAAGACTAGGCAGTGCAGGCTGCACAAGTCTCTGAATAATTAAAAGTTGGCAGAGAGGTAGGTTGTATAAGGCAAGATGGAAGCAGGTCTGCATCTCATCGGCTAAAAGGAGGAGATGCAAGTTAATCAGATGTTCTTACGAAGACAAATGGGCCAGAAATGTGAAGATAGCCGTCTTGTCATTACTAATGTCGGGAATAGCAGCTTTAAGACCTAGCGTGATAAGCTTTTGGCTCCACCATAAAATGGCTTTTTAACCTCTAAATAAATTCTTTCATTCCTGACAAATAAGCAGAGCTAAAGTCATTCTGCTTATTGCAAACAGATTGCACAGCTTCTCTAGCATCAAGCCCTATATCTCTGATTTTTTCAATAAGTTTTTCTCTTGATCTTTCAGGGTTCATATATTTTGAAATATTTTGATTTTTTCATAAAATATACCCATAATCAATATCCAAGGACAAATGCTTACCTGCGAAGCTAATTAATTCAGTAAGTTCATTGAATGTCAGATACCCAATAGCTTTTAAAACAAATTCTTTTGTTAATGATGCTAAAACATTTCATAGCTCTATATGATCATTTTTGTTTGTTTCTGAAAAAGAGTTAGCTTCCCTCTATGAGTGAACAAAAAAATTTTATTAATTACGGGTTAATTTATTTTAAATAAAAAATTTATATAGTAAATTTTTTTTTTAAAATTTAAAAAAATCCCAATTCGCAAAATTGGTTAATTTAATTTGTAAATTTATGTTTTAAAATGCAAGCTGTTTAAAATTAAACATAATTAGCAAGAGATTTCATTATACTTATCTATCAAAGTATTTTTTTATATTAAAAAAATTTTTTGCTCACTCACAGAAGGTTTTTTTTTTCCCAAAAAATAGGGATTTTTCAAATGGTTTTGTTTGCTCACGGAGAGGGAGCAAGAATCTGAAGTAGCTTAAAAAGAGACTCTGTATGTAATTTTGGTATATAATCTTTTAAAAAGTTTATAATAAAACTCTCTATTATCTCATTTTTCGAATAACTTAAATATAGCGCTTTCCCGAGGATGGCGCGGAATGGCGCCATCCTCGGGAAAGTCAACTAAGCATCCACACGGGAACTGGGAGTTCCACGTGTGGATGCCATTTTTGACATGTGGGATCCAAACTTTCACATGTCAAAATGGCATCCACACGTGGAACTCCCAGTTCCCGTGTGGATGCCTTCCTGGCTTTCCCGAGGATGGCGCCATTCCACGCCATCCTCGGGAAAGCGCTATACCTTTTTATTGTCGTGGTCAGCAAGTTTACTCCCATATTTTGGTTGAAAACTTTATTTAGCGCCACTTTACTAATTTCCACATCAGAGCATTTTAAAGAAATAATAAGCAGCATCCAAATGTTATTTTCTCTATTAAAAGCATTATTCGAAAAGACCCTATCAGCCACTTCTGTCTCCAGCATCCCCAATCTTGCTGCTAAATATAAAACTTTTAAATTTCCCTTATCAAATAAAAAATCAACTGGCAAGTCTTTGATTAATTTATAAGACCCTGATATTAAATCAGATATAAGGCTCAGTTCCCCTTTCATATTATTTAAATGATAAAAAAAATCATTTTTTGTGTATATGCTTTTTTCATTTAAAAAATCATAAGGATCTAATTTGTTTAAAATCCGAAGGAAGTCATTTCATATTGCATTGTCTGAAATTTCAGTAATTTTTTTCATAGCTATTCCGATTCATATTGGAGAAAGCTTCTTTTCATAATTGGATAATAAATAATTTATTGCCTCAAAAGGACCTCCAAAATGTTTTATTGCTTCTGCAACTCCTTGTATAGAAAAAATATTGCTATTTTCAGTAAGAAAGAGTCGTCAGGCTACAGGATCTGCTTCATAAAACTTCATAAAGTAGTTCAAGTTTCAGACGCTTTTTTCAGCTTTTTCTTTATTTGCTAAACCTTTATAAATTATAGGCTGTATTGGCTTTAAAGCTCTCATAAGTTCTGTGCTATATTCTCTATGAGACATCCACTCACATAAGGTAATTACATTATGATCGTCCTGTAGAAGCCAATTATTAAGGCTGCTAATAATAATACTGCTTATTCTATCCAACCCATGGGCTTTATAGTCCTTTGTAAGAACTATGCAATTTAAAATCCCTATTTTGTCAATCCCTGAAATATTCTCAATTTTCGAATAATCATTTTTCATAAACTTTTCTCTTGGAATAAAATTTAGTAGAGGCAAAAGCTTTCCTTTAATATTGATGTTTATTAATGAAGCCTGTCTGAATGCTTCAAAGCTTGGTATATATGTGAACTTATACCTGTTTATTTGGCTTGATAGCAATTTTGCAGTTTCTAAGTCAATATTCGGCTTCACAAAATCAAGAATTTTCCGAATATTTACCTCATTTATAGAGTCGCTGAACATTTTTGAATTAATTGTTTTCATGCAATTCAAAATTATTTTGTCGATAATTAAAACAGTCTTTGTGTCTTCTTTTAATAAATTAGCTATTTCAATCGCAAATTCCAATGTCTGGCCACTTTCTAGCATTTTATCAATTCTTTCTAAAGCACGCAGCCATAGATTTTTATCAAAAGCTCTATGAGTTTTATAAAATTTGAGAATTGATATCAAGCCATTTTCTTTCCACCTTGGTAAGGTATTTTCAACTATTTTTAAAAACATTTTGATTTGGTTTCGGTATTTTCGATTATCAAGTTCACATACCAAGCTCTCCATTATTTTCGATAAATAGTGTGCATCAAGTTCTTCTGTTTGACTGAGACTGAATATTCTTTTCATACATATACTAAACAAGTCAGTGCTCCTAGAGTACATATATTTCCCATTGGCAACAAAAATTTGTGAAATTTCTTCGAGGCTGAGCTCTTCAGGGTTATAAGTTATATAAGCGACCTCGTCTTCTAGCTCTTGTATATAGTAGCCTTGGGCAGGCAAGTGCTCATATATTGACATAATCTGTTTTCTATCCAGAGATTTGTTTACCAGCAGCTGAGTAATACGGGAGATCAGCAATTGCTTTTTTTCGATAGATAAAAACCGCTTTTTGAATAAGTGTGAGTTTGCCAGCCATTCACAGAAATCGACGATTCCATTAGAATCGAGCTTGCTGATGCTATTTTCAGCCTTTTCTATGATTTGGTATAGTTTGACCTTGGTTTCATTTGATTCGAATTGCCCTTTTTGTGATTTATTAACTGCAAGTTTGAGTGTATAAGCAAGCTGGCAAGCAGAGATTTTTGAGATGTCCATGTCGTTTAGGAAGGATTCTAGATCTTTTGACCTTGAAAGCTTCATATCAATAACGGCTCTTTCAATACCGCTCTTAGGTGTTAAGGCTGAAAATAAGCGAGTGTTCTGGATAAGCAATCGCAGTCTCAACATTGAAGGTTGGTTTATTGATAAATTTTAATTGCATTATTGTGATATTTAATGTTATTTTTATATGTAAAACAGTGAAATAATTAGCTCTTCTAACGAATTGTGATTTTATTTGCCTTCTATTAGGCTATCCCATAAAATTTATTATTAAATACACCTTTTTTAAAAAATTAAACGCGAAATATAAAGGTTTTTGACTAATTTTTAAGCAAAAGTTATCAATCGCAAGCATTTTTAAATGGTGAAGTAAGGATTTCTAATAAAGCGCATTTAACTTATTAATTATTATCTTCGACATCATTCGCAATTTTATGTCTTTTCACAAACTCCTTGATTCTATCCATAGAATCCTCCAAAACCTCAATTGGGTTACAAATCACAATCCTAAACCCACTTTCACTTGAAAAGCATTCAGCAGGCAGCAGCATTAATCCTTCTTCAGCTGCCAGTTTTTCCGCGAAAACTTCTGAATTCGGTATATCTCGAAAAGCATTTGTATCAATCAGAATCATCGAATAAATCGAGCCTTCTGTCGGAATGACTGTAAGTTCAGGGATCCCTGAAAGTTTCTGGTAAACAATATCAGCCCTTTGCTTTAGTTTTTGAGACACCTCTGCTGAGTAGCCTTCTGGCATGCTTGTAAGGATCTGTGGGATCGCATTGACCATAAAATGTGGAGCATGAGCCACAAGGCTCTTAAAATTTTCAATGCCTCGCCTTAATTCACCACACCGCTTATATTTATCATATATTTTTATCCAGCCACATCTCCAGCCTGGGACAAGACAAAGCTTGCTCATCGTCCCTATTGCAAAAACTGGAACTTCATCAGTCAAAGATCCCATAGGGATAAATGGCTTTTCAAATGTCAGGTACTCGTAGACCTCGTCAGCCAATATACAAATGCGGTGTCTCTTTGCCCAGTCTAAAATTTGCAGCAAGTGGTCTCTTGAAAACACGCTTCCGCAGGGATTTGAAGGGTTTATGACTACAAGAAGCTTGGTGCGATCGTCTACAAGTGCGTCTAGGTCATTAAAATCGATTTCCCAGTTTTCCTGAGGCTTTAATTTATAATGTTTTACCTCACATCCTCGATTCTGGCACATACTTTCGTATAGAGGGTATCCTGGAGATGGGGCAAGGATATTGTCTCCAGGGTTTAGAAGGGATTGAACAATTGTAAAAATAGCGCCTGAGCCACCGAAGTCAAAAATAATGTCTTCAAAGGTCAATTTTATATTGTCATAACTGTATTTTTGAGCCATGAATTCTCTTGCTTCTTTTGAGCCGTGCTGATGGGAATAGCAGTTGCCTTTGCCAGATCTTAAATGGTCACAGACGGCTTCCACAAAAGCAGGGTGGACTTGAAAGTCAGAGCACTTGGATGGGTCTCCAGCGACTAAAGATAGCACTGGCTTGTGGAACTGGGCTGGAGGGATTATTTTGTTGAATACAGTGTAGATTGGATTGTGTGAGTTCATTGCACTATCTGATGCTCCAATAGTTCAGTCCTCCATTTTATTAGTAAAATAAATTACTCACTAATAAATGTGACTCATATTTTGACAGGGATTTTATTTTTTTATTAAGTTTTTAAGATAATTTATGCAGATTTTTTATAATTACGCATTATTATAAGAATTTTTTCAATTGAAAATGTTAATTATTCAATACCAAAGCCAAGGGCATGGTTTTTTATTACATATACAAGGCCTTTTTCCAAGATTTCTTTACTGGGATATATAGGTAAATCAAGCCTATTAAAACAAGTATGAGCACGTGGAAAAATGCTGTTTTTATCATAATGTATCGGTTCAATAGTAAACCGAGCAGGCTCTCCTCTTGACGTCCTGAGTGAGGCGAATCCATCAATTGACAGTCTTGGAGACCCAGTCACAAATAAAAGTAAATTGGAGACTTGCTCTTGGGCTAAGGACTCCACGACTTCTCAGAATCAGCCTACAACTTTATGTGACCTTGAAAACTCTCCTCTATAGTCAGTATGGTCTTTCCAGTCCTGAATATCAATAACCGGAAGCCCACACAATGCAAGCTCCAGCTCTTGTGACGTAAAAAAAGAGACCAGTGGCTGAGGGATGACTGCATAAAACCCTTGAAGCAAAAAATCAATCCCAGGCTTCATGATTTCTGTGGTCTCAAACTTGGCCCTTAATTCTATATATTCCTCTTTATTTTCATCAGTGACCTTTATTTGGTCACCGTTTTCTTTCAATAGATACTTATAAACCTGCCCATTCTGATGCTTTTCTACTTGAAAAGTTTCAAAGAAAACTGTCTCAATCGGGTTTTCCTTCATGAATTTTAAAGCGCTGTAAAGCTAAATGGCTCTTACGTCGTTATCCAAAAAATTTAAATCTTCTAGATTTATTTCATCCCCTGTAATATGCTTAAAAATGACTCCAGATAATGGGCATGTGATTGATACCTGCTCAAATAGGGCTTTTCCCATGACTCTGCCCATGAAAACATACTCGTTTTCTTTGCTCCCATCAATTCCTAATGGGAATGTATAATTTACAATTTTTGCATTAGACAGCACAAAAAGCTCTTTTTCTTTAGAAAAAAGTGCCTTTGTTATCAATGTGAACCATTCTCTGAGTACTCCGCCTGCATCCATGCCCCGCTCTCCGCTGAAGCTGACGTTGAATTCTTTATGCATATCTTGAGGAGTAAATGTCAAAATGGGGAAATCCTATTTTATAGCAGTCAAAGCCAAATTTTTACGGATTTTGTATTGAGTCAATACCTTTAAAATTTGTTTAATGAAAAAAATCTCTATTTTTGTAAAATTTTTTAATTACTGACCAAAGCTGGCTCTAGCTCGACCTGGCAGTCTGACTATTAAAAAGTGCAAGCACCAGTCAAAATGTGATTCATTGAGGTCTCCATGAACTCATCCCTTAATATTTCTAACTTCATGCTTTCAGATTGTCAGGGAATTCGAATTTTGGTTAATTCGTCTTTAAGTCATTGGATTTTTACATTATAAGGAGACTCTCTAGTTAGGTTTTTTAGCGTGTGTCGTGGGTGTGACCTGGCTGTCCTGCCGTGGCTTATGCAGATCAACAAATGTTCAGTGAAATTTCTGATGGTTGTGTTATCTCTGAATTCTTCTAGACAGTAAGGGCATAGCAAAAATGAAGAGAGCTCGTTTAGGTTTTGCCTTGAAACAGGAGATCTTGCAAGCGCTGTCTCTATAGGGACCCTAGGCAGGTGAACTTGAGCGGTTTGAGCTTTAGTGACGCAGCAGCCCATTTAAAAATTAACCATTTTTCAGTATCGAAAAGAATATACAGATTAATAGCATTTTTGGTGAACCAGCCCAGGGCCGATTTCATTGTATTCTTCTTTTATCATCCAAAGGTGTTGAAAACTTGACAAAGAGCTCATCACGCAGCCTCCAAGCCAAGGCGAAAAAATCCTTTCAGGCTGAGCAGTTATCTCTATTGACTGATTAACTTTTCTACCCAAATCTGCATTAAGTCTATCTTTAATTCCTCCAAACATCGTGTTCCCTCCTGCAAGGACTATATTATTGAACATCATTCTCCTGACATCTTCTTCACAAGCCATTATTGACTTATAGACAGCTTCATTAAATCCGTCACATTTCATATTAATTATTTCAGGCCTAAATAAAATTTCTGGGGCGTTTAGCCTTTCACTGCCTAAGGTAAAAGCTGAGCCATCAGGTAGCTCATAAGAGACTTCGTCTTCGTAACTATAAAATTCATTATAAGGGTTTGCAGATATAAAACATAGCTTTTCTTTGATTTCTTGAATTATACTTCGGTTCAGTGAGCTTGATTTTTTTGATATAAGGCTTTCAAGGTGGCTGGTCACCTCTCTTCCGCCATAGTTAAGGACCTGAACTGACTGAGGGATCACGTATCCTTCATATATAGAAGAAACATGAGTCATCTCATACCCAGAATCAACCACAGAGCCAGTAGCATTCCCTGAGGCATATAAAGCAAGAACTGATGGGTTCGAAATATAAAGGGCCGGGACATTGTAAAGCTCAAACATAACTTGGGTCATCTTCTCACGGTATGCTTTTGGCGTCGAAATAGCTTCTGTCATTATAAAAGGGTGGGTTTCGGTCGCCACTTTTAGCTCATTATAGAACAAGTGGCTCCAAATCAGCTCGATTTCATGAGAAAAATAGACCTGTCTTTCCATTATTGGGTACTGTATCGTGGAATATGTATTGGAATCCCCTTTATTTTTCACAGTTACAGTCTTACTTTCTTTAAAAAGTACCGAAGCTTGAGGAGTAGGGGTGCATTTCATTACGACATTAGGTCTCGGAAGGCTTGTGAAGCCAGCTTTGATAGAATATGACCCAGTGTCAACGACGATCGCCTGTGAACTTTCATCCATTTTTTGTCTAGCATCTATAAAGAATTCCTATCATAAATATGTCTGAAATCGAATGTTCAGGTGAGATGAAATTCGACATGTCTAAGTCAGAAATCTTACTAGAAACCCTAACAAATCTATTAAAAAAAACCCATGAATATTTTATTGACACCACAACTACACTGATGCACCATGATTTAGCCCACGATATCCCAGCTTCTAAAGTAAAAGTTACCTTGCAAAATGGAAAATAGTGAGATTTACTTCAGCGCTTGCAAACAAGTAGGTAGAATCCAAAGGAAACAAGAAAGCCAAGAGTCAACTATCACTGCAGAAGCCATTTGTGCGACGGAGACTTTGGACGATCCTTCTGTTATGCTTGAAATGATGGGGTATAAGACGATCTCAAGCGTAACAAAAACAGGAAGCTTGTGAATAACAGAGTCAGGGACAAAGGTATTTTTGTACTCAAATCAGCAATTTTCATTTGTGTGTATTATTTGTGTTTGCTTGTCTAGTGATATAGATGAAGCATTTGGAAACATCAGAGAGCTTTTTCAACAAATATCTCAAAAGGTAAATAATTAATAATTTAAGCAAGAAGAAAAGCCTGATATATAATTTATATATTAAATGATCGAAAATATTATTTTTATAACTCCCCTCCGTGAGCGAACAACATCCTATTTTTTGCCCAAAAAACTACCCTCCGTGAGCGAACGAACAAAATTTTTTATGAAAAAAAATAATTTGATATATATATAAATAATAATTAGTATAATGAAATTTATACCTAATTCTGTTTAATTTTGAACAAATTGCGTTTTAAAACATAAAATTTTACAAATTAATATTTGCTTTCCGATTTTATTAATTAAGATTTTTTAAAATTTTGAAAAAAAAATTTTCTATTAAATTTATATTTTAAAAAAACAAAAATTAACCCCCCTCCGTGAGCGAACAAGATTTTTTTGTTCGCTCACGGAGGGGGGGAATGATTATTTAATGGAAAAAAGCCAATTTTTAAACAAAATTATTCCTTTGTCAACAATTTCTTGGTTCGGCAGTTTTAAGAAGAGCGAATAATTACTTTTTTATCATAACGTTATAATGGCACAAAAAACACACTACTATTCCTTCGTAAGGCGGCAGCTTGAAAAAGCCCAGGTTAAAAAGCCGCACACGAATGTTTCACAACGACCTGCTTTTGAGTCAAGTCCTTTAGGATATACCTTACGAAGCAAGTCAAAGTTTAGCGAATCCGAATATCAGGAGAAAGAATTCGAGCGAGGACGATCATACACTCCTCCAATGCTTGATTCTAGGCCACTTCCTTCGCCTGATTTAAACGTAGAAAAGCAGCTACACTTCGAGACTCAAAGCAGTTTTCACGATTTCAGTAACGACAAGGGATCATCCTTGCATGAGCAGATTCTCAGTCATTTGTCGTCTTTACAGTCTTTGAAAAATCTAATTGATTTGTTATACCAAACGGTTGCTTCGTGTGTTCCTGGGAGAACAGAGAAAGTGGAAGGACAGTGCAGTTATTGTGGATGCTGCTGTGGGAAAGCTGAAATTGATGCAAAATCTGAAGAGGATTATTTAAGACAGGGATTAGATATGATATAACGCAGATCATCAAATGGGAGGTCTATTTTGCAGTAGACTATTCCATCAAAGGTGTATGCCTCCTCCCCATTTAAATTGGAAAAAAAAACCTATGTTCCAATAGTTTTTTTAAAAAAATATATAGAATTTTTACTATTTTATTCCTATTTAAAAGGGTTAAGGCTTTAGTCTTGGCTGGCTTATGGATTTCTGCGACTCTATGCAATGAGCGATTAGGAGTAGTTTAATTTAGAATTAGCCTATGAATACCAAAATGTATTTTCATTGGTAGATACTATTCCCCTATGCTCAGGCCGAAACCAGTTTTTTAGTAGTAGAGGACACCCAAGGGTCCAAAGGGCATGCTGGCACATCCATTACAGTCCCCGGAAAGCAGTCAAAATCTACCTGGATTCACACTTGCTGAGGCTGTATTTATTTCCCAGCTTCGAGTCTTCCCAACTACTCTGCCAAGAAGGCAGGCTGACCGTGGCCATTTTAATGCACATCTGCAAAATCTGAGGAGGCCTGCAAGCTTATAAGGCTAGAATTTACAAATTTAGACTTAAAAAAGTGCTCCAAGTGTCAGCTGCTTTCACTTTTTCCTAATAACTCTTCACAGACAGCCTGCGAAATTTGTCTGCAGTCAAAGACAGCTCCAAAGCTGCTTAGCGATGGGCTTGGAATCACTATGAAAATTTCTCAAGAAAGCTCTGACGTTGCCGTGAGACCTAGAAGCCCTTCTCTTCAAAGCAATAAACCTCTCTCAGGAAACTTAGAACTAAAAATCGCAGGAAAATCAATAAAAATTGATATAGGTAGACAAGCGAACTATATACAAGTAATTTGCCCTCTCAGCCAGTCTAAGCGAAGGTCTTTATCTGGACATCAGCCAACGTCCCAGCAGCAAAACAACCCTAACCACTCCAAAGGAGGCAGCATCACTATTTTTGACAAGCCTTTTTCTCAAACAGAAACCCTCAAAGGCATCAGTTCTTTGCTTTCTTCTCAAACTCACCGATCCAGCTCATCCTCAAACCTATCCTCCCAAGGTCTAACAACTTGGGACGAAATCCAGCAAATCCTCAAAGAGCAGCTTAACACCTGTGAGTTTTCTACAGACCCCAAGCAGACCTGCCAGCAATATTTTTCAAAATATTTACCTATAGTCATCCTTTTGCTATCAGAAATTAAAGGCACTTTTCCGCTCCAGTCTAAGACCATTGAAGCCACATTTGAAGGGGTTCTGGCTCTATGTGACTTTATTTTAAAAGCCCAAAAGGATTCAGAAAAAAAAATGGACAGCTTAAACCAGCAGGCTCAATTAAGACTGGAAGAAAATATCATGTTAAAAGGCAAGCTTATGCAGTTACAGAATACCTTTAGAGAGCACGAGCTCAAAAGTGAAGAAAAAATCGAACAAATGAACGCTTTGGTCAAAAAATATGAAAACCTGCTAGATATGTATAGAAAAGAGCTCGCCACTCATAATAAATTGAGCGTAATTAAGGAAGAGCTTCAGGAGTAATTAATGTTTAATTAGTAAATTATGTGAATTGATATAGAGACACGATAAGTCCGAAGGTAAAATACAAGGAAAGGAGCAGCTTTGCGTGCAGTTTTGTGATTAGGCCTCTGAAGAAACTTCCGAATAGGAGAGAAGTTAGGATAGAGGCGATTAAGCAGCAGCCTGAGATTGCGACCACTGCGTGGTCGTACATGCTAAAGGAGATTGGTCCTGCGCTGCTGCTGATAATGAGAGCTATGCCAAATCCTACTAAGGTGTTGAAGAGAGGACCTGCAAAGCAAGCAGTCATGGCTGTTTGGTTAAGACCAAGCTTGGCTATTGCAGGATTCGCATAAAAGTCCCCAGCAGAGTTACCCCAAGCAAGCATAGTCATACCTAACTCCCCTTAGCGAAAAAAAAAATAATTATTAAATAAAGTTTTTTTTAAAAAAATTAACCCCCTCAGGGGAGTAAGAATTCAGCTGGAATCCCACTCAGCAGTCCAGCTAAGCTCAATAAATCAACCATATATAGTATCCCCACTCTTATGGACTCCATTCTCAATGCCTCCCTAGGAGATCCAAGGCTTGATAAATTAACCTTAAATTGACAAATCTATAGATTTGTGAATTTGAGGGTTGGTTTCACAAAAATTAAGTTTTCAAATTAAACCCAAGGATATTGAGGTATCAAGACTATAGGAGTCCATAGTGTGCCAACACAATACCCACAAATAGTGCAAATCCACAAAATTGACATTAAAAATGCCACAATTGTCAAAACACCATTATAATTCGGCGGAATTGACACTTTACTCGTACACCAGACCCATACACACAAAAAGACCCCAATTATAAGCGAAGGAATCCAAACATGCACCCCAAATACTGTCTCAGTGATTCCTGCTTAATAATTACATTCTTGAGTCGTCAAAACAAAAAATATCGAAGCAAGAGGCATCATAACTGCATAAGACCTATTCCAGTTCTCTTCTATATAATAAGGAATCGTTAGCTTCTGTAGAAATTGTATAGGGAATATAATAATATATCGTGCTTTTTCAAAAAACGTCATTGAGGAAAACTCTGTCTGTTCTTTTTGCAAAAAATAGCGGAATTTGATTAAGCTCCATTGCAAGTTGGACACTATAGAATGGGGAGGTCTCCCGTGGACCTGTGTGATTTGGATCTGAGGAATCGTGCTTGCTATATAGTCCTCAATGATTTCGCAGGACTCAATTCGGTTGCTTTCTAAAACAGGCAGCTCTAATGAGTCAAACGCTGATAAAGCTTTTTTTTCTTTTTCTGTATAAATCACTATACAAACATAAACTGTGTAAAGCAAAGGGAATAAACATGCTTGAAAAAGTGAGATTTCGCCTATAAGCCCATATATCAGGATTGTAGACACAGTCAATAACAGAAATCCAGCATCTCGAAATAGCTTAGAAAGCACAATGTGGGATTCCCCGCCTTCTATGACTACAAAATAAAGCACCACAGAGTTCACGAAAAGTGCGCCTCCAAACAGAGCACCCAATGCAAGGAAAATCTTCAGCTTTTGTGCTGCGAGAATTGATGAAAATACATCAGGTGCTCCATTGCCAAAGGCCAAAAGAGTGATTCCTGCAAGCGTTGGGGACAGTTTTAGCTTGCTGGCGATATAGGAGAGGGATGGAGAAAAGTATTGGTCAGCTATTGTTCCTAATGTAGTAATAAATAGTCAAAATAGTATGAGCTAGGTAGGCTTTACCATTAAAATAAGCGAAAAAGGGTTTCCATTGAGACTGCAGAAATAAAATTGGAAAATCCAGCTGCAGTTGTCGATTGTGTAGCCACAGTGGTCTTTTGCATTATAGACATCTTCGCATTCTGCCATTTTAAATGAAATTACTACAGCTTTGGCTGTCTAGTTCTGATGCAGGTTAGAGACAAAGGTATTATATTCATAAAATAAAGAATAGCTTTGAAAATGCCAGCATGCTAAAATATTTATATTATAAGACTTCTTTTATCATCTGAAATTATTTTATTTTATCTATATTATTCTAATGAATTTAGGCAGAGACAACTTAATAGGCCAACAGATTACTTTTGACTCTGGGCCACTAGAAATCCTCTCTATCCTTCACAAGACCTCGGGCTCTAACATTCTCCTTGGAAAAGATCTTCAGAACAACCAATTCGTCATCAAGCACATCCCATTCTACATGTCCCACTTCCAAGAAATGTACTACCGCGAGTTCACCAACCTCTGCATCGTTGGAAACCACCCTAATATCCTCAATCTGCTTGAAAAAACCATCGCTCAAGGCAGCACACAGTACGGCGCCATCAAATTTGAGTATTGTCAGAAAGGAAACTTATATGACCTTATGCAAAACCATGACCTAAACGAAGACCAGATTCTTTTTATACTAAAAGACTTATTGTCAGCCATTATAAAGCTGCAGGACAGCGGAATTGTGCATAGAGACATAAATCCTAGCAATATTTTGGTTACTGATAGCTATGGTTTCAAACTTGGAGACTTCGGAAGCTCGCTTAGACTAGAAGAAGCAAAAGCATCGCCAGGGCCTGTGGTATTGGGGAATGTAGAAAAATACACCCATCCTGTGTATAGACCTCCTGATTTTGGCACTGATTTTGATTTGGGGAAAATTGACGTCTGGGGAGTAGGGTGTACTCTTTATTTTATGATTTTCAGAGAAATGCCTTTTTCCACTGAAGAAACACTAAAAAGAGAAGTTTCTTTATCAGTGCAGCTACAAGAGATCTTAAACTTGTGCCTAGAGCCAAACCCTGCTGAAAGACCAGCACCTAGAGCAGTCCTCAGCAGACTCACAAATTGAAAAATCCCATCTGGCTTAGATCTATCAAGCCCAAGCCCTGAAAAAATCGAATTTAAAAAACTGAGAAGCTCTATCAGTTTCTGCTTAAATAAGTCTTTAGAAGTCAGCGATAAGTGCCCTGACCTTTATTATTTGCATCATGTCCTTTTAAGTGCTTGGAATAAGCCTGAAACAGTAATGAAATTTTATAGCCAGCTAAAAGACACCAATAAATCCTTGACTGTGACCTCAGTAAAACTTTTGATACTTCTCCATAGGTATTTGATTTCAGGACCTAGTGAAGTCCTTACTATTGAGCCTGGGCCAAAGGCAATTTTAGAATCATTACTTTTACTTTGGACAAATAAGGAAAAAGACCCTAGTGACCAGTATCACTGTGATTATTTTTGTGGGCTGGTTAGGCAGATGTGTAGAGTGCTGCTTGATAAACTGGAAATTCATCAGAAAACGTCGTCACTAGGCAACTGGAAAATGACGCTGCAGCCTCAACATTTGAGGGATACTATGGAATATTTGAGGAAAATTGTGAGAATATGTGATGGGCTGCTTATTGGGGTTAATAATTTAAGCCAGTTAATGAATTTTCTGATAATGCAACTTGTAGAAGAATGCCAGAGGCTATCGATGCTGATGGAGACAACTTTTAAGCCGATTGCAAGCCAATGTCCGAATGAGTACCGATACTTCACAGAACTTTCTGCAAAAATTTCAAATCTTGCCTCAACTCAGGCTGAAAAAAGCCTTCAGCCTGCACCGTCTGAGAATAAAGGAAAATTCTACTCACAGCAAGGAAAAATTTTGCTGACCCATAAAAGTCCTTCACCGTTGCATAGTCGAGGAGAAATTAAGCCTTAGTTAGTTACTAAGACTTATCGAGAAATTTGCTGTAATTATATAAGGACTATCTATGCCCCGGCAGTTAGGTAAGTCTCTTGGCCATACCGCCATTGAAAATTCAAAAGGACTTTTCTGTAGACTCTCAGTCAAAATGGAAATCCATAGACCCTGTACACCTTGTGCCTAATACAGGAATTAAAAGGTGGTAGCCACGTCATTTTAATATACCGGAGAAGTCAAGCCAGTAAAGCCAATGCATAATATCCGATACCAATCACCTATGAGAGACAACTTGCCTTCTCCTCAGCTAAAAGCTCCATCAGATGCCTTAAACGAACTTATGGGCTTTGACGTGAAGCCGAAACCTGAAGATTCCAACATGCCCCCTATGATGCCTACTCCAACCTGGCAGGCTCCCAACCAAAATAACATCGTTGAATCAAGGTGGCTCCTAACCCGTGACGACGTCCAACTCGGCAAAATTCTAGGTTCTGGTGCCAGCTGCACCGTCTACAAAGGAAAATACAAACGAACCCCAGTCGCTATCAAAATGATGCGAGACACCTTCATGGGCCAATCCCTAAAAAAAGAATTCGAGCGTGAAGTTACCGCAATGATGAGACTGAGACATCCAAATTTAGTAATGTTCATGGGAGCTTGTGCAGAGCCTCAAATGATCATAGTCTCTGAGTTCTGTGGAGGCGAAACTCTATTTAAGCTGCTTCACGAGAAGAAAAACATTATGTTGTCATGAAAACAAAAGCTTAAAATGATGAAAGACGTGGCCAGAGGAATGTTTTACCTTCATGACAATAACCCTCCTATTTTGCATAGAGACCTAAAAAGCTTGAATTTGTTGCTGCTAGACGAAGTCGCCTCTCCTAATGATAAAATCATGGTAAAAATAACAGACTTCGGGGTCGCAAGAGCAATGGACGAGAGCGGGAAAATGACGGGACAGATGGGGACTTGCCACTGGATGGCTCCAGAAGTGATCAATAATCAGCCATATACGCTTGCAGCTGATATATACTCGTTTGCAATTGTCATGTGGGAAATTGTAGTCAGAGAAACTCCTTATAGAGATATTAATCCGGTGACTATTCCTATGAGAGTTGTCAAAGGGGAAAGGCCGAACCTGAGCGTGATTCCTTCAACCTGTCCTGATATCGTCAAAGACATTATCAGAGCCTCCTGGGGGTTACTTCACACGACCCTATTTCATAACGACTATTTTTTTGGCCTATTTTTTTGGCCTATTTTTGTTTGCCTATTTTTTTTTTTGCCTATTCTTTTTGGCCTATTTGGCCTATTTTTTTTCACCTATTTTTTTTTGGCCTAATTTTTTTTTCCTATTCTTTTTGGCCTATTTTTTTTGCCCATTTTTTTTTTGCCTATTTTTTTTGCCCATTTTTTTTGCCTTTTTTTTGGCCTACTTGTTTTAGCCTATAATTTTTTCGACTATATTTTTTGCATAGGCTCATTCATGAAGCTGCTGAGAGAACTACAAACCTTATTGAGAAACGGAGACATTTCCTTACGCGATTAATTATGAGTAAATTAAGAGGAAAAAATCCAATTAAATCTAAAATTCTCGAAATTTAAAAAGCCATGAATAAGTATTCATCGAGTAAGAAATCTGTTAAGGGTGCATTTTTTGTTGGTTTAATCGTTTAAAATAAATAAAAAATTATATAAAAATAATTAGTATAGAATTAGGCCCAAATACTAGTAAAAAATTGCCAAAAAAAAGGCAAAAAAAATAGGCCAAAAAAATTTAGGCAAAAAAAAATAGGCAAAAAAAAATAGGCCAAAAAAATAGGCCAAAAAAATAGGGCCAAAAAAATAGGCCAAAAAAATAGGCCAAAAAAATAGGCCAAAAAAAAATAGGCCAAAAAAAAATAAGCCCAAAAAAAAAATAAGCCAAAAAAAATAGACCAAAAAAAATAAGCCAAAAAAAAAATAGGTTAAAAAAATAGTCGTTATGGAATAGTCGTCGTGTGAAGATACGCCTCCTGGGACCCAATTCCATCAAAGAGACCTACCTTTGCGCAGATTCTGGATGCTCTGGATTCCCTTGATCCAGATTTATAGATATTTAAGATTTCTTTTTAAACCTACTGGAAAATTAATGTAATTTCGCGAATTATAAATGGGAAACCAAATAGCAATTGACTTGGGGCCAGTCTATTTAGAAGCAAGTATTTTTATAGCGGCAGAGCCTGTTCCTGACTATACGACCTACTATATCTACTCTGCCAAGCACAACGGAACTTTTTATTTTGTTCGCCTTTTAAAAGCTGAAGTCGAAAGCTTCAAGTCTCACATTCTTTATTCAAAACTTACAAGAGATGATGTCCCAGTCCAAGTCACTGGGGTCAAATTTGACGATTTTCATCTCAGACTTGAGACGCTGTTTGATATCCAGGTCATTACTTCAGAAAAAACAAAATTCGCAGTAAAGGCATTGGATTTCTTTTGAAACAACAACAAAGAGTCACTTTATCAATACAAAAACACGCAGCTGCCACAATCTGACGGGAGCATTTGTACGTCTGGAGACTTTGTAAAAGAGGCTATTTGTGAAGAAGCTCTGTTCCCATGTTTGCTGGTTAATGTTAGGTCAGGGATCAGTATTTATAGAGTCAACTCTTTAGAAGATTTTCATAAAGTGGGTGGGTCGAGCTTTGGAGGATCCACATTTTGGGCTTTGTCGAAGCTGCTTTGTAACTATGAAACTCCAACAGATGCATTAGAGTCATCTAGAGATGGAAACAATGTATTAGTTGATATGACTGTAGGCGATATTTATGGAAGAGGCTATGACCAGATGGGTCTTCCTCACAACTTGATTGCCAGTTCTTGTGCAAAGTTACGAGAAAAACGAACAGACGAGACAGACCCAGCCAGCATTGCTAAGTCCTTGCTTATATTGTTTTGTTTCAATATGACACAGATCTCGTATATGCAGGCAGTTGTAGAAGGTATAGACAGAATTGCAGTCGTTGGAGACGCAATGCATACGACTTATGCCAATGAGCTGGCTCAGTATTGTATTGATTTTTGGAGTGCTAATAAGATAAAACTGATCCAATCTGATTATGGGGCTTATTTTGGGAGTTTTGGAGCTCTCCTGAGGCAATTAGACAGAGTTTAGATGACATTAAATATTAATCTCGTATTAAATAGATAAATACCTCATCTTCAAGCTTTCTTCGTGCTCTTTAGGAATCATTGGAATGATTTTGTCTTCTGTGCATTTTAGAACGATCACTTCTTCTTCGATTTCTACAAACCGGATAATATAAAATCCTAGTTCCCTGAATAGAAATAAAATGGTGATGCTGAAGAAAAAGGACTCCAAGGAGTATGAAGCTGAAATAGTCACTTTTTTGGGATTTGGGTTAAGTGATGCTTGCTATGAGGGAAGTTTTTGTTTCTCCCTGGAGGTTTTCTCTGTCCCTACAGGCTAGACAGGCTTGGTTTATCCCTTATTTTTTACTTATCGGTAATAAAGGGGAATCGGTGGCTCTAACTAGAGGGATAATCCTTAGGTGGGGTTATGCCAGATAGGCAGGCTAGTGGTATATCCGCTTAAAACCTTTTAACACTTTTCTTAGCTAGCTCCCTTATCAAAATCTGGCATTCTTCATCTTTAATGCAAGACTGCAGCACAAATTTTTCATTGACGATCGTTTTCAGAAATTCCGTGTCTTTGCAGTTCACTTTTCTTTTTGAGAATAATTTTGAAATATAAGGCAACGCATCTTGGACTGGCTTATATTTGCATATACTTCCTGAGCTCTTAAGGTTATGCTTGATAAAAGCTTTCACTCCTAGGCTTACTCCTTTTAAATTGCCACAAAATATACATAATTTTTTATAATAATAATTTATATATAAATCCCTTTGATACCCAATTAAAATCAAAGATTAACTTATAATTAATTCCATTTTAAATGAGGAATTTCTGCTATTTAGCCTAAATTACCGTTCTTTGAACCTATAAAAATTACTCCCTTTAAATTGACTAGAATTTATTTCCAGATCTAAGGAGTTACCACTTTTAGTGACTTTTTTTTGTCGCCTTCAATAAAATCTTTCACTTCTTTCGAAACGTAAAATATAGTGTTCATTTTAGATCCTGCCATTGTGTATAACTGCGAAGTAGGCTCTCCTTGGTACCCATAATACTCCTTTATGCTTTGATATTCACTGCTATCCTCGTCTAATTCTATAAAAACTTTATTTCCTCCTGTGTTCATTTCACTTGATTTCTGATCTTCAAAAGCTGGATTTGGACTTCTCGGTACGTGTATAGGCCCAATTTTGTGAAAGAGGGTCACAAAAAAGCCACCTGTATTCTGGTCATGAGGGAAAATCCTAGCACATTTTTGTAAATCTTCAGAAATCCCAACAGGGAACATAGAAGATTTGATTGATTTTATTGATTCAGGTACCTCAGACATAGAAGAATATTCAATAAGGCTGCCTTCTTCATTTGGCCAGACCACTTTTCAACTGCCAAGCCCAGGCCTTACGATAAATCCAGGACAAATTTCCCTTAATTTTCCATGCAAGTCTACGATTTCTATATCATTAGGATGCTGTCTGAGCATTTCTGAAACAACAGCTTCGTTTTCAATAGGATTTAAAGAACATGTAGAATAGCAAAAGAACCCTCCAGGCTTGCACAGTGAAAATCCTCTATTTAAAATCAAGGTCTGCAGCTTATGAAGCCCATAGGAGTCACTTATTTTCCAGCTCCTCCATTTATCAGGGCATTTTCGTATAGCTCCATCCCCAGAGCATGGGACGTCACACAAAACCCTATCAAACTGATACCGGCTTTGCTTTGGGCCAATTCCAGGATAATGCTGAGCAGGGTGATTTGTAACAACTAGACAATTTATATTAGTTCTGTGTAGCTGATGTACCAAAGTATTGGCTCTTTTGAAATCTACATCGTTTGCCACGATTAAGCCTTGTCCTTTCATAAGCTCAATGATGTGGGCTGTTTTTGAGCCAGGCGCCGCACACATATCTAGAATATGCATCCCTGGGGAGACATCAAGAACAAGCCCTGGGATCATGCTGACCAATTCTTGGCGTGAGATTAAGCCACAGTCGTTAGCATTTTGCAAGAATGTTTGGAGATAAAATGGCTTCAGATGAAAAGGTTCCCTAAGGCGACTTTGAGGTAAGGGCTTTTATATGTGGATTTCTGGGAAGAAAATTTTGTATTATGTTTTACCTCTAAATATGGTTAAAAAGGTAGGAATAGGTGCTAGGGAAAGATTGATAGACCGAGATAGCATGAAACTGATATTGTTTCTGTACTCATGGATTTTCAAATGGCTTTATGTATATATAATGTTTGGAGAGGTTTTATTCCTTCTATGTACTTTAATCGTGACTTTTTAGTTGAAATCTGCCAGGAAAGAGAATTAGGATATCAAGGGACAGGCTCGATTTGAATAGGATTTAAAGAGTCATCAATCAAAGATGACAGAAAATCAGGGCTTTTCAGTTGGTTTATTAAATTTTCATGTGTGCTATGCATAGGATTTATTCGGAAGGTGGTGGGAAGCGGAGTTTGGAGGGTTTCCCAGAATCTTTGAAATTCGTCAGCGGAAAATTCAAGTTGTAAAGAATAATAAGACCTCATCAAAGAGTTTTCTTTTTCTATTGTGAAGGAATCTTCATTTTCAGCTGGCTCATTTGAAGATGCAGGAGCTGAAAGTTTTTTAAATTAATTAGATGATAAAGTGATAGTTTCTTCTGTAGGGAGGAATATCAGGACCTCCTTTTAAATCCCAAGTGATGATATCAGCAGCCATCTTGTCTAGCAATCATTCCAGAAACCACGCAAAAAGGCCAGAGAGATCTTTCACTAGCATTACCTCGCCTGAGAGCTTGACTTCTAAGTGTGCTTCGCCTAAGGGCGACTCTCCTCAAGTGTGCTAAGCGGTAAAACTCCTATGCCCCTTATATCATTGAGTCACCTGTCTTACCCTATGCCATAAGCCATATTCGACATTGTGAATAAAGGCTCACCAGATAAACCGAAACCTATAATAAAATTCGCAAGAAGGAATGGTTTACTCCGAAAACCAATTCCTTACGCAGCCATTTTATTATTGTGAATTTGAAAGTTTCAATCTTTTATCTGGGGCTTCCATTTTGTGTTTATTGTATAATATATTGATGAAATGATAAAAGTATAATATTTAGAATTTAAATTTATTTTAATATAGATAATTTTTTTTATATAATATTTATAGATTTATATAAAGTTGTTTATGGAAGAGAGCTAGAATGCTAGACATTTTATTTAGTCAGAAATAGCTTGAATAATTATTAGTTTACTTCGACTAATCACTTTAATATAATTTATTTCTATTTTCAATATAAAATACCAATTGAATAGATTATCTTTAGCATTTTAATTTAATAATAAGCTATAATAATAAATTGAAAATAGATGGCTTTAATCCTAGTCGAACTGAAATCCAAATTTATAGTTTCAGTGTCAACCCTAAATAGCTTAAAACTTCAAGTAACCAAGTTCGAGATCGCTTCTGCAAAGAAGAATCAAAGCTAATATTTTCAATGCTATTTGTTCACTGTTACAATTTTAAAGTGCTGAACTCTCCTGGTAAGAATAAGATATCCTAAGACTAAAATAATGGCTGATTTAAGCTCAAACATAAATAAAATGGCATTCGGTTCGAGTGAAATTAGCTCCGCTAATTTTCTCTCCCTCAAGCAATTTTATTTATGGGGTTAGGTTTTCTTTAGGGAACTTCTGGACAGCAATAGCAGTTGTACTTTGGCGGATAGCCAGGGCGCTGCTCCAAGTATATTAAGACACCTGGAGTTTTACCTCTAGCACACCCGAGGAAGGTGACCCTTAGGCGGAACACGCGCAGGAGCTGAGTTAAGGAAGGCAAGGTAACGCAGCCCGTCGAAGTCGGAACGCTATATTTGCTCGTGCCCTGGCGCAACGAAGCAGATCAATCCAGAAGTCTATATGTGTACAAATATGGTGACAGCTCTGGAAACGGCTACCCCGTAGTGGACGTTAAACGTTATAAATTTTAATGATAATGATTTAAGCTCAAACAGGCAAAATTGATAGTCAAGCTCTTAAATCAGAAAAATATTGCACTGAGATTGAGTGCTGCATCAGCAAGAGAAATCCATTTTCTGATATATCAAGAAGAGCCACTTTAGATATATAGCTTGGATTAAATATCCTCTACCAATAGATAGATTAGGACTTGCCCCTAAATAATTGGCATTAAGTAATTAATTAATTCTCTCTAAAAGTTTAAATTAGGGCTTGCCCCTCAAATAATGGGCATTAATTAACTAATCTATTCTACCAATTGAACAGACAAAGAAGATTATATTTGCAGAGGGCTAATATGTATGAGCGAAATGTAGATCTAAATAATGCATCCCTAAAGTCCATCCTGAGTTCCTAATCAAATGCAATTATTATATTTAGGCTAAATAAACTTCTGTTTCTTGTCAGCTTAAAGAGCTTCCGCTATATTTCTTTATAATATGCTCAAAATTAATACAAAAAATTACTAATTGAATGGAATTAACTGATCATATTCCATCATAATAATAAAATGGCTTCGGCGGATAGGGTAATTCACTCCGTGAATTCCCTCTCCTTCTCACCTGCTTTTATTATTATAGGGTTAGGTTTTTACACGTGGACTTCTGTACAAGGTGGTGTAAAATGGCGAGGGTCTTTTATCTCGCCAGCCTTATACAGCGTGTTTTACCTCTTTCCCCTGCTGATATGAAAGGCAGGACCCTTAGGCCGAACAGGCGCTGGAGGAAAGTCGGACAGAGCGAGGCAACGCGCCAAGCCGCTATTGTTTCCCGTACTTCTGGATTCCCAAATAGCTTCACGGGGATTAGAAGGAGTGAGCCGTACAGCGAGGCCCTACTCGAGTACGCGAGTAGCGACAAGACGGAGAAAAAATATGCCCTCGTGGCATTGTGCATCTAGGGGCCCAACTAGAGGTCGAGTTAAATTAATTAATATGATGATGATGATCATATTCCATCATTATACTGTAATCATAGTCTAGCTTTAATTGCAACAGCTATGACGCATATTTTAAGGTTTATTGTTAAATTTTTTGGTCACAATAGGTCTGATCTCAGCTGAAGTAAAATAAAACTCTGTTAAATTAAATGCTAAACACAGAAAATTCTCAGCGAGTCCTTCCTTCACCGGAAGAAATCTATAGTGACAGCTCATCAGAGTCTATGAGAGGCAAGTCTGCTCATGAAACTAAAGAAAATAGTTCAGGACTTCTCTCCCGCATCAGAGCGGTTCGAGCTTCTGCAGATGATTAGATTTAGATTAAATTATAGCGGTTCTCTGGGAATTATTTCAGTCCTTCTCCTTCTTATGGATAGCTTCGTTGGCGCTAAGCGTTGTCCTCACACCAACTTTTTGCTTCTGAAGTCACCAAAAAATGGTGATGTAGCAGGTCTAGCGGGGAGACAACCTTAACGATCAGTATCGAAGCCCCACAATCAGCTGAAAGGCTCCCTTAACCTCTGATAGGGCTCAAAAGTATGGGTGAGTCTTGCCTACTCATGGCCTGTCAGAGCCATATCGCAGGCTCGAGAATTGTAGCGTAGGACTTTGTGTAGGGTCATCTGCAGTAAGAAAAAAAGTCCTAAGGTCATCCTCTAAGCTAAAACCCACCCCAAAGAACTATCTCCATATAGCTCACCTTTCCGGCCCCTGATCAGCTCACGAGGATTTCACGTAAGATCACCCATTTTAATAATTCTTCTGCAGATGAGGATTCTCAGGTTGAACTTGAGTATCACTATAAGCAGTTTCTAACAGCAATAATAATCCATACCGTTCATTCAATCGCTGGACCAGCTTCTCTGCCTCTTTTGTTTTGGATTTATGGAAAGTACATTTGCACGAATATTGGTTTTGGGAATACCCGATTTTACTATATGGAAGTCTTGATATGGATATGAACGGTGCAGATAATTTAAAGATCTTTTATTTTGATGGTTCTTGTCTTTGTGAGATTTTTTTTTAATAAAACTATAGAGCTATTTGTAAAACGCAAGAAGAAATAGATTAAAAAATCTTGAAATAATTTACAAGCAAAAAGTCCCTAAAATAATAGCCTAAAACAATTTGCAAAATAATCATGATTAGACATAGCAATAAGTAGATAAATATATTTAAAAATGCAAAAAAAACCCAAATGAAAAAATATGACCAAAAAAGTCTATGTTGGTAATTTACCATGAAGACCAGAATGGTGCTGATTATTGTATTTTGGTCTGTAAATACCAAAGATTTTGAACTATGACAGTGCTTAATTTTTACAAGCATATGCACTCAGCTCCTAAGAATGACCCTTATTTCTTTAAAATACGGGTACTATACTGTTGATAGGTGGACGCTTATGGGGATGGAAATGATTCCTACAAAGAAGCTAGCAGGCGAGTTTTTAATTCATTCATGGCTTAGACTTCCAGTTGAAGTCATTGATCACGAACTAATTCAAGCTTTTAACAGGCTCAATAAGTCCCCATGCGATCTTTGCATGACTTTTGAAATGCCGCTTGCTGATTCATGCAAAGAGTGCATGGCTAACTCCCTATTTATGAAAATTGTTTTGGATAAAAGATTATAAGTTATATTAAATTTATAAGTCAAAAATATTAAATAAAGAATGTAAGTATCAGGCTGAATATGGAATTGAGATCTTGCATAAAGATCCAGAACCTCATAAAGGAAACGAATGCTATTCTACGATGATTCTAGCAAGACTTATGATTGAATTTGTTGTAGAGCATACTAAGATCCGGCTCGAAGTTATCATGCTTAAGCTTTTTGCTATTACTTATAGCCTGTTACCATTTTTGGTAAGATACCTTAAGCAGGACAAAATGCAAGGCACGGATCCTTTATTTATTATATTCGCTATATGAAGCTCTTTCATGAACTTTAGGCTTAGTTATGGCTTTATCTTATTTATTTACATTGGCGTTTTTGATTTCAGACGAAAAAAAATGCTGATGGACCAATGCTCAACCATGATTAGCGATAAGGAAATCATCGGGACGTTCTCTTATGAGCACAACACCCCATTGCTCAATATGCAAGACCCGAGAACAGTCGAGTCTTGATATTCAATGAGGCAAGCTTTCTTAGATTTTGGGAGAAAATACACTTATCGGATTTTTTTGTATGCTGGCCTTGTGCTTGCTTTATGCTTCGTTATTCTTGTTTTTGTCTTGCTGCAGCTATTTAGCCCTCAGCAGAATATAAAGAGCAGTTCTTTTACGTCCATATTCTTTTTGACTATCATTTGTCTTGGATTTATCATTCACATGATAATATCAGGAGTCGAGCTAAACCGTGCCTTTGCTGTGCATAGGGATTTATTGCTGAATATAATGGAATTATTAGTAAAAGAGTCTGATTATAAGGACGACGATTGTACACAGTCGTCGTTGAAAATTCTTGAGCTGGAAATCAAAAAGCTTGAGCAAGATGAATTGCTGCGACCTATAAAAATCATGGGAGTCAGAACTGATTCTGTATTTTTTGCTAAAATGTTGGCTGTATTTTTTAGTGGGGTGCTTGCAATAGGACAACTGTATCTTAAAAGCAACTCAAATAATGTTATATAAGTCAGTATATAAATTTAATTCGTATTTTAATTATCTGATGCTTTAAGACTTTTCTTTTCTGACTCATCCTGATGCAGCTTTTTTATTAAAATAAAAAAATATAATGCTAAATAAAGAGAAAACTAACCAAGTTAGCCCAGCAATAGAAAGAAATAGTGCAGAAGAAACAGCCCAAATGTTTCCTAAAAGTATTGAATATAATGAGAATAAAGAATATAATTCTGGCCTTATTTCTAGACTAAGAGCTATTAGATCTCAAGCAGACGAAGATACCAAAGTTGATCTTGAGTATCACTACAAGCAGTGCTTTATTGCTTTAGCAATTCATTATGCACATATATTTTTAGGCCCTATCTGCATTCCTTTGCTGTGATGGCTTTTTGGAAAACCACTGTGCACTAATCTCGGATATGGGAAAAGCAAATTTTACTGAAGAGAGTTCTCACTCTGGCTCTGGACTCTTTTAATTATCATTTTTTGATCTTTAAACTCTCAGGACTTTAGTCAATGGCAATGCTTGATTTTTACAAGTCTTTGCACTCAGTTTTTGAGGACAACCTTAATTTCTCTAAAATATGGGTATTTTACTATTGATAGGTGGAATTTGATGAGCATAGAGTTTATTGACTCTGAAAAGCTTAAATTTGAGTATATTATTACATGGATCAAAATTCCGACTGAAATTATTGACCATGAGCTAATGCAAGCGGTTTATAGATTAAATAAGACTCCTAATGAGATTTGTGTATTATTTGATGTGCCACTGCCTGATATGTGCAAAGAAGCAATGCTCAAATTTCAGAATGATTATGGGATTGAAATCGTTCATAAGAACTTATGTCAGCATAAAGGCAATGAATGCATATCGACCTTTCTTTTTGCTAGAGCTATCATTGACTATGTCGTCCAAGTGTGCGACACAAAATTAGAAGTTAATATTATTCGGCTGCTTGCTGCATTTTACTGTACTCTACCTTTTATGGTGACTTCACCTGACGCCTATTTCATAACGACTATTTTTTTTTGGCCTATTTTTTTTAGCCTATTTTGTTTTGGCCTATTTTGTTTTGGCCTATTTTGTTTTGGCCCTTCTTTGCTGGCCTAATTTTTTTTGAGGTGAAAAAAAGTAGGCCAAAAAAATAGGTGAAAAAAAGGCCAAAAAAAATATACTGATTGCCCGATGATGGCGCTCAATGCGCCATCATCGGGCAATTTCTATAGTCGTTATGAATTAGTCGTCGTGTGAAGACACGACCTTTTATAGTCAGATACGTGATGTATGGCTCGATCCAAAATACTGATCCTTTGTTTATCATTTTTTCTATATATAGCTCAGTTCTGAACTACTATTTCGGCTCCTCTTTTATGATCTTTGTTTATATAGGAGTGTTTGACTTCAGAAGGAAAAAAATGCTGATGGACGAGTGCACTGCATTAATCAGCGACGTTGAAAATAAAAATACTTTCTCTTATGAGCACAGCATACCTCTACTGAATATGAAAGATGTGAGAACAATTGAGTCGTGATATATTTTACCTACTACTTACTTAATTAGGTGGTTAGAGTCCACTTTGTTAAATCGGCTACCGAGGATCTCTCAAGGTGATTCATCCGCTTTGCGGTAACGTCTACTTTCCATCGTCCGTAGGGGGGTGCCTGGCTGTCACCTCCTCCTGTTGCAATGCAGTAGTTCAAGTATTGAGTTGGAAAGTTCCTGGGGCCTTGCTTCAGACCGCAGCGGCAAGGTTGCCTTCACAGAAAATTCAAAAGATAGATTTTCTGGCCAACTGTCGGCAAAAAGGAAAACTTGTAGCCCAGGCCGTAACCCCTGGTTTCACAGTGGGAATATGCCCGATGGGTCCAAAAGACCTTGCTAGGCAATCTCTTTCCAATTTCTAAGCCTCCTCCCTCAAGGTAAAACCCAAGTTGGAAAATTGGTAAGGCTAGGCTCCTTACACCACAGAAATTGCTTACCTAGCATAGTTGCCTATTTTCCACCTTTGTAAAACCTTGCCGATATGCTCGAAGATTGCATGGCCTCCGGCCATGCTTTAGCTGAGACACCATTTTTAATTATAATTCATGATATATCATGAGAAACGTTTTTTTGGATTTCGGAAGAAAATACACATATAGGCTGTTTCTATACTGCGGTTTGGTGCTTCCTCTGTGCTTTGTGGCGCTAGGATTTGTGGTATTGCAGATTCTCAACTTAGTGAGTGGCATTTATAGCAGCTCTTTGGTCGGAATATTTTTTTTGATTATTGTCTGTTTAATTTTCATCATTTATATGATCATCACTGGTGTAGAGCTGAATAGACTTTTTGCGGTGCATAGAGATTTGCTATTGAATATTATGGAATTTCTAGTAAAAGAAGGAGCCTATAAAAATGATGAAACACTGCAATCTGCATTAAAAATCCTTGAGCTTGAAGTCAAAAAGCTTGAACAAGATGAGCTGCTTAGACCGATAAAAATTATGGGAATGAGAACTGACTCAGTTTTCTTTGCGAAGATGCTGGCTGTCTTTTTCAGTGGTTTAGTTGCAATGGGACAGCTATATCTAAAAAATTCCGGAAGTGTGGTATAAAAGTTTGATATAAAATAATGTTTATTGTTTTGTTAAATACTTCGAGAGCTATTAATATTTATGATTTATGCTTTTGCATATAAAGGTTTTGTTTATATGATATAAATTAAATAAGTGAATTAATTTTTATAAAAAATTATAAAATCTATCCGTTTGGCCTAGATACTGCTTGCTATGAATTTATTCAAAAGTAAAAGCAAATTGAAATTTTATATTTTCATTTATAATCATGCCTCTCTTTTGAGCAAAAACTTTTTGTATAAAAAATTTTTTTTGATATGCATTAATTTCTTAATTGGTCTACAGGTAAAATTTTCTCTAATACAGGAAGACAATTTTCACAAAAAATTATATTATTTTCACTTTATAATTACAAAATTTCCAGGCTTGAAAAATTAATCATCAAATTATATAAAAGAGAATTAAAACAGTAAAAAAACATTTTTTCTCATTAGGAAGTGCTGCAATGCTTTGCTGTTTATTAAAATTAACAGTGAAATTAAGCTTAATGAAAAGCTCTTATTACTTCAAAAATCACTAATTTTGGCAAGTGCTTTGTAAAGCTACAAAAAGTTAACTACATTGCGAAAATATTTTCTATCTTCTCTATAAGATATTCCAAGATATAGAAGCACGAATAACAGTTAGCTGCTTTTAATTTTTTTTGATTAGGAAAATACTTTCTATACGATAATCTTTATATAACTATCAAGAAGCATAAAGAAACGCCAACTACTTTTAATTTTTTTAAATTTTCAAAAACCCATTCTGCTAATTTTGAACAAAATTTAGTTTTGAAGATCCTAGCCTCTCAAATTATAATTCACTTCTTTCATTTTTAGATTACTATTTCGTAAATATATGCGTAAAGTGACCCTTAAATTTAAAATTATTTATTCGAAGTAAATATTGTAATAAATAATGATGGTAATTGCAGCTTTAATAGCGCTTGGCTCAATTGTCTATGCATCTGATTTGAATATGAGTCATAATTATGTATGATGATAGTACCACTAATATTTTTACAGTCCTTAAGCTCCTTACTCCTTCTGGGTAAAAAAGCATAGCTCTTAGGCCACGGATTAGAAAAAAAAATTATAATATAAGCATTTACAACACAAATTTTTCAATATGATTTTAATAAACTTTCAAAAGAGGTCAGATATTCTTAAGAGAAATTAGGAGTTTTTAGAAGCCTAACCATTGGAACAAATTTTCATAATACAGGTAGATCTTCAGATTTTGTATATGCGCTCATTTCTAATATAAAAGTTTATCCTGGCTTCCAATTGTGAATAAAATTTGACAGGATTTTTCAATCCATGAATAGCTGAACCCACAGAATTGGACATTATTAATAAAAATTTCCAAAATTCTCACTATATACATATATTTTAGATAATAAAAATTATTTGCAACACACAGTGATATAGGCGTTAATGCAAAATTGGTTTATACACAGAATATTATTGAATTGAAATCAATAATAGTTTCTGATAACCATTTATTGTCAATTTCTGATTATGATGAATTTCAATTTTTTGTAGGTGAAATTTAAATAATATTTCAGAAAATTAGAGAATTTTGAATAAAAAATTTTTTAAAAAAATCAGCTATGAAATTTCAATGCCAGAGAAAAGAGAAATTTTATTTAGTTTCCCATGGCAATTTAATTTGGCGAAAAACAAGTGACCTTGGCATGCTTTTCTTCATATTTTAATGAACTAGAAGACCCTTTATATGAAATTCCTTGAATTACATTAGCTGAATCTTCATGCCTATATTATAATAATTATATCAGATTTATGATACCAGAAGGATTTGGAAGAACATTTTCTAGATGACACAGAATAAAAGTTGTAATAAAAGGTATCATAAACCCTTAATGAGGATTCAAAACTTCTCCAGGATATTGAGATTCTGCTAAGACAAGTTATTATTCAGATAAATTCGAGATAGGCATCTTAAACGCTTCAGGATAGGATTTTTAGCCAAAACCTATGGGCTGCTTCATAAAGGCTATGTGAGGTTTATAAAATCAAATCAAACTTTCGAGTTCATTGGAAAATTTAAGTATTGTTCATAGGTACTAAATTATTATTTTTAATTAAAATTAAAATTTTCATGTTAGTCTCTGCTTAATGAAAAGTAAATTAATTTAATCATCTATTTTATTAACGATTTTTGGGCATAAATTATCTTGAAACGAATGAAATTTATTGATCTTACCGTCTTTTTCAGTTTCTCATGTCTTATTGAATAAATAATTTATTCTGAGATTTCGCCGTACACCTCTGGCGCTGCTAGTGCTGATGTTTATTTTGCTTACTTTATAAGGCTTCTGCAAATACTGTAATTATAATATAACAGTCATTTGTTCAATGCTCAAATGACCAAATAGAAGACAATTGTTAATGCAAATTTGATTATGCTACATGCCAATTTATAGGAATCTTCAATTGCAAAATCTGTAGAAATACCAAAAAATAAAATTATTGAAATTTATTTATCGCTCTCCATTAGGCATCACGTCTCAGGCAGCTACCCTGGATTTACAGTAACAACATCATGATCAGGCGTGACAATAGCTCAAGATTTAGACAATATGATTTCGATAAAGCCTGTCATTATATATTTCAGGAAAGCTTGAAATAAAAAATTTTGACCCAAGCTTAGCAAAATCAATTGCCAAAGGTTGAGGACTACTTCATAGTGTATACCTCGGATTTAAAAAAAGGAACAAAAGTTTTCAGCTGGCAAAGGGAGTTTTCACATTTCTTAATATTGCTCGTAAAGTAAGCTAATTATGAGAAAGCACTGCAAGAAGCTAAAGAGCTTATAAAAAATATAGAGTTAAGACAAAAACAGCAGCTTGAAAATTTAAAAATAACGGAAGATGACAAAAAAAGAAAGGAAGGGGCCGATAAAACACAACAAGTAGTTGTGAAACCCAAAAATAATGCAAGGAGGAAAAACACATATAAAATCAATTATGAGCAGACGTAGTTGCTATAAAAATCAATAAGATTTTTAAGTAAGATTTAATTTCATGTTTTATTTTATAAAAATATTAAATGTATTTTTTATTTTGTTGTGTTTTAATTACAAAAAAGTCGAAAATTTGTGGAATAATCCTTCCCAATGTAGAAATTAAAAACTATTTACAGATTTGGAGATATTATCTTTATTCGTTAAATTTTAATTTAATAAAAACTTCAGATATTTACGAAGTCTTTTGAATTATTAGTTAAATAATTTTTTTTGCCGTATATCTCCTTTGCATCATTTGCACAATTCCAACCATTTTTGCGCAGTATATAATTTATTAAATTAATCGAAATTAGTTTTCTACGAAAGTTTAAGCATTCAATTTCTCCATAAGTTAGGACATAGACTAATGAGTTAATTAGCATTCTTTGCTTGAATTTTCCCACAAATGTATAGGAAAAATCAACTATGAAATTTTTCCAAAATGGCGCAGGCGAGTCAAACGCCGACCTTTATCTATCTTTTGCGTTTGACTACTGTTGGGAGATTGTCAATATGATAATAAATACATTGCGATTTGGGTGCCTTCAGAAAATACAAGGCAATTTACAAGTAATATGAGACTAAAAGTAGCAGTTGATGGTATCATGAATCCCAAATATGCTTGCAAAAACACTGGATTTGCAAGTTGGGAAAATTTTAATATAGCAGACAATGATTATGTTTCAGGGAAATTTGACATAGAAATTTTCGACCCAAACATAGCGAGATCTATTGCTAAAAGTTGAGAAATGCGTCATAATGTGTACACAGGGCTTAACAAGCCAAACAAAAATTTCCAATTTGTCAGCAAAGCGAGTTATATTTCTTAATATTTTTAAACATTATAAGTTAATTCACCTATAAATTATAAGGCAAAAAAATGATGCCTTTTCTACTCCCAGCGTTTCTTTTATTCCTGTTTAATATGATTGAAAGTGTTATTCTTTATGAATTTATCCCAAACAATGCAGGTATATCAAAAGTTGACCTTTATATGAAATTCGGCCTAACTAAGGCACTACCAGCAGGCAGTATGATAGCAATTGGGGCAGATTTTGCAACTTATAGATATGCTGATGGCGATATAAAAGATTACTGTTGAAGCAGTATAGACTATTTTTCATGCACAATAAGCAGTGGAATAATTCAAGTCACTACATCGTTGAGCATCCCTGCATATACTGCTATGACGTTTTATTTTGACAATTTATTTGACTTCACATCTCAATCTCCTGGAGACACTGCATTAGGATTTTCTGTCACGTCATCGTGGAATGGGGTTACTATAACAGAAGATGCCAGCAACACAAATATCGTCACGATTGGAGCAAGCGTAGCTGATGCCTTCACTGCTTATGGAATCGGTGCAAATAACCCAACAATAGGGGATATGACTAATTTTCGATTTATATTTGCTACTAGTGCTGATGTAAATCCAGGCGACAATATTTTAATTAAATTTGATAGAGCTTTTAACCCATGAATTGCAGAGCCAGCAGAATTAGATATTACAGATAGAAATGATCAAAACTTTTATTACGTAGACTGTTTTTCAGATACATTAGGAAGCATTCAATGCACAGCTGGACATTGATATTTAAACGTAACAGGCGTAACTAATACAATAAACGCAGGAACTTGATTCTATTTATGAATAAAAAAAGTATTGACACCTGACTTAAGCAATTTATATTTTAGATTTTATATTTTTAACTCAGCTAACCAATTGAAAATCCGTTCAAGCGATGCAAATTTAAGGATAACAAACTCGCTCCCCGCAAATGCGATTGATATTAAAAGTGTAAGCCTTTCTGATAACTATCTATGGGATACTTCTAACTATTTTTTTGAATTTTACCTTGACTTTTCTCTCACTTTGACAAATGATTATTCATTTTATATTCTTTTTCCTCAGCAATATGATTTTAATTCAAATAATACAGCAATCCCTTGTACTGCCTCTTATCAGGAAGATGGAGGTTCTCTGACTCCTTGAATCACCTCACAATGCATATATGACAATAATTATGTAATTTTCGGCATCCCCTCGAATGCGGGCTCTTATTCATTCTCTGCAACGACGAAAATAACAATATCTTTATATGGAATTGTGAACCCCAAATGAGCACAAATAAACCCATGGGGTTCTGCCTGAGGCGATACAAATTTTTATGGGGACACTTATTATCTCAGTGATAAATTTGAAATTGAGGTTTTCCAAGAATCATTGGGCAAAATTGCAGGCAGAAGTTTTGGATTAATGCATAGTGGGTATGTTGGGCTGAATAAGGCAGTTAAGCAATTTGCATTTAAATATCCTCAAGGCTGCAAAATTTATTAATTCTATAATAGAGGCAAACATATCATTAATTTTAATTGAGATTTTAAAAGAAATTAATGTAAATTATGAATAGAAAAAACTATTTTGAGCATGCTTTATTATCACTTTAAATGCAACTTAGAGGGTGCAACTTTAGTGGTATTTTTGGCCAAAAATAATGAGTTTATATAGATAAAATCTCTCAAAATGCTTTCCTTGGATTTAAGATGACAAAATCATTTTCAAACGAACTTATTATCAAAAGATAATTTTCTTAAAATCAAAAAAAAGAGGTCTATAGATAATAAAGACTTTACGCACTCGAGAAAGGGAGAAGGATTTTTGAAAGTGCTGAAAACAATATTTTTAGTTGGGCTCAAATAGGGACGAATAGCATTTCAGGAAATATTAATCAGTCAAGTATTTTCGTTACAAGAGTTCCTTAACTCCGTTATATATAGCAATACTCTGTGGTAATTTGATCTTGCTTCTAAGTAGGCTTCTCAAGTAGGAACCGTTTAAAATAAAGGCTTAGAATTTTAATAACGCTCTAGACCCTTAATAGTGCAATTAGTGCTCTCTCTAAAAGTTAGAATTAGTTATTACCACTATCTAATAATCAAATTTTATTTAAACCTGCATTTTTTGGAGTAGTTCAATACGGTCTCTGTCTAATGCGTCGTTAATAAAATTGATATCCTCTTCAGAAAGTTTCCATTCATTCCCAGTGAAAACACCATTTACTTGATTTTCTTGCTTCAAATTATAAGCTGTTTTAAGATCCTGCAAAGCCGCTTCTTCTTGTCCGAGATTATTAAATACTCTAGCTCGGCAGCAGAAATGCAAAGGATTATTGCGTTCAAGTTTGATTGCCGTATTATAGCATTTTATTGCTTCTTTATATTTCTCTAAAACATAAAGAGTATTGCCTTTACCATTAAAAAACTGGGCACTATTTGAATTGTATTTGATTGCTTTAGCGTAGCTTTCTAGTGCTTCTTGATATCTTCCTAATTTATTTAAAGAGCATGCTTTCTTATAGTAATTAGCATTACTTGGATAGATTTTGATTGCTTTGTCAAAGCATTCGATTGCATCAAGATATCTTTTTAACTCTATAAAAGCTGTCCCTTTATCATTATAACATACAGCAATACTCCTGCTTGAAGAAACATCTCGCTCGATTTCTTCATCATAGCATCCGATTGCTTTATCATAGCATTCGATTGCTTCTAGATGTCTTTTTAATTTATTAAAAGCAATGGCTTTTCAAGTGTAAAAATTAGCTTCATTTGGACTGAGTTTGATAGCTTTATCATAACATTCGATTGCTTCTAGATATCTTTCTAACTTATAAAAAGCTGAGCCTTTATTATTGTAATTACCAGCATCGTTTGGTTTGAGCTTGATTGCTTCGTCACAGCGTTCGATTTCTTCTAGATTTTCTGCTAATGAGTTTAGTGATTTGCCTTTTAGATTTAATTCATCCAGAAAATAAGGATCGAGCTTAGAATTCTGTATATTTCATTTTATCGCTTCAATCTTTTTACCTATTCTTCTAAGTGAAACATGCTTCGTATAGTAAGCAACATCAATCATGATTTTTTGATCTAAATTAAAACAATAATATGCTGTATCTGATCCCTCCATAGTTGAGATGTATATTCCTCCTTTATTATATGAACAATACACTTGATTAGGATAATAGAATGTTGATTTTTCTATTCGTCTCCAATTCGAGTAACTTTCAACTTCGCTTTCATAGATTGATCCAGGGCATTCAATCAAATATAGTCTCTCTGCATTTATCAGGATCTTTTTTGTCCTTCCTGCAAACTCATGAGGAATTGTCGAGAAAGATTCAATATCAATTGAGTATAACCAAAGGTTTCTATTATATCCAGGAATCAAAATATTTCCATTAAATATTATACTATTGCATCAATAATCAGCTTCTGGCATTGGAGCTAATTCAATTCATCGATTTTGATTCAAATCGAATCTACTAGATAGAGTTAAAGCATTATTATCTTCAGAATCTAATCCTCCAAAGCAATAGACGCTGTTGTTGAAATAGATATAGGCCATTTGATGTTTTATTACAATCTCTGAGAGAGTTTAGCTTTTGGGAGATGTAAGAGGGAGATAGAATTATAAATTTCTGTTAGCTTGAGAAAAGATGGAATGGGTGATATAAATTATTATATCTTTTATGCACTCTCCTGCTCTGCAATTTCTTCTTAAAAATGCCAATACTTGGAAGATGAACTGCAATTTGGGAGCATATCATATTATTCATCCCATCAATGTACAACTTCAAAAGATTATCCATATGCAATCATCAATCTTTAAAACCAGCATACATGATGAGTAATAGCAAGGAGTTCCAGATGGCAGCACTTCGACTCCACCATTCACATCAATTAGCGCTGTAATTCCAGAATCTTCATAAGTACAACCAAAACAGAATAGTTTGCCATTTGGAAGTTGAGTTATGCAAGTGCTATAGTCTAGTGATTCTGGAGTCTGCAAGGTTTTGACTTCTTGGGTGTCAGTTTCAGTGTTATAAATAGTTAAATTAGTTCTCTTGTTTTCTTCTGTAATATTATAAAGAGATGTCTTTTGTTGATAAGCATTAAGAAAATCTTGGTAAGCTTGCATTAGCGGTGGATCATAAGAATCGGTCTGAATTGCTGAGCAAGTTGCTCTGAAATCTATTTCTAATTCTGGGTTATTTGGTCTACTCAAAATCTCAGCTGTTTTATTTCTTAAGGTGTCTATGATGTTTGAAGCGCTTTCTGTTTGCTTGTTGAGATCATTAGAAACAGTGCTCATTTGAAAATTAAGCAAGCTTATCTCATTTTCTGGGGTTGTTTTTATTGGCTTGTTTTCTTTTTCAGGCCCTTTTAAACACTCACTATTTTCATTTATTATCAAGGAAATCGAATCATTAACGTTTGCTGACTCTATACTTGTGGGCTTGCTGGTTTTATTATGCATTTCAGGAGTAATTTGCATATTCCTCTGTTCTAAATATGCTCCACATATTTCAGCAAAGAAGGCTCTATTTACATTCTCTAACTTTTGATTGAATATATAAAACAACTTTGCACCATTGTATCAATCTCTGCTGGCTATGGTCTTCAATTTTACTTTCTCAATAGCTTCTTGAGGTTGTAAAGTCAATAATCCTAAAATTGGATCTTCTTCTGACTCTAATAATTTTGATGCTTGGGAAATTTTTGCAAAGGAATCATTTATGTCATCTAGGTAGTAATCCAACTTGCTTATAAAATCTCCTAAGTCTTTCTCTGAATAGGGAAGACGCTGGCTAAAGGAATCTATAATTTTTCTTTTCAACTCACTATATTTTGAATTTTCTTTTGTGAGGAATTCAAGAATTACTTCTTTTGTCCCTTCACAAGGCTGAATAAAAAGTGATTCAGGATTATGAACTCTATTAGGCAAGTTTACATGCTCCCCTATATGCTCTCCACACAATAAAATTTCAGGAGAAGAGCATTTGCATGAATGCCCAGCCTCGTTCATACACCCTGGCACGAAACATTTTTTCACCATCTTATAATAGTTATTAGATAGCAGATATTTTAAAGCCATTCTAAACATCCTTCAAATAACTAATTGAGGGAGGAGTGAGAAAAATCAAATATCAAAACAAGCTTAAATAAATTTTCCTTTTATCTGAAATTTATTTCATTTATATTAATTATATGAATTCAAGAAGGTGCTCTTTCCAAAACTGTTGAAGAAACGCTGAACTTAAGTGCATATGCACTTCCCTTCCTGCATTTTTATGTGAGCAGAATGCCCCTGATCATATAAAGCTTCGTGGAGGTGGCCACAAAGTGTTCCCTTCAGCGCCTCAGACGATTGAGTTGCAAACCAAAATGACATAAATCTTCTCAATAATACAAAGTCTAACATTAAATCAGCCAAACAAAAATCAATCAATGCAACTAGTGGCATCATCATAAAACTAAAAAGTCTTAAAAATATTTTCTTTCGTCCTTAAACTCTCAATCAGATTCTATAGATGACCATCTTCTCAACTTTAGGAGATAGCAGCGTTTTTGATATAGTTCTTTCCCTTGAATAGCCCGATAACGGGCTGGCTTCATCCAGTTATAGGGCTATTCAAGGGAAAAGGGCTATAGACATTCTAAGCATCATATTTTAACTGATAAAATAGAATAATGCTGCATATCTAGGAATGAAAAACTAGACAAAATCGAAGGCTTTTGCAAACTTTTGGATTTGTTGGCAAATTTATCGAAAATATAATTTTGATGACTTACAAATAAATGAAATAAGTTTTCAGAGATAAATTAATAAAATAAGAGAACATAAAGGCAAATTTACTAAAGAATTAGATAAATGGGTGTTAGGGTGTTAGGGTGTTAGGGTGTTAGGGTGTTAGGGTGTTAGGGTGTTAGGGTGTTAGGTGTTAGGGTGTTAGGGTGTTAGGGTGTTAGGTAGGTGTTAGGGTGTTAGGGTGTTAGGGTGTTAGGGTGTTAGGGTGTTAGGGGTGTTAGGGTGTTAGGGTGTTAGGTGTTAGGGTGTTAGGGTGTTAGGGTGTTAGGGTGTTAGGGTTAGTTAGGGTGTTAGGGTGTTAGGGTGTTAGGGTGTTAGGGTGTTAGGGTGTTAGGGTGTTAGGGTGTTAGGGTGTTAGGGTGTTAGGGTGTTAGGGTGTTAGGGTGTTAGGGTGTTAGGGTGTTAGGGTGTTAGGGTGTTAGGGTGTTAGGGTGTTAGGGTGTTAGGGTGTTAGGGGTGGTTAGGGTGTTAGGGTGTTAGGGTGTTAGGGTGTTAGGGTGTTAGGGTGTTAGGGTGTTAGGGTGTTGGTGTTAGGGTGTTAGGGTGTTAGGGTGTTAGGGTGTTTAGGGTGTTAGGGTGTTAGGGTGTTAGGGTGTTAGGGTGTTAGGGTGTTAGGGTGTTAGGGTGTTAGGGTGTTAGGGTGTTAGGGTGTTAGGGTGTTAGGGTGTTAGGGTGTTAGGGTGTTAGGGTGTTAGGGTGTTAGGGTGTTAGGGTGTTAGGGTGTTAGGGTGTTAGGGTGTTAGGGTGTTAGGTGTTAGGGTGTTAGGGTGTTAGGGTGTTAGGGTGTTAGGGTGTTAGGGTGTTAGGGTGTTAGGGTGTTAGGGTGTTAGGGTGTTAGGGTGTTAGGGTGTTAGGGTGTTAGGGTGTTAGGGTGTTAGGGTGTTAGGGTGTTAGGGTGTTAGGGTGTTAGGGTGTTAGGGTGTTAGGGTGTTAGGGTGTTAGGGTGTTAGGGTGTTAGGGTGTTAGGGTGTTAGGGTGTTAGGGTGTTAGGGTGTTAGGGTGTTAGGGTGTTAGGGTGTTAGGGTGTTAGGGTGTTAGGGTGTTAGGGTGTTAGGGTGTTAGGGTGTTAGGGTGTTAGGGTGTTAGGGTGTTAGGGTGTTAGGGTGTTAGGGTGTTTAGGGTGTTAGGGTGTTAGGGTGTTAGGGTGTTAGGGTGTTAGGGTGTTAGGGTGTTAGGGTGTTAGGGTGTTAGGGGTGTTAGGGTGTTAGGGTGTTAGGGTGTTAGGGTGTTAGGGTGTTAGGGTGTTAGGTGTTAGGGTGTTAGGGTGTTAGGGTGTTAGGGTGTTAGGGTGTTAGGGTGTTAGGGTGTTAGGGTGTTAGGGTGTTTAGGGGTGTTAGGGTGTTAGGGTGTTAGGGGTAGGGGTTAGGGTGTTAGGGTGTTAGGGTGTTAGGGTGTTAGGGTGTTAGGGTGTTAGGGTGTTAGGGTGTTAGGGTGTTAGGGTGTTAGGGTGTTAGGGTGTTAGGGTGTTAGGGTGTTAGGGTGTAGGTGTTAGGGTGGTTAGGGTGTTAGGGTGTTAGGGTGTTAGGGTGTTAGGGTGTTAGGGTGTTAGGGTGTTAGGGTGTTAGGGTGTTAGGGTGTTAGGGTGTTAGGGTGTTAGGGTGTTAGGGTGTTAGGGTGTTAGGGTGTTAGGGTGTTAGGGTGTTAGGGTGTTAGGGTGTTAGGGTGTTAGGGTGTTAGGGTGTTAGGGTGTTAGGGTGTTAGGGTGTTAGGGTGTTAGGGTGTTAGGGTGTTAGGGTGTTAGGGTGTTAGGGGTGTTAGGGTGTTAGGGTGTTAGGGTGTTAGGGTGTTAGGGTGTTTGGGTGTTAGGGTGTTAGGGTGTTAGGGTGTTTAGGGTGTTAGGGTGTTAGGGTGTTAGGGTGTTAGGGTGTTAGGGTGTTAGGGTGTTAGGGTGTTAGGGTGTTAGGGTGTTAGGGTGTTAGGGTGTTAGGGTGTTAGGGTGTTAGGTGTTAGGGTGTTAGGGTGTTAGGGTGTTAGGGTGTTAGGGTGTTAGGGTGTTAGGGTGTTAGGGTGTTAGGGTGTTAGGGTGTTAGGGTGTTAGGGTGTTAGGGTGTTAGGGTGTTAGGGTGTTAGGGTGTTAGGGTGTTAGGGTGTTAGGGTGTTAGGGTGTTAGGGTGTTAGGGTGTTAGGGTGTTAGGGTGTTAGGGTGTTAGGGTGTTAGGGTGTTAGGGTGTTAGGGTGTTAGGGTGTTAGGGTGTTAGGGTGTTAGGGTGTTAGGGTGGTAGGGTGTTAGGGGTTAGGGTGTTAGGGTGTTAGGGTGTTAGGGTGTTAGGGTGTTAGGGTGTTAGGGTGTTAGGGTGTTAGGGGTGTTAGGGTGTTAGGGTGTTAGGTGTTAGGGTGTTAGGGTGTTAGGGTGTTAGGGTGTTAGGGTGTTAGGGTGTTAGGGTGTTAGGGTGTTAGGGGTGTTAGGGTGTTAGGGTGTTAGGGTGTTAGGGTGTTAGGGTGTTAGGGTGTTAGGGTGTTAGGGTGTTAGGGTGTTAGGGTGTTAGGGTGTTAGGGTGTTAGGGTGTTAGGGTGTTAGGGTGTTAGGGTGTTAGGGTGTTAGGGTGGGTGTTGGTAGGGTTGTTAGGGGGGGTGTTAGGGTGTTAGGGTGTTAGGGTGTTAGGGGTGGGTTAGGGTGTA